TTGCCTCAATTCCTTCAAAAACCCTTCAACAATGGGGCCAGTGACAGAAGGAGCATGTTTTGCTCTCCATTCCTCAATTCCTTTCGCAGACGGTCTCTCGACAATAGGATCTCCCTGTAGAATATCGGGAACTAACACCGTATAATCGCCGTGGTGGGCGAGATTATCAGCAATCAAAAGCGTGTTGTTGAGCTTGTAGCCAAAGACATCGGTCATGATCACAAGAACCCGTTTGGATTGTCCAATGACATAGGTGTCGAGTCCACCGATGGTTTTGAAGACACCCTGAGCGGTACCTTCGTGTAATGCTAGTTGAAAACAGCAAGAAGTGAAGCCAGCAGAAGCCATAGTTTGGTTGAAAAATGGTGCAAAGGGCTGGCTTTATATACTTTTACAATGGACAAACCGGCGATAGAAGGATTTAGTCTATTGGCTTATCTAGGTTAAGCCATGTAAATAACAGCTATATCTACTGGATTGTATCTCCTACTGACAGTTGGCAAAGAAAGCCAACTGGTCCATGACAGTCTTCTCCTTGGCATACTTGATCTGAGGTTGGGAAATATCTCCTCTGACAGAGTAACCGTGGGTGACTCCGGAGAAAAGAGTGATTTCCCACTTGAGGCCCTCTTTCTTGGACAAGATGTCCTCAGTCTCACGTCTAAGGTCATTGCCAAACATCTGGTCGGCATAAGGAGTGGAAATCAAAAGGGGTCTTTCAATTGCTTCCACGTCTGCAGTTACCACAAGAGATGGGTGAGGAGTGGCCCCGGCGTCAAAGTACCCGTCTTTGGACAAGTGCTGCATTACGTACTTTCCACCAAAGCAGTACCCAATTCCGCCCAAGAAGGTGGGTTTTTCGTCCTCTTTCAACTTCTTCAAGAAGTCGTTGATGATAGGAGCAACGATAGATTCCAGATGTTTGGGGAACCAGGCCTGGACGTCATTGCCGGCAACAAATATGTCACCGTCAAAAATGTCAGGAATCAACACCTTGTAACCGCCGAGTTTGGCCAATTGATCTGCAAGTAAAAGAACATTGTTGAGCTTGTACCCAAATATATCGGTAATAATCACGAGGATCTTTTTGTTGGTAACGTCCCCGGTGACATAGGTATCGAGACCGTGAACAGTGGAGTAGGATCCAGCAGGAGTACCTTCGTGTAAGATTTTTTCAGTGCAACAAGAACCTAAAGTAGCCATAGTAATAATTAGTTGAGAAATTATCCGGTGGAAATGCGTATCTAAATACTTTTTTTTGAGGATACGCACGGAAATATTGCACTTCGCACTTGACACATTTATGGACGTCTGGACGTCATAATTAACAATTCCGTATCGCAATTACTCACTATCCACCACTACTTTACTTTCATTTTGTCGGTCAACAGTGACCAACGCACGGAAGTGAATCCGGTGTCGATCCGATTGACAGTGGATTAACACCACGGCAGTATCTGAAATTGGTGGTAAATGTCGGACCGGCCGGTGACGAATGCGCTGGAGTTTAGCGGGTGCAGGAGACAAACGGCAGACGGAACTAAGATATACGGAATACGTCCTATTGGGGACAATTCCGAGAAGGTAGTTAGGCTATTGTGGTGATTCAGCTCTAGTGATACTTGTAGCTCAAGTTGCACTTGAAGAATCTTTTTGTAAAGTCAAGTAGTTGTCCAATCTGCGAATTTCACAATTACTGCAAATTTGTGGTCGCATATTTTCAACATAATTATATTACTCTATCTGCAAACGTAATTCATACTTAATTTTCGGCATTGGCCTGGGCACTATATTGTGCTTGCAATACCAAGTTCCGACTGGCATCCATTCTAGGCAACATCACCTCAACCATTCTAATCTTGTCGTTCTTAGCAAACGCCTTACTGGTAAACAAGTCCTCAGCTTCTCCAATGGTAGATACCCTCACCGTCTCGTAGTTTTTAGCATTGAACAATGGCAACAATCCCAAGTTGTCCCAAGGTTGAATATCATTATAGCTGGCGTTTTCTCCATGGATTAACCGCTCAATGGTATAACCGTCGTTGTTCAACACGAAAAGATAAGGATTGGTGTTCCACTTGACCATGGTGGAGATTTCTTGCACTGTCAACTGCAAAGAACCGTCTCCCACGAACAAAATGACCCTCTTATTAGGGTCGATTTCCTCGGCCGCCATCACCGCTCCCAAGGTGGCCCCCACAGTGAACCCAATAGATCCCCACAACACCTGCGAAATACCCACCGTGTTATTGGGGAACTTGGACTGAACAATTCCAAATGCAGACGTACCAGTCTCAGTGATGATAATATCTCCTTCCTTGAACCAAGACGAAACTCTGGTCCATAACCATTCCTGGGTCAATCTACTATCTCTGCTGGCAGGCGTGTTGACCAACTTGGTCTTTGGCACCGGCTGAGGTACGTAGTTGGTGCAAGCTTCAGCAATTCTTCTCAACAAGTGGTTCAAGCATTCTTTCATTTGCACCCCGGGGAAGGTGGCCTGTCTGATCTTGGTATAGTCAGAGTGGAACTCAATGACGTTTTTGGTCCTGTACGAGTACGAGAATGACCCAGTGTTGAAGTCCGACAACAAGGCTCCGAGCGAAAGGATCAAATCGGCACTTTCCACCGCCTCTTTGACCTGGGGGGTACTCAAGGTCCCGACGTACACACCGCCGAACCGGGAAGCGACACTGTGCTCTCCGTTCAATTTGGCACTCATTTTCTTGATCAAGTTGGGATCATTATCCACCAATTCTCCACTGATTCCACCTTCATCAATAGTACCTTTACCCATGGGAGTGGTGTAGACAGGAAATTGGGTGATTTCCACCAACCGGCGGGCTTCTTGTTTACAGTCGTGTCTGGAGCAGCATGCATCCACCAAGATAACCGGGTTTTTGGCCTGGCTCACCAAGTTCAATACATGGTCAATCACCTCCTGTTCCGCTTCAGGATCGTTGGGCTTCAACGACAAATCAATGGGCGTATCCAACAAGCTGGCGGGCACCGTCAAGTCCACCAAGTTGGCGGGCAAGCCGATGTACACGGGTCTCTGGTACACATAGGCGTCTCTAATACATCTGTCCAATTCACCGGGGGCAGAATTGATGTCAGAAATAAACGCAGATGTGTGCGAAATATTGTTAGACATCCTGTGGAAAACCGTAAAGTCTCCATTTCCTAACGTGTGGTGCAACAAAAGCTGTTTGGCCTGCGACGAGATCGAAGGCACTCCCACGACGTGGATCAAACCGACGTGCTCGGCGTAGGCACCTCCCACCCCATTAAGGGCAGACAATTCTCCTACTCCGAAGGTGGTGATGAGGCATCCCAATCTCTTGATTCTGGAGTATCCGTCGGCGGCGTAGGCAGCGTTTAACTCGTTGGCGTTACCGGCCCATCTCATACCTTCGACGTCGTAAATTTTATCCAAGAGGGAAAGGTTGAAATCCCCTGGCAATCCGAAGACTGTGTTGACATCCAATTGCTTCAATCTTTCAAAGAGATATCTTCCTAAGGTGATTTCAGACATGTTAATTGTTTTGTGTTTGTGTTTGTGTTTGTGGTTTAAATTTGGTGATGGGAGAGGATACGGGAGGGCAGTGGTACTTATATAGTGATTTGGCGGGATACGGTTTAGCGTAACCGCATAGGTAGCGACCGGTTATGCGCATTTGGCTGGCATCAGATGATCGCATCGGGGATGCCTGTGGTAACGGGATGTCGTAGGGATGTCGTAAGGCCCTTGGTACCCTCGCTCGCCGGGCCATCGTCCCCGCCCTGCTGGAGGCATCACCCATTTTCTCAATGTCGCGCTCTCCGATCTTAATTCGGATAGCACAGGCGTATTGGCCTCTGTAAGCGAATAAACCGTATGACCGTCGAGTGGTATGAGAATATGGAAAAACCATGTGTTGAATATGCATAAACTTAAGCACATATGCGCGTAAGCTCACCAAGGCGTTCCAGTTGCCATTCCACTCCCCAATACCCCCTATTAAGATGGTGTTAGTACTGGTTGGAGCAAATATGCGGCTCTGTCCCTGCCGATTTAATTTATCCGAGCAGCCAATGCGGGTCCTACAATACCGATTCGTGTCATATTCTCATTAAGGCTATACAATCCCGAGCCTGGACAAGTGTGGTCCGAGTCATCACCCAATCCCCTCTCTAACCTACTCTCATTAATCGATGCTCATAGCGTCATCCTTCTCCTCCTCATGCTTTTCCTTCTTCACAACCCCCTTCAACCCCCGGCCAAAGTTCACCATCAACACAACCTCAGCCACTACTATCAACACCAAAAACACCAAAGTTATGACTCCAAACGTGATCAACGAACTCCGTCCGGGAAAGTAGGCTCCCGGCACTACCGCCACGTTATACGCAGATGTGTACTTGGTGAATAACCGGATCATCTTGAAAAGCACATACGCAATTCCCCCTAGGTACACCATTAAACAACCTCCTGTGAGCCATAGATTCTCTCTTCCAACCCCCAAGTCACTCAACACCAACAACACGATCGTCAAGGGGATCACGATCACCGTCAAAATGAACTCTACCGAAGTCTTGTCACGCACCATGATGATGATGAACTGGATGGTAAAAGCCAAAAAGAAAAAGAACCCAAACACCAAAAGCGACCGGTGAACCTGGAACGTGAGGTACATTCTTCGGATCAAAAGGTCTGCTCCGATTGACTTGTATCGAAACCAACTGACGTGACGCTTCAAGTAGTACACAATCAACACCACTTGCGACACCATAGTGGCTGCAATTATACAGATAGTAGCGATATTGGTGGCCCGCGTGGCCCGTTTCCACCCGTTCACCAAAATGGCACCCACAAGCTTGTGCACTTCTTCGTACTGGATCCCCGTATAAATCAACATACACCCGTAGAACACACACAAGAATCCCAAGAGTAACATATTTTGGCTGCGAAGACCAATGGCCGAGATGAGCACCTGGAAAACAGCGGCGAAAATGAAGAGGGCCAAGTAGATCAGTACCTCTTCGAATTTGGACTCGGATGGGATGAGTTCTTTGTGGATATTAATCACGGCGTACATATATGCTTGGAGAGCAATGATAACAAGAGCCGAGGTGATGGATATTCCAAAGAAAATGGCCGCTGCCACCCGGTATCGTTTGAACGCCGGCGAGTTAGGGTTTTGTGAGTCGTTGGAAATGGGAGATGTTGGAGCTACTGGTGGGATACTTCCAACACTTGAAATATCATCTGGAAGAGTGCTTTTGAAGGTGTGACTGCGGGACCTGCCCGCATCAGCAACCGTATCGGGAGCTCGCACGTCCACCTTGGCATATTGGAAAAAGTCGTCGTGCGACTCGTTGTCATTGGTCCACACTGTAAGTGATGGTTTCTGCATTTATGCTTGGTGGCTGGGGTTAGGCGACGGGTTTATATTAATAGCGATGAGGCGCGCGCGATTTGGCCGCGTGCACGTCGCCGACAGGAGGCTCAGATTCTAAATATAGTGATGACTGTGATCGGTTTGATCACGAATATGCACCTACAAGGAAGGCGGTAACCCCTCGTAGTCCCGTGGGTTCTCGGCCACTAGGCCATTGGCTTCCTCGTGGAGGCCGAGCCACGTCACGTGCGCAAACTCCCGTTTGTTCTTGGTCTGCTCCACAATAGGGTCTATGGCGCGGTCGATCACGAGAAGGGCAATGGCATCATACCCACCAGCACCTGGTACCACGCCACCAAAACACCCGGGTAAGAGCCGACACTCGTCAAGGAGAAGCGTTTGTGACATCGGCTCGATGTCGGCGCCCGTGTATGCCGTCAACAGCTTCATGTGTTCGCGGATCATTTTAATCGACTCCATGAGCTCGTAGAAGTACCGGTATGGCACCTCCTCTTCTATACGGCGGTCCGGGTGGTCTTCCAAGTAGTCGTCCAAGGTAGCGACAGAATGGCTTGCGAAAAAGTCGATTCCTTCCATGTACGAGCTCAAATCGCTCATAGAGAGGTCGCGGAGCCGGGAAAGCGCTGCGATGAACTGACGATTAGCGGTGTTCAAGTCTGCGTACACCTTTGCACTTTGTTCTGGGTGGTCTTTTCTCCACTGCAACACCTTCGACACCATCCGCGGAGTCTCCAGCCCCCCGGCAACATCACCCATCAACAATCGGACGTGGGGTGGTAACGTACACGGATTATGGGTGAAGTCCCACTCGGAGTCGACGAGGGGGACCAAGCCTGTAGCGGCTTCTCCTTGAACGTGGGGGGCAATAAGCCCAGGAACAAACCGCTGGTACTGTATCGACCCGTAGACGGCGGTGGCCACGTCGAACCCCGACCCAATCTTGCCCTGGGCCCGACAGTGAGCGATTTGGGCTAGATTATGAATAATATTAGTGTTATTGGCACTAGCAGGGCCAAGCTGCGACATGATGGCCGCCATTACCACTGTTGTCAAACATGCCAGCGACCCGAGCCCCGTCTTGGCCACGTCGGCAATTGGTTTTTGATGGTATAAAAACCGTTTGGTGCCATTTGTGGACCCATGAACCACTGTTTCCTGTTGACTGTGAAACCCAGCATCGGAGAAGATGGTGATGTCCACATCGAACGGGTGGGATGGCTGGGTGTATTTCATGGCCATTTCCACCGCTGCCGCGAGGAACGGGTTGTTGTTATCGTTGATTTCAGTGATGTCTTGGTCGATGTGATAGATCCATTTTCCGCCAAATTGTGGTGAACTCACAGATATCCGCCGATAGGCCACATCACGGTTGCAACGAACCACCGAGTGCATTCGCGCCGAAAGCGCCGTCACATATGAGAGGTACACTGGGTCGAGCACCAAGTACCCGCCAGCAATCAATGCTTTTCCTGGTGAACTGAAGGCAGAGACCATTGATGGGTCCAGAAAATTCGCGCGCGAGTTTGCAAACACATGTAACCAATGGTGGTAGTAGGACTAGAACAGCTCAAACAGCTTCAGCATACCAAGACCATTGGCATCATCGGTCTAGGAGACATGGGTGCAATGTACGCCCGGAGGTTCAGCGACGCCGGCTGGACCGTCGTGGGGTGTGACCAAGAAGATGCGTATGAGTCAGTTAAACACAAGTTTGCCAACCACAAGTTTGAAGTGGTGAAGAACGGCCACTACGTGTCACGGGTCAGCGACTATGTGATTTACAGTGTGGAGGCCAAGGCCATCGGCAAGGTGATTGCCACGTACGCCCCGTCGTCCAAGTATGGTGCCATTATTGGTGGACAGACTTCTTGTAAGGAGCCAGAGGTGGAGGCATTCGAACAGTATTGTCCCTCAGATATTAAGATCATCACTGTCCACTCCCTACATGGCCCCAACGTCAACCCTGTAGGGCAGCCATTGGTGTTGATTAAGCACCGGGCCAACGACGATGACTTTGACTTCGTGGAGTCACTAATGTCTTGTTTGAAGTCCAAGCACGTCTACTTGACCGCCAAACAGCACGACCAGATTACCGCCGACACTCAGGCGGTTACACACGCAGCCTTCTTGTCGATGGGCTCCGCCTGGCGGTCGACTCACCAGTATCCGTGGGAAACCCCCCGGTGGTCAGGAGGTATCGAGAACGCCAAAATGAACATCTCCATGCGAATCTTCTCCAACAAATGGCACGTCTACGCAGGGTTGGCCATCACCAACCCGTCCGCACACACACAGATTCTTCAGTACTCCAAATCTGCGCTGGAGCTCTTTTCGTTGATGATTCAGGGAAAAAGGGAAGACCTACGGGCCCGTTTGCTTAAGGCCAGAAGCCTCTTCAAGCATATAAATGAAAATGAGCTTCTCCTTGACGACAATCTCCTTGAAAAGTACTCATTGAGCCAAGTGCCACCGGGTGGCCGGCAGCCCAACTCACATTTGTCATTGTTGGCTATAGCAGATACGTGGATCTCGCTTGGGGTGGTTCCATACGATCATATCATCTGCTCCACCCCGTTGTTCCGGATCTTTTTGGGGGTCACGGAGTACCTTTTCTGTACGCCCGGGCTCCTTGAGGAGTCAATCGAGGTGGCATGTTCGGATCCTACGTTTCGAACCGATGATTTGGAGTTTGTGATAGCTGCCCGGCAGTGGTCCGATTTGGTGACTCATGGTAATTACGACCTTTATCGAACCAAGTTTGAGGACGTGCAACAGTTCTTCTCACCGATGCTCAAGGAAGCCAACTCGGTGGGAAACGAGATGATCAAGATTATTTTGGCCCGTGTGCACGAGAGCGATGAGCGAGCCAAAGCGAACCACCACTCATAAATGGCTTGGTGCATTAAATATATACATACATATTCATCATTTACAATGACACGAGCTACTATAGCAGTCACCGTTACAACTGCTCTTCCTTGATCACGTCCATCAACCAATCCAACCCTTCGGTCAAACCTTCTCCCTTCAAGGCACTAGAAGCAACTATACTCCAGCTTCGATCCTTTAACTCCGTTAAGTTCAACGCCTGCGACACCTCGGCAGCCGTCATTGCCCCCGGCTGATCCTGCTTGTTGGCAAACACCAACAAGGCGCTGTCCAAAAGCTCTTCTTCTTTTAGCATCAAATGCAACTCTTTACTAGCAATGTCAATTCTATCTTTGTCAGTGGAATCCACCACAAAAATCACCGCCGCCGTGTTGTTGTAATAGCATCTCCAATAAGGTCTGATCGACGTCTGTCCACCTAAGTCCCATATGTTCAACGTCAAGTTTTTGTACTTTAAAGTTTCCACATTGAAGCCGATGGTGGGTTTGGTGGTCACCACTTCCCCCATTTGGAGCCGGTACAAAATGGTGGTCTTTCCAGCCCCATCCAATCCCAAAATAAGGATTCGGATCTCTTTCTGGGTCCCCCATACTTTGCCAAAGATATTGGCAAAACTGAAAGTTTGTCCCATATTGTGATAAATTAATGAAGCGTCAAACGGTACCGAAAAAAAAAATATGGTTGTGCTTGGGTATGCTATTAAAAGGATAACAACGGTCAAAGGTTTTGGGTGCTGAATCACTCGCTCTTGGTGTGCAAAATAACTTCTACCCGAAGATATGTGTGTTTGTAATCGGTCAAAATTCTTGGTTGCCCACCTTTGAGACCGCGCGGTGCGGAAACTTTAACTGACTAAACTGAAAAGGATGGACGAACCAAGAGGAATTTTAAGAAATAAGGCCGAGGTCGAGCCCAAACACACTTCAAGTGACAAGTTGGATCGCCAAGAGGTCATAAGGAACACACGGTTGAACTCCAATTTGGCCCAGAACCTGAACTCCAAAGGTGACTTGATACGCAATAAGATCGCTGTTGCAAAGAAGCAACAACTGGATCAAGGTAAAAAGACATATCCCGATCACTTGAAGTGGGACGAGGTGAATTTGTACCAGACTGAGCAAGAGAAGGCTGCCACCATGAAGATAGATGAGCCCAAGACTCCGTATGAGCGAGGATTTGATCCTACGGGGGAATACTATCAAGACGATGATGAAGAGGAAATCCCTGGGTTTGAATTGGGCGAATCGGCGGAACACGATACCCACAAGGTACAATCTCTTGGAGGTGGGGAGATTCTCCAGGACCAAAATGCCCAGCAAGACGAACCAGAGCCAGAAAAGCCATTAACAGCGAAGGAGAAACATCAGAAGTTTGAGGAGATGAGAAAGCAGCACTACCATTTGAAAGGATCGGTCTTGGGTAAGAAGATTGAAGTATCAGATGACGAAGAGTAAGAACGTACGTTTGTGGAGAAACCCGGGAATGTGAAGATTCGCATTAATAACTTGTATAGTATATTGGTTGTATAGAGTTATGAAAACTTACGAGAAGTACTTCAAGAAGGACTTGTCCAACTTACCGGCACCAGCTAATTCATCGGCAGCGGCAGAAATAGCACTCTTGACACCAGCAGCATCCACACCGGTGACTTTAGCAGCTACATCAGCCAATTGAACATCGTCCAACTTGTCGACAATCAAATCCAAGTCAGCATCAACATCACTAGCTTTACCGGCATCACCAAAGTAATCGGCATCTTTACCACAACCTCTAATGGATCTCTTTTGCTTCTTTTTGGCGTTTTTGGCGGCTTCTTTGGCCTTTTTACCAGTAAGCTTAGCAGAAGCAGCCTCTTCAGCAGCCTTTTTAGCAGCTTCTTCTTCAGCAGCCTTTTTGGCAGCAGCCTCTTCAGCAGCCTTTCTACTACCGGCTTCCTTCTCCCACTTCTTTCTTTCCTTCTCCTTCTTTGCCTCATCCTTGAACATCTTGATTCTTGGATCTTCCGAATACGCTCTTTCGATCAAGGCAATGACCCTCTTATTGTCTTCCTGCTTCAACTTCTTTCTGTTGGAGACGTTCTTACGCTCAATGTAACGCTTGTGGTCTCTGTTGGCGGTGTCATCAGGAACATCATCGTCCTTGAATTCAAAGGTTTTCCAGGAGTCAAATTTACCCCAGAATCCATAGAATCCTTCAACTTCTTCCTTGGTAGAGTCCATGGTGCCCAATGAAGGCACAGGCTGTGTCTTGGAAAATCTCCCCTCGGCCTCGAAAACAGGCGCCCAGGCATCAATAAAGTCGTATTGGCTCTTTGGCGAAGGTGGCTTGACATCAGCGTTCTCGTCCACAGAGTCGAATTGTCTTCTCTTGACTGGATCCAACATCACCTCAAACGCCTTCTGGATGATCTTGAAGAAACCATCCTGGTCCAAGCCTCCTGAAGCAGACTTCTTGTCTGGGTGGTGTTTTAAAACCAGCTTTCTGTGGGCTCTTCTGATCTGGTCTTCGGTGGCTCTCCATCTTAACTTGGACAATCCCAACACTGCGTACAAGTCGGCAGTTTTCCAGTCTCTGGGGTCGTGTTCCAACAACTCTTCATCTTGATCCTCGTCACCGATGTCATCGTCGACGTTTTCTTCGACGGCAGTGACGTTGTTTTCAGCTTCCAACTTCTCGTACTCAGACCAGGTGTGACCTCTCAAGGTTCTGGTGGCGTGGGAGAGGAAGTAGCGGCCGACGGGCTCGATGGGACGACGCACGGGCGTGGTAACCTTGGCCTTGACGACGGGGCCTTCAGCACCGGTGGGTAAACTAGGTAAAACAATGGACATAGTATAGTTGAAAATTTTTTGAGATGCGAATTGTGCTATTTGGTGAGAAAGTTGGACCACCTGCTGGTGATGCCTATTTATAATATACATTTTATTTTAGTCCTTGACCACGGCCATGTCCAAGACTTCGATTGTGCCTTCTCCCCTCTTGATTTTGGCATTTTCACCTTGTAAAACATCCACAATGGCCCGGTAATTTGTAGGATCGATGATGCTTATCACCTCAAACACCTTATCAGTCTGATGTTCATCCTCAATGGCATCCAACATCGGCTTGATGTACCTATCGTACACCTGGTCCTTCACACGGTTTACTAAAATCACCTTCACCTTCATCTGTGCCCGTACAATGGGAAAAAGTTGTTTGGCCACAAGCAACTTAATGGCTTCAAGTGCCTGTAACTTGGCCGATTTGCTTGGATTCAAGTGGAATTTCAACTGGTTCAATGCCTTTTGGATCATGCTGGGAGGGTACCGCCTTTTGGACTTGGGGTTGATGCATTTAGTGGAGATGATGTTCAAAAATTCGTTTTGTTTCTGGCGCAAATTGGCACTACGTTCTTTTTCGTTCAACTGGATCTCACCTTTGTCCAAGATCTCGGCAATGATGGCATCTTGGTTGGTGGTGCCGAAGCCGGTCAAGAGATCCTCGTTGTTGGCGGCCTGGCCCTTGGAAACATTTATAAATACTTGGGGTATCTGAAGCACCTCATCCAAGTCTTTTTCAACTCGCAGCCGCCAGTCCTGAACCTTGTTCTGGTAGCAGGCGATTTCAAACCGCTTCTTGCCCTTTCGCATGCGGACCATCGACACGTTGGTAAGTTTGATCTGGGTGCCTGGTTGATTAATTACAGCCATGGCAAAGGTGTATTTGGTTAGAAATGTGAGAATAGTGCGATGAAAAAAAATCGTCTACGGGTGTATTCTTAAAGATGCATTAAATATAGTCTATTCAACATGAGGATGGGTTTAGTCGTCGTCCTCATCCTCGTCGCCGCCTTCGAGGAATTTGCCCTTGACGTCTTTCCACAACTTACCTTTGTTGTGGTTGTCGTACCAGGTGTTAATGGCTTTGTCGAAGAAGCCTTCGAACGCAAAGGCACCGCCGAAGACGGTGGCCACGTAGACCGAGTTTCTTTGGAATAAGGCGGATAACTAGGGGTGTTAGTAGGAGGTGGTGGAGGTGTGAGGAGGAGCTGGAACTGAAGTTAGAGTGGGTGAGGTGGAACTGCAACTGCAACTGCAACTGCAACTGCAACTGCAACTGCAACTGCAACTGGAGCTCGAACTGGAACTGGAGCTCGAACTGGAACTGGAGCTCGAACTGGAACTGGAGCTCGAACTGGAACTGGAGCTCGAACTGGAACTGGGAACAGTAGAGCAGGTAACGAACTTGAAGAATTCACTGGCACTTTGCTGCAGAAATGTCACTGGTGCCACTGCACAGATGGTATTCATTTATCGCAGTCGGCACAAATATAATACGCCCATCGAATGCAAAGACTCGCTCTCTCCATCTTCCAGCATGCTGCTCACTTCACGACAGATAAACAGGTCAACAAACATACCATATTGATCAAACTTGGGTAGCTAAACTATTGTGCAAATAAATTTTTGTTGATTACTTAAAGTCGCACGGTATTTTGATGCGACTTGATTGGTTCTTCGCGCACTCCACAAGAATCACATAAAAAACGAAGGTTGATACGTTTGGAGTGATAAGGTCAATTTACCAGCCTACCAGGTTACCATTCTACCATTCTACCAGCCTTTTATATATTCTACTCTAAAATCGCTAGTCTCATTGCTTCTCAACTGTTCACTTCTCCTCCAACTTCGTCTCCTCCAACTTGGCAGCCACCTCACCCACTCCCGGATATCTCGAGCCTTTGTTCTTCACCTTCTTTTCCTTCTTCTGCTTGGGCTGGGCCACTGGGTAACCCTTCGCTTCCACATCACGGAACTCTGCATTAGCCTCATATTCATCTCTGATGGGACTCACCAACCCGATGAGCTGCACCGTCACTCCCGCCTTCAAGTCCACTGGGGACAATTTCTCGGCCGCAAAGTCCTTCTTCAAGTCCTCCACCGAAGTGTAAGTGATGTCCCCACCATACTGTTCAGGCCGGCTAATAGGGAAATTAAAGTATCCCCACTGTTCAGCCTTCAACTCCTGGATGGGTTGAATGATGTTTTCCACCAACGAAATCACCCCGTTATCATTCACATCCCCTGGTGCACAGTAAGCACTAGCAATTTTCTTTTTGATGTTCTTGTCGGTTTCGATGATATCGATTTTTGAGTTGGGATCAGAAGCACTCATTTTACCTCCTTGACCCAACCCTGGTACCATGCGGTTCATCAAGTGACCTCTCTTCTTGTAGCCCAAGCTTGGAAGGTTTTCTTCCGCCAACACAAAGATCTTTCTCTGGTCCACTCCGCCAAACTGCGCATCCACATCCAAAAACTCTTCGTCCAAAGCTTGCATCAATGGGTAAATCAACCCGGACAATAAGGGGTTGGTCACCTGCTTGACGACGTCGGCCCCTGCTCTCTTGGCGTCATTCAGCCCCACGATGTTGGCCATTCTAAACAAGTCCATGGTATATTCTTGTTTCAACTGGTAAGTTGACCCGAGCACAAAGTGCAACTGCTCGACCGGGACCTTAATGGACTTCAAAATGGCCTTGACGATAAATTCGTAGTACTTGGCTCTGTGGCCCACCACCTCCAATGGAGCCTTCATGTTATCCAAGTAGGCGTGCAAGTCTGCCAACAACACGGTGACTTTACATCCAGCTTTTAACAAATGTGCCAACTTGATCATGGGAACAAAGTACCCGCAGTGGGGTTTACCAGTGGGGGCCGAGCCCCAGTAGACCTTCAACGGACGGTTTTCGTTCTCTAGCACATTCTTGATGATGTCTGCGTTCAACACCTCCTGGAGGCCTTTGGTGATCAAATCGTACTTCTCTTGTGGTGTCTTTGCTTCCATTGTGCACTGAGTCAGACTGGAAAAATTTTGGCCTGCCTAAAGGCGCGCGCGAAGTTCCAGAAAACTCCATATCCAAATCCCACCATTACCTCATACGGATCCAATTGCCTTCAATTGCTTGACCATGAAACAAGACTCCCTTAGGCGCTTCGTGGTGGAACTCCCGAGCCTCTTGGACTTCGACCGCGTGGACGACATCAAGACAAACGTTTTTAGGGCCCTTTACTATGCCATTTCCAATGATGGCCACTACTTGGACCAGTTATTCCCAAATATCTCCCATGTGGAACTCATGGATTTGCTAGAAAAAGAGTATCCTATTCATCCCAAAGGCACTTCCGAGTTCTTTTCTGGCGTCGACCAGGAGCACCAGCCGTATAGCCATTCCAAAGGTTCCGCTTGTGCAAGGCCTTTTGAAGATGGTGAACCGGTTTACCGGTGTGAACTGTGTGGATTTGATTCTAGCTGTGTACTATGTGTTCACTGCTTCAACGAAGACGACCATGTTGGCCACAACGTGCAAATGTACATTGCTAGCGATAATAATGGGATCTGTGATTGTGGTGACCCAGAAGCGTTCCCCAGCACTTTGAGATGCAAATCCCAGCGCTTTGAAGAGGCGATTCTCCCGTTGAGTGACGATTTCCAGGAGGCCGTGGGTGACACCTTGACGGTGGTGCTCGACTATATTCTTGACGTGACAAACTTCTCTATCACGATGTTGCCGTTTATTCACGACAACATTAATAAGCGACACAGCATTTTGACGTCGGAGACATTATCGCACCGGTCGTCGTTACCGGCTGCCAAGTACGGCGTAGAGGACAAGAACAGCAAGCAGTGGTACTTGGTATTGTGGAACGATGAGTACCATGATTTTAACCAGGCTAATAATGGCATCATGTCTGCCACTGGCTACGACCAACAAAAGGCATACCAGCTCGCCAAGCTCGTGAACCAGGACGGGCGGTGCGTTCTCAAGAAGGCTTCGGATCCTACCGACCTACTTGAGTCGATGGATAAGGTTGAAGCTGGTGGTTTGGTGGCAAGTATCATTAGTGCTAGGGACTTCATGAGAGAGGAAATCATTTATTATATGTTTGAATGGCTCCACGAGGTGTTGAACTTCAACTCATTTGCCAGGTTCAGAGAATGTGCCAAGTCGACAATTGCCAGTTTGCTTTTGGAACCTGACTATAAGTTTGCCGAAACGTTACCTACAACTTTGATTGAAGAGCTTTCGATTGACGTCCCAAGAAGATGCTACGAGAATGGTCTTTTATATGAGGGTCAGATTGTCAATTACGGTCATACCACCCTCAAGTCCGATTTCTCCATCAAAGACCTTTCCAAACCCGTATACCAGGTGCTTGATCCTAGCCCTGATTCTTTATACAATTCTAGGGCCCAGCACTTACTACTTTTCTCTCACCGATTCAAGACCTCCATCAGAAAGAGGTTTCAGGACATCATCGTCCCTCCCATAGTAACAGCAATTGTTCTGAAGACGGTGTTTTGCAAGCAGTACATTCAGTTATACCCTCAGTTATTGACTTGTTTGGCATTTTCTGATAGAGAAGAGCACTTGAACATTTGTTCGCATCTCAGCAGCCAGTTGTTAACATTCCCAACTTCTTGTCAAAACATGTTGCAATCTGATCAGGTCGGTAACATCGTGGGTCCGTTGGCACAAATTATCGAAGAGCAAGCTTCCATTTGGAACTACGAGTCTGGATACCCCAATTTCTATGAACCTACTACTACTGATAAAAGCAAGAGCAGATCTCTTTATGAAGCCATTTCCAGAGGATTACATGATGTTGGTTATGTAGTGGACGAAACCTTGGCTCCAAAACACTTCCACCGGTTGTTAAAAAGACAGAATCTTGTTCCATTATTGTTGTTACTTCGTAACTTTCAAGGGTTTTGGACCATAGAAAGAAAGTATGGTGAACATGTTGAGCGAGAGATCTTGGATTTTGTGGTTCACTTGCAGTATTCCATTCCAGTACTTAAATTTGCTAAGTTAGTGGCTGAGGCCCCGGTGAAAGACCAGGATTTAATATTGTCAGTTGCCGAATTGGTAACCAACTTCTTGTTCTTGAGAAAAATTGACCAGAAAGCTTTGGGAATAGCCGACTTCAAAGTAAGCAAAGAAGCGGTTTCATTCGTTCATCCACTTAATTCGTTCTTGTCATTCTTCTTCCAAAGCCATGATACTGAAGTGTTTATTGACTTCTGGAAGAACCTTAGTCGTCCTTTTATGTCCATTGCCGATATTTCCTTGAGAAGTATAGTTTTAGGGTCTCAAGTCAAGGTAGGATTTTGGATCAGAAATGGAATTTCTGTTTCAAGGCAAGCCTCATTGTATATCGACAGTGTAATGGCTGACTGTGCTTACTTTAGAGACATCCATTTGAATCAAATTGCAGCTGTTATAGACGATGAAGGCTCTACCTTGTATAATTTTTTGGACAGATGGGAACTTTTCTCTTGGTTTGTGGGTGATGTTGGATTTAACGAGACTGTCTATGAAGATAGATTCAGTGCCATTGTGGAAAAGTTTGTCATATTTCTCTACAATTTAATCGTTGACAGGACTCCATTCTTGAACTTAACCAGAAACCAAAGAACTGAACGCACGGTAAAGAGAATGATGTGCTATTCTTTGAGTGAGGCCCCTAAGTCGTATTCTAAGATCAAAGAGCGTATTGATCCAGAGATTAACTCTCATAAGAACTTTGATGAATGGCTTGAAGAATGTGCCGAGTACCAGTCCCCAAGCAGTTTGGTTGACTCGGGAATGTACCGTTTAAAACCAGAGTTGTACTTGACCTTGGATCCTTATAGTGTTTACTTGGATTCGAGTAGATCACAAGAGGTTTCGGATATCATTCTCAAAATAATTGCTAAGTCTCCCGAAATCATGGAAAGAAATGTTATCAAACCAAACATTATATACTCAGGAAACCATTACGTTGATGATCGTATTGCAAGATTTACCAAAACCAACTACTTTGCAAAATTGGTCTACAAGCTTTTGAAGGTTGCAATTGAGAATAAAGATGAAACTTACTTGGCACCCTTGCTTCACTTATTTCATGCCGTGTTGTTAGATGGTGAACATGAAGATTCTCAAAGTGGAGTCGTTGACTGCTTTGTAGATATTCCAATTGGTGATTTGTTGATGTCTATTACTGAATCAACTTTGTCCAAGCATTTGGTTGCGAAAGCAGATTACTTATTAAACATGCTTATAACAAAGGATCAAAGGGTAGTAGACTCCTTGGTGAATTGCTTTGGCAAAGAGCATATTGATAATTATATCAAGAAGAAATCAGGAAGCATCGAATCTGTCAAAAATAAGAGTAAAAGATTAGCTTCCCAAAGAGCTGCCAAAGTAATGAAAAAGTTTGCGATGCAAAGAAAGAAATTCCTTGATCAAAACTCAGATTTGAACTTTGAGAACTTAAAACCAGAACCAGAAACAAATATTGAATTAAGAAATTGTGTGTTATGTGGTGATCGTGAGTCGACGGATGAAATCTTTGGTATCTTAGGTAACACTCTTAACTCATCTATTTTGTGGAAGATACCTCCTGATGACCCTACTGCTATCAAGGCAGCATTCACAAGGTATGATGATGCAGATAAATCTGATGATGCTGTTTATGGAACGGGATTCAGATACCCAAAAGGACCTCTTTCCCCTGGTAATCCAAGTGAGTACAGAACTTTGAATAGTAAGAAGTACGATGCTTTTGTTGCTTCAAGTTGCAGCCACGGGATGCATTACACTTGTTTTAAACGTTTGAGTGGACGGAGCAGTATATTCCCTTGCCCTTTGTGCCATACCATACAAAACATTTTTATTCCCAGCTTCTTACCTCCTTCACAAAAGTCTGGATTGACCATTGACGAGTTGAACAGTGAACCTATCGTCAACAAATATAACCAGATATTAAATTCCAGCAGTGAGAATAAAAGCAGCCTTCTTATCGAGAGATTTTTTAATGAGAAGTTCACAGAACTGTCTTACTTGGCCCTCAGAAGAAATCTTGAAGCATTTTCAGAGGATTTCAACCTCAAATTGAAGAAGGGCAATTTCTTGGCCGGCCTGAATCAGAAAATCGAGTACATCAACACCCTTTGCAAACTTTCAACCTTGGTAGCAGATACCATCAGAATGAACGAAATAACAACCCGATTGAATGGCAAAGAAGGATATGCCAATTTTGTTGAAGCTATTCCTGCTACAACGAAGACATTGCTCAAATCTTTGATTCAGTGTAGAGCTTTGTTGTACGAGCTTCGTGAAATGCCAAATTTGTTGGGTAGCAGCTCTGACTTACAACAGTGCATCGAGAAGTTCTGGTCCTCAGAATACTTGATAGACGGTGTCTTCAATGAAGTGGTAATGTTGTTTTTCCAAACAGATGAATCCTTCAGGACTTTAGCATATGTTGGGTTCATCAAGATGTTCACTCTTTGTTTCTATTCCGTTGCCTTAAGATGCAAGAGTCTGTTCTTTTTGAACCAAATCAAAGAGATTTCTCGCATTAGTCTTGATGACGATCTTGTACGTGGTTTGGATGTGATATTCGATCGTGGCAGGTCTTTGGTAATTGAGTACGCTGTGGAAGAGAAGAAGGCTGATTTTTTAACATCCATATACCATGCAGTTGAGAAGTGTATGGTTCCATTTTTGAAGCAGTTGATAATCTTTAAAGATGTGTTGACTTCCACCAATGAAGGAGACAACAACCACATTAGTATACCTGATATTCAGGACCTCCCAGGTGAAATAAGGGCCCAAGGACGCCTTGATTGCGTCGATGCCTTGTGTCAAAATCTACAACTTCCGACCTTGAAAGAACTTGTAGGCCTCATCTCCAAAGATGAAGGCTTCGAGTTTAAAACTTTTGATGTGATCCTCAATGCCAAAATTCCAAAATACTTTGAATCAGGCGTATTGACTCTTGATTTCCCGGGAACAGTTAAGTTGATCGACTTACCTAAAGACTACATTTCATGTATTCTTAACCACAATAAGAAAGGAAGAAGTGGCACGTACGATAACTATATCTGTCTCCATTGTGGGGCTCAACTTTCTACTAACAGGTACTATAAACACACTAGGAAATGCTCCAGTAGCACCTGTGTGTTTTTCCATCCTTCTAAGAACAATATCAGAGTTGTGACCCATGTTGGAGGCGGGCAAGTGACATTATTGATGCCTGGACCGTATCTTACCGCTCATGGTGAAGTCAAAAACCCTGTAAGTACCGAAAAAGCCACTCTTAATCAGTTTCGATATAATGAGTTGAATAAACTGTGGTTGAACCAAGGTCTCTACAGCTTTGTGACCAGAACTTTATACGGTTCAAGGCAAACCAATGTCGAAGGTGTTTTTGTGCCTCCAACTACTGGTGTGAATAATTTGAATTTTGCAAACGCAGAAACAAATCTTGATGAGGAAAGCAGCGAAGACGAATACGAAGATTTCTTTGCTCCTTTCGCTTGGTAGTTTTATGACTAGATAATTTTATGACTATTTTAATGAAATATATGCACACGATTTGATTGTAAAACTATAAAGTGTTCCATCCTCCAGCATCAATGACATGATCAAGTTTTCTCACAATGAGATTAGGAATGTTGTGGTTTAACCAAGCATTTCGGATCAAACCATTGTATCGAGGCTTCATCAAATAAAGAGTATTACTTCTTTTGCTTTCGACAGGAAGCTCGCCGTGCAGATCCAAGTATGGGGCCTCAGTGAAAGAGCCTCCATTCTTGTGCAAGAGAAGAATGGCCTTATCTTTTGGAAGAAGAAATATGCCAATATTATTGGGGCATTCCTTCAAAAGGTGAGCAGAGCATTCTCCTAAAGGAGAACCAATGGCACACCTCTGTACATCAACAACTTGTCCACAAAACAAACAAACTGCTGGGTCCTCAATTGTGGTGTGAGGTTTGTCATACTTGTCAGAATAATAGAATTTGGTGAAGAAAAAGTCCAATCTTTCTGGTAAGTCTATCAACTTGATTTGCCCGGGGTATTCCAAAGAGACATGGTGATCCTCACTCCGACCATTAGTGCCATGGAGATTTTCAAAGAAGGCATTGAATTTCTTCTGCTCAAAAGACCCAGTACTTGACAAGAACTTCAGTAATAGTGTATGAACACTATCGATGCCGGCAACATCGCACAATCGATCTGCTTCCAAGAATATCTCCTCCAGTCCATTGTAATTGCCATCGTCAGCACAACAAACAAACGTGTAAATTGTAGCTCTCCGTATAAATGGTGTACATGCTTTCAAAAGCATTGAATAGAATATGAACCCAAACTTATTATCATTGGCAATCATATCCTCGTCGTCATCAGGAATCAAGTACTTTCTGACCCTTCTGAATACTTGTGCTGCCATATGAGCTTTTTCTTCATCCACTGTTGATATGACAGGAACATCTAAAATGGTATACTCGAGACACTGGTAAAAGTTGTGAGACAAGATATTTTTGGATATCAAATATATGGTTTGTATGACATGGGCCATAAATGTAGCCCGTAAGATCACATTAAACAGAAAGCCCGCTTCAGGAACAGGGAAAGTCTTGACTAACAACTCAAAAAAGTCCTGTTCCAACACTTTTTCAATGAATGACGAATTGGAGTGGAATGAAAGCAAATTGGAGACTAAGCCCACGTAAACGTCGTACTTTCTGGAGTCCTCTTCGGGGAAGTCTCTTGTTTTCATGTACAATGTACTGTTTCTAAACTCTGCAAGTGACCTAAGGTTGATCAATGCATTGTTGGTCAATTGCTTGTGAACAAGTAACCCATTAGAAGACTCACCTCTCAAGGAAATCTCAAAAGACTTGATGGTATTAACTAAGATACTTGGAGCATCTGCTTTGGACGAGTTAGGAAATGAGAAGAAAGTCATCACCAGAGACATGTTGGATAATAGCATATTGAATGTCTGCTTTACCCGGGAATCGTCCGAATTGGTGTCTGTACTGAAGATGTTATCGATTACCTTCTTTGCACTTGGAGATAATGTACTAAATTCTTCAACGCTCTTTCTTGCAGCTTTCATAAACCCTGGGAAATATTGCAGTCTAGATATCTCCATTTGCTTCAAGGAGTCGAACACTGATAAATCACCATTGTCTATTGGTCCTGGTTTCAAGAACTCGGACATCAGTCTCTTGTTGTTGGTCCACAATATCGGTACAAACATGTTGTTGATGGCTTTACACAAAGGACACAAAAACTCTTTGTGGTCTGGATTATCTGGAGAGTTTCTTGTGATCTGGTTTTGCCGATTCCGGTTATTGTTCAAGTAACTCAAGTAACAACTGAAATGCATTCCATGCCCACAGCTCAGAGATACCAACTTGCTATCAACATGTTCACGCAGAGCAAACCCTGGACCCAAAACATTGTCCTCTTTGATCTTATCCATGTAGGACATCCAGTTGCTGGTGAAAATGTTTTCGTTTACTTCCGTTTCATCCTCGTTCAAGTTACAGCCATCTGAGAAGGCTTTAAGAAACCAGTACTTGTCGTCAAACGGAACCGAACGAAATTCTGACGACTTGCTCACATAGGAGATAATTCCAAAAGCGCCTGAATTTTGGGCTGTATCCTGACAAAGAATACAGTGAGGTTCTGGGAAACTCCATCCGATGGTATCTTCTTCTTCGAGTTCTGTATCACTGGTTTCAATATTGCTCATCTTGTTCTTCCTCAAAAACAGAGACTGCTGTTTCTTAAACTTAGCCATAAGCTTTGCTTGTTTTTCCTTTGCCATTCTCTTCTTCACTTCCATTTCACTTTCCTGGCTTTGAACGGGCACACTTTCGTGCAACTTATTGTTATCATAGTCTTCGATCAAGGAGTTCATTAAAGAATCAACATCATACTTTTTGATAAAATTAGTGAAGATGGCTCTAATTTTAGAGTGGTGTTCCTTGTAACAGTCGGTTGACAAAAACTTGTACAAAAAGCTTGCAATAGTATACGAGTTTCCAAAAGGAGCATACACGGAATTTTCAGTTCCTTTGGCAATAACGTCGAAGAAAGAGCCATACTTTTCCACATTAAGGGTACTTTCATAAGAACATATATGGAGAAGATGCAACATCGTTTCCAATAGAGAGTCAGCTTTCTCAATTCCCACAGCCTCCACGTAAAGTAAGTTCGTGATAATGAAGTCTTCAAAATAGCTTGAAATGGAAAAGTTTCCCACGTACTTATACATTCCAAGCTCCAGAGGATCTCTAATGCAAGGTGTAATAGTAGCTTGTGACATCTTGATCTTCTTGGTAGTGCTCACCTTTTCTTTTATTAGCTTGACAGCATCATCTCTGGTGTTAGCAGAATAATTGAAGTAGTACGGATTAACTCTTTCGAAATATTTATCCTTCAATCTGTAAGATCCAACATCCTTACTAGTATTAGGAGGAGTGAAAATAGTCAACTCATGAAGAACAATATCGAACCGTTTGTCAATAACAATGTGGTCGGGGATTTGAGAACAGAGCTTTGTATAGCTCACAGGTTCAAAGCATAGGTTCTGGATGATTTCTGTCTCGATTCTTGTTCTAGCAGTTTGCTTGTCTGGCAAACTACGGAGATAAAGATCTTCCGTCAATAAATGAATGAAAAAGTTCAAACACTCTTCAAGCATATATGACAATGTCTTAGAGTCATATGTTAAAGCGGTTCCATCACCAGCCTCTTCACTCTTGTTGCCTTCTTGTCGAATAGCTAAGGATTCTTTGACCTTATCCATGGGGGTCATTCCTCCCTTGATTTCGTCTTCAGTTAGTTGAGCAATCCAACCGTTCAATAGTTGCCAACGATTGAGTATGGTGAAACAAACCAACTTTGGGGAGTACAAATTGGAAAAAAGTTGGATCATAAAGAGGTCTCTCATGTATCCGCTTTCTCTCAAGCTGGTGTTTTTATACAACTGTAATTGAGATCGGATACCAAAGCCGTTTCTCACCCAAAGCCCAGACTTAATTTGAGACATGAGCACTATAGTCCTTATCGAATACTCAAAAAAGACAGTTGGGCTAATTTGGACATTTTCGGCTTGTGAGAATTGAGAGCATGTAGAGTCAAGAACCTCTCTAACGACCTCAATGCAGTTGAAAGAAGAAGACTCCAATAACCAAGAAGCAAACGAGTGGATGGGATGAAGAAAACTAACTTTCCCACTGTCAATGCTGTAATTTTCAATGCTGGTGTTATCGCTTGTTCCGTCTGCTTTCGGTGGTACCAAACTGACATCAATGGTCTCGTCCGTCAAGCCTGGATACTTATTGACTTCCAAATTAAGAAGGAATGTGAAAACATCTGCAATGGCTCTTTTCGACAACGCTTTGATGGTCTCATCGCTGACATCCTTTAAGTTGTTAAGGGAATGAGCGGTGGACTCTGCAAATTGGTAGATCACCAGCACTGACTGGAAGAACGAACTATATTCGGGGTTTTCAAACTCCACATGGTTCTTACTTTCCCGTTTTAACACCGGTCTTCCTTGGAAAAGAGCCAATATGTCACATGCCATGGCTATCACGTCAGGAGATAGCACTGTAAAAGCATGCCTATTTCTGCTTAGAATGTAGCCTATGTCGAAGAAAATTTGACCCCATCTTCGGTTCCTCAAGCTCTTGAGAGAAATTTGGTGAGTTACCTCGACGTTTTGAGGAGACTTGATTTTATCATCGGTGAAAAACCCGTAGATTGCAGCAAATATCCTTGCCAAGTCCCCATGTTCAACAATGGAAGAGGAGTTGGAAGGGCAAGTGAACAATTGGGTCGACAACGTCGACATTAGACTCAATTCAGGTTCTCTGTCCTTTAATAAAAACATGTCGGTAATAGTAGGATAAATGTCCACGTACTGACAAGCAATAATGTTCTTATACTTCAAGTTGGTGATAAGCGATGTGGAGTACATATCATGCAACAATAGTCTGATCGATCTCCAGAACCGAATATCAAGGTAACAGAAGTACTGGAGCCGGGACCCGATATGATTTTTGTGAAGGTCATAATCGTCAGTATTCAAGTTGTACTCGCATTCTCTGCAGATATTTGGGTCCAACCTCCATTTTTTGGGGACAAACTTCCAATGCAGAGAAGCTGGATTCCTGTCGGACTCCAATCTACTAGACGGGATTTTGGGGATTTGGTTGAAAAAATCAAGGGAACCGGTATTATAAAGCAACCACTGGTGAATCTTTGGATCGTCTCTCAACCCGTTTCTCCACTTTCTGCAAAATGCTTTACAAAAAGTATTTTTGACAGAATTGGAAATCTTGAACATCTCGCTTTCAGTGAGTTCGCTAATCCAGTTGAGAATCTCATCACACATGTCTTCTCTAAAGACGTCTCTCAGGCTTCTTATAGAAGTTGCAATGCCAGTAGCCGCAAGAATCCTTTGTCTTTCCTTCAAAACGTCTACATCCACCGAAGTGACGACCTTTGCCTTTCCAAACTCCTGGGCCTTATCCGTCACCATGATGGCAAACTCTTTGACTTTTCTGCTGGCTAGTCGAACTCTTTGAACCGCTTCTCTATAGTGTCTATTCTGGTCGTTGTATATCATCAAGCAAAACTCTTCACTATTGAGATCGAAAATCTGGGGATCATCGAACCCATACTTAGTCGAGTCCAACTCGCTGTTTGTGGAGTAAAAGTCCACAAAGTCGTTGGTGAGCTCGTTGGCGGGAGTGAACTGGAGGTCGGAATGGGTCATGACATCGATAACGTAGTCAAGAATGGTCTCCATCGTCCGGAGAAACGCCGTCTCCAACTCCACTGGCATGGTACTATTTCGTAGTATATTTGCCTCTCTGTCGTTGGAAGCGTAGGGGCAAGGAAACTCGTTGACCCACGCCTCGGGGTCTCCACAGTCGCACACCCCACCGTTTTCTCTCAACGAAATGGCAATATGGACGTTGTGGTTGGCGTGGGCTTCGGGGACGTAACAGTGCGAGCAGAGCGCACACGTGTCATCGTAGCCACAGGTTAAACACCGGTAAATCGGCTCACCTTTTCTGAAGATACGTGCACACGGCAGACCCGAGTGGAACGCGTGGTGATTATGGGAATTGAACTTTGGGTCCCGCTTGTGGAGACTCGTTTTGTAGTAGACACTGTAGCTGCTGTCGAACTCGTCATGGATCGTTTGTAACATTCCTTCGGCCGTTGGTGCCAGGTGGAGATCTGGAAATGCATTGGGGAAAAACCACGGGAGAAACTTTCCACCACAGGAAATGGCTTGGAAAAGCTGTTTGCGGATGGTCTTGCGGGTATGGTTGGAAAAGTAGAACTGCTGTTCAGCGGGGAGGCGAAAGAGGAACCGCTTGAGCTCGTCAATGTTGTGGCTCGAGTCTTGATAGTGTTCTTCCATGGAGTGATAAGCTTACAAAGATTCGCGAAAAACTGCGAGCGTTGATGGCATTGACTGCAAAATGAGACAGCTATGTGATTATAGTGAAAGTTTAAAACTATATACGTTGTGTTGACGTGTTGTGGAGTTGGGATGTTTTGAAGTGACGCGGGTCAATACATTGCCACAAGATCATCACTGCATCTCTGGCCGAACTTATGAGCTTTTGCTGCTGATATCCCCAGGTTATCGATGAGCGTATATAATGATATGATCAGATTTTGGCTGCTAGTGGGCAACATGAACTCAGCATCTCTAGATCGGGCCTGATATCGTTATACCGACAGTGGTCTCATGGGCTTACATGGAGAAATTGGTTTCATGATCAGAAAAAAAACGGCATTTTAACATGGTTTTCCTATGTCCATGCCTGATGACAGTCGGCTATTCCCCCGATGTTATCGACAAGGCATGGATGAACTTATGATAATGGACTTGTGATAACGGAATTGTGATAACGGAATTGTGATATCACCCTTTGCCAATTCGCACCTTGACTCTCAGTCGCAATCTCAGTCGCAATCTCAATCGCACACTGGAAAACCTAAGATTCAACATACTTCCACATGAGCGACAAGGAAATCATATTCTACGGGCCTAGCGTGGAGAAGAACCGTACCAAACTCCAGTACGTGCACCACGTGATGTGTCTTAGCCTCGGGGTGGCAGCGGGAGTGCTCTCCTTGGAGTCGTTTATGGGATTCGTGTTCTATGCCGCGGGCATGACCGCCACCAACCTAGGCTTTGTGGCGGTGTGCTGTCACGGGAAGCCCCGCCAGTTCTTCCGGTTTCCATTGCAAGAGGTGTTTTGGGACGGCATCCAGAGCAATATTGCCGGGTATATCATGATGTGGTGCTTGGTCTACGCACTTGTGAAGTGAGGCCACTGGCATCACCACGACCTATCTACATATCAATACACAATCACGACCCAATTATATTCGATTATAATGTCTAATCAAATGTCATAATCATCCAGCCCTGACCATACGCCGTCAGGGTGCGCGCCAATGTCAACAAATTTCAACCTCCACCGCTGATTCACCATTGACCCACCATGGAGAAAATCGACTTATCCACCAATGCCCGCAATATCGAGAATGCCTACTTGAAGGTGGTTCGTAATCAAGGAATCAATTACCTCATCTTAAAGGTTGACAACAGTGCGGTTGTCGACTTGGAAGAAACTGGCCAGGGTGATTTGAACGAGTTCGTCGAACACTTTACCGATGGCCACGTCCAGTTTGGGTTGGCCCGGGTCAATGTCCCCGGTTCCGATGTCTATAAGAACTTGTTATTGGGATGGTGCCCTGCCAACGCCCGGGCTAAGGCCAGATTGTCATTTGCCAGCAACTTTGCCGACATTGCCAACGTCTTGGTGGGATATCACGTCCAGATCACCGCCAGAGACCAGGACGACTTGGATGTCAATGAGTTCTTATCGAGAGTCTCGGCTGCTGCCGGTGCTAGATACTCAATCCAGAGCCTCTCTTCGTCGGCCAAACCTATCACCTCCAAGCCAATCAGTTCCAAAGCGGTTGAACCAATTGTACCAAAACCAGCACCAACCCCTGCCAAATCGTTAGCTCCTACTAAGCCTGCGGCCCCAAAGCCTGCATTCAAACCGGCCTTTGTGCCAAAGTCTACTGGAAACCCCATCAACGTTTCTGAAACTCCTATCATCAAGCCCAAACCAGTGGTCAGCGTACCAAAGCCCCTGGTGGCTGATGAGGATGACTGGGGTGATGCTGAGGATGTGGAAGAAAGAGATTTCGACGAGAACCCGTTGCAAAACACCCCTTCCGCTTATAAGCCGACAAAAGTCAATATTACCGAGTTGAGAAAACAAAAGAGCGACACGATTTCTTCACAGCCAACAGCTGTCAAACCAGCTGATGACAAACCCGAAGACGGTGAGTCTCCTCATTCGTTTAAGGACAGAATGTCTGCCTACAAGAAAAATGAAGAGCCTTCAGATGGACGGTTGACGTCTTTGCCCAAGCCCAAGACCAACCACGCAGTGTCATCTCGGTTCACACCTGTGGCGTCAGGACCTCTGTTTGGATCCAAGCCTTCGTTTATCAAGCCGGTTGAAAACAAAACCGACAAGTTGGTGACGGGAGTCAACAGAGACTTTGCTTCTGAGAATGGTAAGACTCCTGCTCAGATCTGGGCTGAGAAGAGAGGAAAATATAAAACTGTTCCACAAGAGGAGGAAGTGGTTGAAAAGTTGGCTGAGGACGTTGCTGATGTGCAAGTGTCTGCACCGGAAGAGCCCGAAGACGAGACTCCGGAGGAGTCCCCAGAGGTTGAGACTCCTCCAAGGGAAGCCACTCCCAAGGAAGTCACGCCAGTGCCTTCTTTGCCAGTTCGTAATCTTCCTCCTCCTCCTGTCAGGGCTGCTGCTGCCACTCCCGTAAAAGCCGTCACCCCACCGGAAGAGAAAGAAGAACCTCCAGCTCCAGCTCCAGCTCCTAGACCGGCTGCTGCCTTGCCAAAGAAAGGGCCTTCTGCCGTCGCCGAGTACTCCTACGAGAAGGACGAGGACAACGAGATTGGATTCGAAGAAGGTGACTTGATCATCGAAATCGACTTTGTCGATGACGACTGGTGGTCGGGTAAGCACTCAGTCACGGGCGAGATTGGGTTATTCCCTTCTTCGTACGTCACTGTGAAAGACGGCGAAGAGTCCAAGGACGAGTCCAATGTAGAACCCAAGGAAGAACCCAAGGAAGAACCCAAGGAAGAACCCGTGTCGGCTCCAGAAGAAACACCAACTGCCACCGCTGAGTACACCTACGAAAAGGACGAAGACAACGAGATCGCGTTCGAGGAAGGAGACTTGATTGTGGAAGTGGAGTTTGTCGATGAAGACTGGTGGTCTGGTAAGCATTCCAAGTCGGGTGAGACCGGCTTATTCCCAGCCAACTACGTGAAATTAAATAACTAGCCCATGGCCTTAAATAAATGATTAAATATGTACGCCTATAGCTTAAAGTCTGCAGCTTCAAGGTCTGATTAACCCCCAAGGCCTTTAATAAATAAATGTGTACCTATAAATTCAAGTACTGCTTAACAGCGGTCCCCCACGCGGGTCTTCTCTTGTAGAACCCCAAATCAGTAGGTAAAGCATCAATGGCCCTACACAATTCGTCCGCCAACCCTTCCTGCTTTATCTTCAGAATCGGCGTCAAGTAGGTGCGAACCGTCATAATGTTGGCTCCCAGCTTAGGGAGTCTGGTCAACACCTGCCTTTCACACCGCAAGAAACATCCGTTTTCAAAGTCGATATCTTCAAATTTAATCTCCTCGATGCTTTCACCCTCGTGGCCGTGGTTGAGACGAAGATTATAGTGCTGGTTATGCGTCTGGATGGTCCAGTTGAATCGGACCCATAAGTCGGATGGCTGCAACCGGTTAAAAAACCTTCCCATCGAAAGTTTCAATCTTTCCTTGTACTGCGGAACCACGTCGTGAATCTCCGAGATCACCTTATCATGATTATCAGAAGGATCAAATCCAGAAGGGAACCCGGTGATGCCACTTCTCAAGGTGTACTCCATCTCGTGGTCATTGGGGTCGTCTTTGAGAAACACCACCACGTCCTCTTCCATAGTTCTGGCCAATGCCAAGTATAAAGCCATTGGATCCTCACCTGCCAGGCTCGCGGGCACGTAGTCATCATTGATTTTGTTGTACACCTGATTGCCCTTCTTGACGAAATACTGGGGGTACCGCATCAAGAAGAAGTTGATACACAGATCGTAGTACTCTCTGGCCGCCAACTGGGACCGGGGGCTATCATTAATCTGGATGGTTTTATCGACGTTACTGGAGGTGATATCCCGTTTTTTGGTGGTGACTTCTCTGTACGTATCTTCGATCAAGAGCCACTGTTCTGGCTGGGCCGCCAAGTTCTTGATGCCCATATTTGGTCTGAAGTCCTTTTTGTTGACGAAGGGACGGATTTTTTCAGGTTCAGTGGTATCCCATCTGAAGGACTTATCGATGGGTTTGATGTTGCTGATAACAGAGACAGGGCCCTTGGGTTTGGCTGTGTGGCGCTGGTAGAGGTGGAAGAGGCTGTAGGTGGCCACCAACACCGTGAGCACGAAAATAGCAGCTAACATGGAGAGTGTCTGGTAACTAGGGTGAAACAGAAAGTTAATTTTACAGCCGTAGGGATGCGAATTCCGCGATAGCGAGGAAGTTCTGTCAAGATAGAAGAGTTTACCGGTCTACAATTTGAGATGGAATGGAGAGGAGAAGAAAGATATGTAATAGGGATCATTGAGTGTGTATTTCAGGCCCATTGGCTATTTATCCAATTTATCCTCTTGTATATGTAGTATTAGCGGTTTTTGTGGAGCGGAATTCATTACTTGAACAAGAGGGTGCGATTTAACCATAAACCTCTGACCCCTACACCCACCGAAGTGCTGACCACCAGTCCATTGAAGTTCAAGTAAACTTGATTGATAGACTATATCACCCGGCGTGCTGTCATCCACCTGCTGTCATTCACATACTCTCATCTGCACATCTGTGTATCCTCCCCTAACATTTCTATTTTTCGCAGCCAACGTATATTCATGTCAATAATCCTCTCATAACTACAGCTGCATCCGATGCCAATTCAATCCGTTCAATCCTTGGATAGCTCCGCAACAAACAGTGTATAGGAAAAATCTTTTCTCCCTTCAAGTCGAAATCATCCAACACAATCCCCTTGATGTTTCCCACCATAAAATTCATTTTCTTCAACACATCACTCACAATGGTGATCAAGTGGTTGAACCCATTTTCAAAGTCCAAGTCTCCAAAGTCAAATATTGAAGAGTCAAAGTAGAAATAACAGTTGCTGAGCTTATTATAAGGAGCGTGCTCGTGGAACCGATTCATTTCGAAATTCGTGTGTTCCAACTTGTACATGGCATCAAAATCGAAATTAGCCTTGCGCATTAAGCACCGCTGGTAGTAGTCAATTGCATCCGAAAGCACATTCTGAATGAACTCCAACCCATCAAAAAACATAAGGAAGATCTTGCCGGCAAAATCAACCTGTTTGTGTGTGTCTGCTTTGAAGTCATCCACAAACTGCACCAAGTCTGCAAATGAGTTCAAGTATCGAAGCCGGTAGTGTTTGGGCAACGCATTATCCAACTGCTCGTTCATGTCCTGCAACTTATTTTCCACTTGCAGGACAGAGCCATTGGTCAATACAAGCACATCATATTCGGATGTGGGCATGCAGGTAAATCTCTGGATCATGTTAAATGCCTCTTAGAATCTGCTTATCTTTGGGATTTTATTGGCTCTTGATAAGCTATTTATACATCAAAATGTGGAGATGTGAAGTGGGTAGAAAAGTATAAATAATCCCCGAAACCCTCCGTTGTTTCCCCCTTTTTTTTGGTAGTGTTAGGTTGCACTAGTTTATGATTGGATGTTTCTGTGGGCACAGGTTGACATCAGTTTGAGATATTCCTGAATAGTAGTGTTGATTCGCCTACAGTTTCTGTATGCGTCAAAAACCCGAATTTTCATCGCGTTTCCCCACAAATTTGCATTAAAGTATGGGCCGAAGCATGGGCCGGACTGGCCTCCAGGTTTGGTGATGGGTGGAGAGATGCTTGAGCTTCTGGCGAGGATGATTGTATTAACTATGAAGATATTATGGAGGGTATCATGGGTGAACGTGAGATGGCGAGGTGGGTGTTTCGGTGAGATACAGGGAGGTGGATCGGGGTGTCTGGGAAAGAGGCAGAGTGGTGGGGGTAAGCGGCAACTCAGACAGTTGTGGATCAGGCTGCGTGCTCGTTTCGGCCCCCACACCTTTGCAGTCGCGTGAATGGAGATTGACTTCCAGAGCTTCGGGGTGCGAAGCTTCCACAGAAACCTCCAAATCCCGAACCTCAACCTCCTGCAACTCCTCCGGTGCACTCCCCGGCAGTGGCATATCTACCGCCTCGTCTCCTTCATCATCCGCATCCAGCCCCGACTCGTACGACGGAGGCATGTTCGGCGGCACAAGACTGCTTAAAGTAATTCGCTCGTCCACCGAATTCGCATCACTGTACGCATTATAACTAAACTTGTCATTGGCATCATCTTCATCATAGGCCATCTCCTCCTGATCCCGCCAAAAGTCCGGCGGGAAATCACTGTCTCTTTCACTGAGGTCATTTTCATCAATCTCCGACCGCTCAAGAAGAATGTCCGAATTGAACTTATTGTAGGCAGGGGGAGCAGGACCATTTCCTTCTAGCGGTGCAAACCCCCATTTCTTGACGTTGGCCTCAATAAACACAAACCCCATTTGGCCTAAATTGACATGAATCGAGCATAAATTACTCGCTCCTATAATTGGATAAAGTTGGCCCTCGTGGGGGATTTTAAAGTGTTTAATGTGTCCACCAAGTTTTGATTCACTCAATTTCTTGCCATTTCGGGTAAAGAAAATGGTTCCACTTCTGACCCGATAACCAACGCCTACCACATCTCCTTCGATCAACGAAGGAAATGGTGGAGGGGTGGTAACCTTGAATGGTTGGTTGTGTCTTCGATGGCCATCACTATCGTAGCTAACCGAATGGGCATGTCTTCCTGGAAGCCGGAACCAAGGATAGGGCCTGACACCCATCCCAATGCTGATCTTGGTGTTCTCCACGTTGGGTAGACTGTAGACTTTGCTTTCAAAGTAGTAGACATCGTTCTTGGTAGGGATCGGAAGATTGGTCAGTACCGAGCACTCCATGGGTTTGAAAAAGTTTAACTCGTACTTGTTGAGGATCAACAACTCGTGGTTCGTCAAGAGAGCATCTTTGACAAACTCCCATGCTCCTATGCCCTTTTCCAGAATAAGGAGATTCTGTGAGAGGGTAAGATCGTTTCGAAAGTAGGGGTTTTCCGCCAAGTACTCTTTGGACTGGAAGTACAACTCCTGTTCATCGCTGTCGAGCTCGAGGTACACCTGGTTCTCTTCTTGTCGTATGAGTTCTGCTTCAGACACCGCTAGTCTTCTCCTGATAAATACAATCAATAGGGCTATACACGAAACAAGCAACGCAAGACTCAAGAAGGAAAACACCGCTACGAAGATGAGCACGAGGTCGGTGTTGGAGTCGGACGTCAGTGCCCTGTCCGTGCTGAGGTCGGGGTAGCTAACATCTATGAGTGAGCATGACAGGGGGTGAGCCATGTAAAACAAGACCGCCAAAAGGTGGTAGAGCTTGAGTTTCGGTACTTTCATGGACCTGGTAGTTATCTGTGGGCTTGTGATGTAGAAAGGGCAAATTCTTTATCTGGCGTAGTTCTTGAACAAGTGTGTGGCGATTTGGGAAGTGATAAGAATAGATTGATGATGCGTGCGACTAGGGTCGTGCACACCCTCAGCATACTGCTGGAGAGGATAGAAGATCACCAACAAGTCCGGCCGATATGCTACTGCCGGTCGGGCTAGCCCTAGCACTGGCTGGGCCGTCTACGCTGGCTGTGGTATAAAATATACATCGATATTTTCTAGGTAATTTTCTGAATTGCCAATATTTTTCACCAGTTAACAGCTAATTTTCAACTGCAATATTTTTCACCGCATTTTCCCAGCACATTCTAACACACTTTCATTAATCTCAGGACAAGTGGCACAAACACCATCCACCACAAAACACCTGTCGCGTCTCCTTGGCAACAGCCCCCTGGTTCCTTAAAACGGCAGCTGGACCAGCGTTTTTTATCTTCTGAACTCGTCTATTCGCAGCCAGCTGGCTCAAGCACCCACTTGATCGCAGCCAGCCACGAATCGGTGACACAAAAGCTAAATGGCCTCTGCCGCGCATCCAAATCAGGATTTTGCCATACTGATTTCCTAACAACCATGCACGATCCACCTTGATTTAAGGGTATTTTTGTGGATGATAACCCAAGGCGCTTGGATCGGATGTCTACTGTAACTAATTATAGGATCTAACCGCCCTGGGGGGCTTTTAGGTTATGTGGTGGAACGTCTATAAAAGGTGATGATAATTCCACCTTCACTTCCTCCCACACATTTAATTCTATCCTTCATGAAACTTTCCTCCTCCATACTTTCCACCGTATTGGCGGCCCTCGCCGCCTTCCTGGTGCCCGTGCTCGGGGACACCTGCAACCCTCTAACTTCCGACGGGTGTTCTGCTGACACCGCATTGGCAGCTTCCATCAAGGAAGACTTTAGCTCCAAGTCCAAATATTTTGATGAATTGGTATCTGATGGACTTTCGTACAGCGACGACGGGTTGTCGTTCAGCTTGAAAAAACGGTACGACAATCCCTCCATCAAGTCCAACTTTTACATCATGTTTGGTAAGGTGGAAGTGGTGATGCAAGCGGCAACCGGTCAGGGAATCATCTCCTCGTTCTACTTGCAAAGTGATGACTTGGATGAGATTGATATCGAGTTGTTTGGAACTGACACCACCCAGATGCAGTCCAACTACTTCTCCAAGGGTAATACTTCCACCTATACCAGAGGGGGATATGAAACAACTCCAGGAGACCCTACTCTGGAGTACTTGACGTACACGTTGGACTGGACCAAAGACTCTTTGACATGGGCCATCAATGGCGAAGTGGTGAGAACCTTGGAGTCCAACGACCCCCAGGGATACCCACAAACACCCATGAGCATTTATGCTGGGATTTGGGCTGGTGGAGATCCTTCCAATGCCGAAGGTACCATTGAGTGGGCTGGAGGGGAAACCACCTACGGTCCTACTTACACCATGAAGATCAAGTCGTTGATTGTGGTGGATTATTCTACTGGAGATGAGTACAGTTACGGAGATCAAAGCGGAAGTTGGGACTCCATTAAGTCTTCTGGTGGTGAGGTGAATGGGCGGATTTCACAGGCCAAGAGTGATTTTGAAGAATTGCTGGATGGGGATGATAGCACGGTTACAAGTTCTTTAACGGAGACTTCGAGTGTGTCTTCTACGTCTACTTCCAAGACGTCAACTTCCACTTCCAAAACCTCCACTACCACTTCCACTTCCAAAACCTCCACTTCCAAAACCTCCACTACCACTTCCACTACCACTTCCACTACCACTTCCAAGACTTCCACTTCTACTACTTCCACCTCTTCTCCCAAAACTTCCATCACCTCCACTTCCACGAAGAAAACTACACCTGTCACCAGCAACGAATCTACAACAGTGTGGTGGACTCCCACCCAAACAGTATGGTGGACCCCTCTGACTGAACAAACCGCCACCACCAAAACCACAGACAAAACCACAGACAAAACCACAAACGCTAAAACTACTGATGCAGCTACCACCACTAAGGCTACCACTGAAGCTACCACTGAGGCTACCGCTGAGGTAACCTCCTCAGGGGCCACAACGTTGACCACAGTAGCTGCCACCAAATCCTTATCCTCTTCCTCATCTTCGTCATCCACATCTTCATCTTCGTCCTCCACCCCAAGCTCCATCCACGATGCCCTGGGCTCGCTCGACGAAAGCAGCTCCCATAAAAACACTCCTTATTTGTTAGCATTCATCCTCCCATTGGCATGTTTGGTTTTCTAACTTCAAACTTGCATCTTTATTTCTCTTTTTTGTACGGTTTTAGCATTTGGCAATATAAATTTTCGCATCCACTTTTCGCGACGATTGTAAACAGTTTCGATCTGTCACTTTACCTTCAATCATGGACGAATCCACTTTAGCACACGTGTTGAAGGACTTCGACAAGAAGGAGCTTTACCATGAGCTTGTTAACTTGAATTTGACCTTGACTAGTGCTGTCTCAGCTTCAATTGACGCTGACTTTCACAATAATGATGTGGACTACAATTTGTGTCTCCGTCAGTTAAACGATATAATTGAAAAATTCAACGTACCTCCACCGCTGAAGAGTAAGAAATCTAAGCAGGACGACACATCCCATGCTGAAACGTCTAAGGTCCAACCTTCGGCCAATTTGTTCAAAGTAATTGCCAGAAATTTGGTATTGGTGTTCCACCAGTTACCCACTAAAATCTATGATGTGGCCAACAACTTTTTGAACCACCTCACGTTGAACACCGACAACTCGTTGAGTCCAATGGCACAGTTGGGAATAATTGTGATGATTGATTTGTACGAAGCGTTTCCTAACTCCTTGGGGTCCTTGATTAGCTTTTCTGTCAACCAAATTTATAAAATCTTGAAGAAGGACCCCACTGTCAGCAGCAACTTAGTCTATTTATTGAACTCATTGACCAAGTACTCGACAAGAAATGATATTGACGATAAGCTTCAAGCCAAACTCTTGAAAATTATCAACAAAAACATCACTTTGCTCCCCATAAAGTTCGATATTGGTGAAAGCACCTCTGCTGATAAAGACGTTACAAGCATTTCCTTGAAGAAGAACTATATTTTGGTGTTGAGAAACCTTTGTATCTTGTCAGTAAATGCCAACTACGAACATCTTTTGTCGGTATCAGCTTCTTCAACCTCCGGTGCCAAGATGAAACCAGAATCTATCATGTCTCACCAGCATCAGTTCCAACTGAATCTTTTAACGTCCATCGAAAAGCCAATCTTTTACGGTCTCTCGGACTACTGCAAAGATGTGAGGATTGCAGCGGTCGAATCTTTGGCTCATCTATTCATCAATTTCATCCCAACCGGAAAGTTTAATCCAGTTGACTATCTTATATCTTTGTATAAGTTACCAGATTTGAACTGCTGGAGTGAAGATTTGACTAAACTCAAGGTTGAAGATCAGTACATTCTTCCCAAAAAAGAATATTCACATGCAGATTTTGATGATTTATTGAATTTAAATGCTGATCAATTGTGCTTCAACATTGGAATCGTTGAGACGCTTATCTTTTACATTCAACTAGAACAATTTCAAAACTCGGACTACTTACCTTCCAACTTGGAAAGTATCATTGGCTTGATATTGAACAAATTTTCTCCCTTATCGACTAGTTCCAATCATATTCAGAGCTCCTCTTGGGTGAAGACATTGTACCAATGGCAGAAAGTAATTGAATTTTTGATTAAGGAAAGCGGACCAAACTGCCACGAAATCTTGGTTTCATACTTGATGGCAAAATTCGATACAAATGAAAGGTCAGATGTCGAGGAACTGTCACTAGCTTCTAAAGACAAGAAACCCTCTACATTGTTCTCGTTGAAAGGAGGAAGAACATCCTCAAAATCCAAGACTCTGGAAGATATACAGCTTTATCATAACTATTTTCAGTGTGCGTTGGCCTTATCAGCAATTGAGCAGGTATTGCCTTTTGGGATTGATTTCAATTCTTTTATCAACAGTGAGACGCACAAACAAGAACACATCAAAATCTCTGAAGAGAATGAAGAAGAAAACGATGATTCCAGGAGATTGGAGTTTCCACAAAAGTCTCTCTTGGTGGAACTTCTACTTGTTTTAATTATAAACAAGAGTGATTATATAAGGATCTATGCTTTAAACACCTTGCTTAAGTATACTAAGATCAACGAAGTTGAAGTTAACCAATTGGTATTGTCGTGTTTTAGACTGTACAGTACTGAGTGGGAGAGTTATCACGAAAGCAAACAAGCAAAGGTTCAAGCCAACCTGGAAACAAATACAAGTTCTCTAGAGGCAGTGAAATCGGTCAGTTATGCTTTGACTTTACTGTCCTTACTTTCCCAAACAGAGTCAATCCACTTACAAAACTCCACTATCGTCAAGATTTTGAGTTTCTGCACCCAAACTTTGAAGCAGAGTAATTCTTATTCGAGGTCAAATAACTTAAAGAACCTTACTTGTTGGACCATATTGAGCTCTTTGGTCACGTTGTATAATGAGTCTGAATTTGTCAAATTGAACTCATCCCAGTTTTTGGTATTCTGGAAGAGTTTGCTTACTGCTCAATATGTGGTTACCAATCTTAGTGGTGAAGAATCCGTACAGGAAAGAGAAATCTTGGACAATTTGAAGTTGAGAAACATAAGTTTGATATGCTTACTGAACTACATCGATACCGTCGATATGACTCCCGAATCACTGAAGCAGATTCAATTCTTATTGACTAAAGCATACAACTACTTGGGCTATTTGGAAAGCAACGTTGAAGAAGTAGGAAATGTAACTTCTTTCAATGGAAAAGACTTCAATAAAGAAGACTTTTATATAAATGGAACTGGAAACCCACTTTTCAGTGATGTAGGATACAACAATCAGTTACGGTCTCGGGAAGGTATGGTAAGTTTGATTTTCTATGGCAAAAAGATAATATTGAAGAATTTTTCCAAATTGGCCATTCATCTCAAAAATGATATCAACTCCTCTATGATTGTTCTTCTACTCAAGACATTTAGTGATCCTACCACTTTCAGTATTGATGCAAACAAAGATAAGAAACAGGCTAAGACTAAGGGAGCAGCGAATGGTATCAATGACTTCGACCCGTCCGTCATATTATTGAATGACGATTTCAATAACAATTATGGTGTCACAAGCAAGTTTTCCGACTTTTCAACTGAAATTGATGAACTTCTTGCAAGTCATAAAGAAGCCGTACAGACTGGGGACAACGGAATCTTTTATTCAGACCCATTTGAGTCAACAGTTATCCACAAAGGTATCATTGAGAATGGCGTCAACAAAGAGGTCAAATTTGTGTGTCACCCATGGGTCGACTGTTTTGAACAATTGATATTTGAATCAGCTGTTCATAGCATCACTTATGATCCGGTGACAGTCATTTGTGGTGGTTATTCGTCCAAATATAAAACCTCCACAAATATCACAACCTCGATTGTGGACTTGTCGATTGAGCTCTTCCAATTGGTTTTTCCTTACTTGGCTGTCAAGGTACAGCAATCATTATTGGAACAAATAAGAAGCTCTTTGGCATCCAAGTCTGTTCATCCACTACGTTATAAGGCTATGTGTGTAAACATTTCCATTGCTTTGCATGGAGCTCTTAGCTTTTCCAGTTCCAAAGATATTTTGTTAGACAAAGAGATTATTGGTGTCACTATTGACATTTTGAAGAAAATGGAAACTTCAAGCCCCAATATGATTGAGATCAACAGTGAATCTATTGGAATAGCTGCCAGTTTTGCCCAAAAGAAGGTCATAAGTGAACAGATTGACTCTTATGTGAGCTTGATAGTAAACGATAGCAACCCATTGGTTAGAGGCAAATCGATCTTAACAATGTCTAAGATTTATTCTTATACTGGAATAGGTGCAAATGATATCTACAATGTTGTATCTCAGTTGTTGAATGATCCTAACCCTGTTGTATATTACTATTCTTTGTTAGCAACCACGTTATTGTTCGACAGCAAGTTCGCTAACAATGCATGGATATCTCCTTTAATTTCCAACTTGTTTGAAGGGTACTTAGAAGATTCTTTTGGATATGATGTGAAAAAGAAAGAGTATATGAACTTGAAATATAAGTTCGGCTCAGTTGGTCTTGTGGCCCAGTTGCTCAAGATATTTACTACAACATTGGGCCCCAACTTGAGGTCTTTGCCCGAGAACAACAGGAATGAATTGAGATCCTTGATAGTTTCATTAAGATACACCATTGGTGCTTCATCGATTGCCGATAATATCAACATTTTTGATCAGTTATTGAGACTCTTGCAAGAATTGATTATTTTCGATCCTAAGTTGATACCTAATGAGCTTCAATTCTACTCCAGCACATTAATATCGGTTGTGTCTAAAAATTTGAAACTTGGCTTATCGAGTATTCCCCCAACTTCATTGAACCTTGACTCTATTTTCCCATTCAATTCAAGTTTTGAATTATTCAAATTGGGATATGCTTGCTTCACGGAGTTGATCAAGGTTTATGGACAAGAGGTATTGACGAAAGAAGTGGTTCAATTGATCTGGGTCTCTTTGAACATCAAGCCTGCCGAAGAGCTGAAGAATTTGATCAGTATCTGGATGGACTCAAGTATTGATATGAACTGGTTTGCTACCTTAAACTCATTACTCAAGATTTCTTCTAAAAAGTTGAGTCAACCATTTATCGAGGCAAACTATCAACAAAAGCTTTTGCCATTATTACAGAGACAAAAGAAAAAGACTGACAAGACCATCGATTTCAAAGATGAGGAAATCGAGAACATTGTGGGTGACGATGGTGAAGTCGATGACAAAAATGAACCTATAACCTGGGAGTTCAAGTTATTCATTTATGATTTATTGAATAATTTAGCGAACCTAGCTTCTAGAAATTCGTCATTGTCGGACAGGTTGAAGCCCAGGATTAGTGACTTGGTGAAAATTGCATTTGTGGGATCAACATCACCTATTAATGCTATCAAGTTGAGAGGTATTAGTCTTTTAGACAAAGTATTGGCCTTATTTGGAGATACGGAGGATTCTATGTACACGGGGATCTCTATCTTGGAACAACAGCAAGCACAAATTATCAGTGCAATCATGCCATGCTTCAGCAGTGGGTGTAGTGCTGAAGTTATTGCAAATGCTGTTAACGTGTCGTCCAAGTTCATAAATCTTCCTAGAATAAAATTCTATTCGAAGCAAAGAATCATGAAAACTTTGATTTTTTTCTTAGAGGAATTGTCATCTAACAAGTTCATAAGATTTGGGTTCTTAGAGAACATGTCTGAATACGGCAAAAAATCAATTCAGGTTTCGATTTTGAATTGTTGGGCATTAGTAAGATTGAATGCTTATGAAGATTTGAAGAATCTGGGCCTCAGCAAAGCTATGATCACAAATGAATCTGTTGATTTTGACGACGAAGATCCAGAACCAGAAAACGAATTGATTGAAACTTTGACTCGGTATTCGACATTGTTAATTGCCTTGTGGATAGTATCCTTAAAGGAATATAGCTCTTTGAAATACAGTGATGCCAATCCCAGAGAATTGGAAATCTACAATAACTACTGGATCAATTTCGTCAGTGTATTGAGTTTAGAATTGGAGGAGAATACAGAATTTGTTCAAGAACATCTTGGAGGAGATGCTTCTACATTCTTCTTCATTTTGTTCAGTCAGTGTGTTGAATCCTTGATTAAAAACAGAAACACTGTTGAAATTTTGGTGTCTTTGAGCAGCTTGGTGAAGAATCACGAGTTGGTAGACATTTTATTCCACGATGAAATATTTGGAGAAGTGGTGGACTTGTTCGATAGGTTGATTCTTGTGGATGATCAAGCTGAAGTACAGATTAAGCTTATCAATATCGTAAGCAGATTGTTCCAAACTTATTTTGATAGCCATCAGGAAATCATTGAAGGATTCGATAAGCTTTTTGAGTTGATTAGACTTTGTATGTTGCCATTGTTTAACAACCTCCCCTTCTTAAGAGCCGACTACAACCTGGAAGATAAACAGACGCTCATGGTGCTAGAGAGTGTGGACTCTGGACCCAATTTGGTGATCCTCAAGAACGTGATGACCCAACTCGTAGATATGCTTCCTAGATTCCCAGATGTGGTGAGAATCGATTTACATTCGTGCTTGCTCTTCATTATTGCCAAAATCTACGAGTTCAAGAACGAGCTTTTGATTTCAACGGTATTGCCATACTTAAAGCAAATTGTGGGGGAGTCCAAACAATCCAATCCCAAATTGGTCAATGACTTCGACACGATTATCCAGCAATTTTATCCTATAAGAACATCCAACTCGTCCGTATTGACATATATGGTGTTGATGACGTCCGGAGACATCCAGTTGAATGAAGCGGATTCAATCTTCATGAAGGACTCGTTGGTGACGATGCTCTCCAATTCAGAAACCAGCTCCATGGGGTTACAGTGTATCAGGTCGTTGATTCAACACTCACACAGCCCACTAATCGTCAAGCTCTTGGTCAAAGAGCTTATTCAGCAGCTCATGGACAACACCGGCAACCCCAAACTTGCGTTGGAGGTGTTGATATACTTTGTCAAGAGCCAAACTGATCCGGCTGTAATTACCAAATTGTACTCAGTATTGATTCAATTGATCTTAAGACTCAAGTCCACTGTCAACCAGTACTATCTACACGAAAAATTGATTGGCTTAATCACCTTTAACCTGGACAGTTTCAAAATCATTGTCAATGAAGGTCTCGATGCCGACCAGAAGAAATTGACGGAACTTCTCGTCAAGTTGAACGTCGGCAGCGAAGAGGAAGAACTCAACCAGGACCTGGAGATTCAGTTGAAGACCTTTGGGTGAAATTGATATCAAAATTCCAATGTGCTACAATTGCTTAATAACCACTATAGTTTCAAACCAGGGCCGTACGAAAACCGTAAATGCGCTCGAATCAAGCAGGGCCGGTCTGATGGAATAGATAATAAAAATTTTCGCGCTAACTCGATTCGCCTATAAAACTACCAAGAAATCACCCACGAGGAGAACATATCGCTACAATGTTTATAAACCAACTATTGTCGATATTAGCATTATGTGTTTGGATGGCGACGGCGGTCGCCAAGTCGCACACCCACACATATGACTTCAACGTGACGTATGTCGACGCCAATCCTGACGGCATTTTTGAAAGACGGGTAGTAGGGATCAATAACCAATGGCCAGTTCCCACCATTCGGGTACAAAAGGGCGACCGTGTGGTGGTTAACGTCAACAACCAGTTGCCCGACAAGAACACGTCGTTGCACTTCCACGGATTATTCCTCAAGGGCCAGAATGCCATGGATGGACCTGAAATGGTGACCCAGTGTCCTATTCCTCCAGGGTTTACTTTCACGTATAACTTCACAGTTGATGACCAGGTGGGGACCTTCTGGTACCACTCGCACTCGGGCACACAGTATGGGGACGGCTTAAGAGGCTTGTTTATTATTGAAGAGGCAGAAGGCGATTTGAAGCCATTTGAATATGACGAAGAAGTTACGGTTACCGTGAGTGAATGGTACCACAAAGAAGGCCCCGAGTTGATGGCCAAGTTTTTGAACAGGTATAATCCCACGGGGGCGGAGCCAATTCCACAGAATACGCTTTTCAACGACACAAAGAACGTGACGTGGGACGTATTGCCTAACACCACGTACTTTGTGAGACTCGTGAATGTTGGATTATTTACGTCTCAATACTTGGCCTTGGAGGACCACACCTTCACCATTGTGGAGGTAGACGGGGTCTACGTGGAGCCCTACGAAGTTTCATCGATATACATTTCTGCCGCCCAAAGATACGGAGTGTTGGTCAAAACCAAGAAGTCTACCGACAAAAACTACCGGTTTTTCAATGCCATCGACAAGGAAATGTTGGACGTGTTGCCTGCTGACTTGCAACTTCTCTCGACCAACATCATGCGGTACAGCACTGAGGCCAAAACCCCTGAAGTGGTGGATGGAACCGAAGCTAATTTCGATAACTTTGTTGCGGCGTTAGAAGACTTTGACGACTTTAACATCAAGCCCCTTGAAAAGGTCCTGTTGTACGGGGATCCCGACGTCCAGCTCGTGTTGGACTTCACGATGGATAACTTGGGTGATGGGGTGAACTATGCGTTCTTCAATGACATCTCATACACGGCTCCCAAGGTGCCTACATTGTACTCGGTGATGAGCAGCGGTAAGTACTCAAATGTGGTGGATATTTACGGGTCCAACACCAATGCGGTGGTGTTGCAAAAGGACGAGGTGGTGGAGATTGTGTTGAACAATAGAGACCCTGGGAAGCATCCATTCCACTTGCATGGGCATGTGTTCCAGATTATCAAGCGAAGTGAAAAAGGTGACGACGACGACAACCCAATTGTGTACGACCCAAGCAACCCCGAACACAAACAGTACCCCGAGTATCCTCTCAGAAGGGATACCTTGTTGGCTAACCCCAACGGGTTCATTATCTTGAGATTCAAAGCCACCAACCCTGGGGTTTGGCTCTTCCATTGTCACGTGGACTGGCACTTGGAACAAGGATTGGCCATCACCTTGGTAGAGGCTCCCAGCGAGATCCAAAAGCAGTCTGTTCCACAGAACCACTACGACTCCTGTGCTGCTGCCAATATTTCTGGCCGTGGTAATGCTGCCGGAAACTACGGAGACACACAAGAAGCATGGGTGGACTTGACGGGTGAAAGAGTCCAGTTTGCTCCTTTACCCCCGGGCTTCACCACCAAGGGATATGTGGCATTCTTTTTGTGTACGGTGTTTGCATTGTACGGACTCCACACCATCTACAAGTACGGAATGGAAGATGTCAAGGTCGATAACAACCAACAAATGGTACACAAGTTGTACCGTCTCTTGGATGAATACGGGGCATTGGATGAGAACGAGGGTATTAGTTTGAACAGTGACGTTCAGGGCCAAGCTCTGGAGTCCAATTAGGATGAAGGTTTATAAGAATAAAATGCATTTGGTAATTTGTGTAATCGCACCCAAGCTGCGAAACTATCACCCGATTTCTCGCGCATTTGGCTTGCACCATGGAATACGTTGTTATTGGGTATGTTTGGTGATTGGTGACCTGATGGCCAAGTACTAACGCTTGTAGTTCGGGAATTATCGGATTGTATACAGCCTTGAATTTACTTGAGCGGTTTCCCCACAAGGCCAGCTCTATTTTAGTGGTTGCTGAGTTCTTACCGGGAGATGAACTGAACAGATTCACCTCTCCCTACGCCGGCGGGAACTTCAGTTGCATTAGTGGCAGCGACTCGGCGACCTTGGAACATGACAGGTACACATACACCAATTTGAAGCGAGTGTGTGATCTTTTGGGTGGACCTGAGTGTGGACTAGACTACTGTTATTCCACTGAGTACTTTGATGAGATGCCCTCAGGCCCCAAGATCAAGTCAATCGCGTCGTACTTGGACGAGTACCGTGTGTTGGCACCACACGAGTTGAAAGGCGCTGCTTTTGGCATTCGGTTCAGGTCTTTCAGCTTCAATTGTCCGGTTTTCTTAGTAAACCTCAAGAAATACTTGCAGACAAAGGGAGTGCAGTTCAAACGGCAGAAGCTAGAACGCCTTGAAGACGCTTTTGGTGACGGGGTGGAGGTTGTGTTCAACTGCACGGGTCTAGGAGCCTTTAGCCTCAAGGGAGTGGATGATAAGGCCGTGTACCCAGTCAGAGGACAAGTGCTTTTAGTGAAGGCACCACACATCACCGAAAACACCATGCGATGGGGCAAGGACTACGCTACGTACTTGATCAAGCGGCCGTACTCCAACGACCAGTTGATTTTGGGAGGGTATATTCACAAGGGCAATTGGAGCACAGATGTTTTGCTGGAGCAGACGAGAGATATTTTGGAGAGGACCAGCGAGTTGATTCCTGAGCTATTCAGCAAGAACCCCAGGGGCCCACGGGCCGATGACTTGGAGATTCTTCGTGGGGCGGCGGGATTGCGTCCTGGAAGAGATGGAGGAGTTAGGATTGAGAGGGAGAAGGTTTACGGTAAGACGGTTATCCACAATTATGGAGCTGGCGGGTACGGGTTTCAGGCGGGATTGGGGATGGGTCGAGATGCGGTTGCATTATTGCGGGAGCTGAGGTTGTGAGACGTTAAATATCGCCCAAAAGTACATAATAATCTATAGTCTGGCTGCCAGTAGAAATAGTTTGCAATTGTCCTCAGTCGCACTAATCGCACTAATCGCACTCATCCACTCATCACTCCTCGCCATGTCACAAATATTCGAATGGGCATTCGGCAAGAAATTGACACCCCAAGAGCGGCTCCGCAAGAACCAACGGGCCCTTGAGAAGACCCAGCGTGAGTTGGCCCGAGAAGTCGCCAAGTTGCAGCAGCAGGAAAAAAAATTGATTGGTGATATCAAAAAGTCCGCCAAACTGGGCCAAATCTCTAGTGCCAAAGTCCAGGCAAAAGACTTGGTCAGAACAAAGGGCTACATCACCAAGTTCAACTCCATGAAAGCACAACTCCAGGCCATCAGCTTGCGTATCCAAAGCGTCCGAAGCAACCAACAAATGGCCACCTCCATGAGAGATGCTACCAGAGTATTATCAGGTATGAACCGGCTGATGAACTTGCCCCAATTGTCAAGAATCGCCCAGGAGTTCCAGAGAGAAAACGACATGATGGACCAGAAACAAGAGTTTATGGATGATGCCATCGACGATGCCATGGCCTTTGATGACGATGAGTTGGGTGAAGAAGAGCAGGTGGACGAGATCTTAAGCCAGGTATTGGACGAAATCGGGGTGTCGTTGAATGCCACATTGCAAGACACGCCCAGTGGTATTGCAAGTGGTCGCCCTGAGCCGCGGGTGGCCCAGGCGGTGGCCGCAGGGGAAGAGGATGATTTACAGGCTCGGTTGGATAGCTTGAAGAAATAGATGTATTTAATTCTAGATGTACTGATGGGCTCTCAAGTACTCAACAATCTGTTCGGCCGCCTGCTCGATGGTGATGTTGTCATTGACGATGTGGATTTCAGCTTTTTCAGGGGCTTCGTACGGAGCAGAGATCCCGGTGAACTCCTTGATGATACCGTCCCTGGCCTTTTTGTATAATCCTTTTGGATCTCTCTTTTCGGCAACCTCGATGGGAACGTCGATGTATACTTCAATGAATGGCAAGTTATCTTTAGCGTGTAACTCTCTGGCAGTTCTTCTATCATTTCTGTAGGGACTTATGAACGAAGTGATGGTAAAGCAGCACGAATCGTTGAACAACTTGGCCACTTCGGAGATTCTTCTGATGTTTTCATTTCTGTCGGCCTCACTGAAGCCAAGGTCCTTGTTTAAGCCGAACCGGATGTTATCTCCGTCCAAACGGTACGAGTTATGGCCATGTTTTAATAAATATTGTTCCAAAGCACAGGCGATAGTGGACTTTCCACTGGCAGATAAGCCCGTGAGCCAGATGGTTAATCCTTTTTGCTTGGTAAGCGCTTCTCTTTCTTGGTGAGTCAAGTTCTCGTGCCAGGTGATGTTAGTGGCCATTTTTGCAGTAGAGAAAACGTTGGGAAGATGAAATGAAAAAGTTGGAGGTGATTGCAAATTTTATGATTTTACCATATCACGTGAAAACCGAAAGGTGCGCGCACCATTCTCCATATCCTGGGAGCTGCGCGCACTGTTAATCCGAAAAATCTTCTACTTCAACAACTATCACCATGTATTATGAGCTTATGGCGGTGGCCAGAATCACCGACGGGATCAACAAACATAAGGAGGCGATGAAAATTGCTTCCACCGTGGGGAAGTTGATTTTGAACAACAGAGGTGTCATCAGAGACATCACCAGTATGGGTCCCAAGTTCTTACCCAAGATCATCAGTAAGAACCAAGAGAGACATTTTGAAGGCTACCACTTTCTTATGGGATTTGACGTGAGCTCCACCGTGCAGCAGGAGTTGTTGAGGACCCTTAGAAAGGATCCTAGGGTTTTGAGAGCCAGCATCATCAAGAGAAATACCCATAGAAACTTGAATCCAGGTCCTACGTTTCTGTCGTGATGAGAACCATGTATATATGTAAATAAAAATAGACAAAGGACGGCGTCATATTGTTCTCTTGACATGTATTAGCTATTAATTATTAAGTATCGTTATCATTAAACTCTCTAGTGTTTCTTGGGTTTTCTCTTATCATAATCTTCTAACGATGTGTTGAAGTGAATAGTGCTAAGTTGTTCGACCTCGTCAAATACCGACGTGGTGGCCGAGTTGTCAAATGACGAGGTTTCTTCATCCTCAATGGTGGGCAAGCCACTGGCCTGGGGTAAAAAAACCTTGGAGCTTTGCCTGGATCTTGAATAGTTTTCCAACTCAATCCCCAAACTGGACTGGGGTTGCCCCGATGATGATGATGATGACTGCTGGTAGGGGTTACTCAAAAGAATGTCTGGTTGTTGATTTTCAAGGTCATTGTACACGTAGTCATTGTTGAAGTTGAAGGTTAACGGGTTCATCTGGTTGATGTTGACCTTGGGGATCTCGGTATAGCTCCACCGACAGAACTTGGTCCTGTCCATCACCGGCAAGTGGACATACTTGGTGTAGGTGAACACGGAGATGGATAACAAGGCCCCACTGGTCAAGTCAAAAAAGTAGTGATGAGTCAAGTACATGGTGGACCACCAAAGCCAGCAGCCATAACCCCACCAGGCCACCGTCAATGAAGGGAACAACCACGATAAGAACAACACGTCCATAATGGCACAGGCCGAGTGCAACGAGGGAAATGCTCCAAAAATCATCGGAGAGTTGGAAAACGCAGTGGTGTACATGTCGAAACCCAAAATGTCGTCGATTCTGCCCAAACCACCAGGGGAACCACTCATCGAATAGTTGGCAGGCTGCAACCCGTACAAGTTTTTATACCATGGAGCAGCGGCCGGCAAGCAGATTTGAATCAACACTCCCACCAAGTTTAAGTAGCCAAAAGCAAACCCAAACGAGTTTAACGCGGTGGGAGGACCAAATACAAAGATAAGGGCCGCCACCACAAACGGGAAAACAAAGTGCACCAAGCCATACGGAAGCCATGCCAAGATGTCCAAGGTGGGAGTGGTGATGGTGGCCAACACATTGGACAAGTTGTCTCCGTACAAAATGGTTTCCATGGCCGGCAAGAACTTCACCAGAATGGCCGGTTTCCATTCCTCGGGGATCTTACCGCAGGTGAAGAACAACGCCAACCAGCTGAACACCGGAAGAGCGTGAAGAAAAAACTGGCTGGTTAATGGCACAAGAAAACACAATCCAAATACCAGCAAGATGGGCAACTTTATTAGGAAAGAGGCCGGGAAGATGAAGAACACAAACAAAATCACCGATGACAAGAACCCGTAGTGAGCTATCTCATTGCGTTTCCAGCGGTGATTTTTGAATTTGTTGATGGTAATCAGGATGTCGGTTTCGAACAGCAAGTTGGCGAGCGACGAATCGGGGGCCTGTTCGGAAAGAAAGTAGTAGTGAAACAACTGATACGGTTTCTGGACGATTTTTGACCTTAGTAGAGACATTTTCAAATGGCGGCAATGGGATCAGTAAATATGAGGTTTGAGGCGACGGAAAACACAGGTACTATTTGGTGATGAAACAAAGACAATTGCAGCGGTGGGATGTTATTACCGACGCTGGAAGTGTTTGTGGGTCGTTTGTTGATGATGTATCGCTTGATTCAAAATGCCTGTAAAAATAAGGATGATGTGAAAGTTGTGATGGTGAGAAGTTTTGGAGCAGAGCAGCAGGCAACCCAGAAAGTGCGAACAGGCGAGAAAAAGAAAGTGTCGGTTGTGTGCCGGAAGTAATTGTGAGCCGGTGGCTCCCGCGCGGGTCACGGTGGTAGAGTTGGGGCGAGCAGCAGGGCCAGCGCGGGCGAGGCTGGTTGTTTTGAATAATAGGGGAACCCCAAGACCGGTTAATAAGTTGACACTGATGGTTCAGTTTTGAAGACTGTAACCAGAGGCCGTACCGTAGGTATATATACTGGTATTTATTGTTACTAAGATTGTAGTTAACTAAGACATAATGTGCACATGCAACAGTGGTATATTTTGGACGGGAGTAGCACCTTCTGCTACCACAGGGTCTCGCTACCGCAGCGCGCTGCCACCACCATCCAACCTTTGCGGGCTTCATCCACGCCGCGTTTTCGGAGTGCGAAAATTTCAACTTCCACCTGTACGCCAACAGCATGACGGTAGAAGAACACGAAGACAAAGTCATTGTGTCGCTCGACAGCGACCCCTCCACCAGCGTGACCATCTTGAAGTATGGGGCCACCGTGGTGTCCTGGAAGCTTCGTGGCAAAGAGCAATTGTGGGTTTCTAGTGCCGCCAAATTAGACGGGTCCAAGCCCGTGAGAGGCGGAATTCCTCTTGTATTCCCCAACTTTGGCAAGACCAAGGACGAGTCCCACGCCACTGCAGCACTCCCGCAACACGGGTTTGCTCGGAACTCGACGTGGGAATTTTTGGGCCAGACCACCCAAAGCCCATTGACAGTCCAGTTTGCTCTTAGTCCTGATGAGGCCAACAGCGACATTTATAAGTTATGGGGTGATGGCACCAACGACTTCACGTTGATCTACTCCATTGGGTTGTCCGACACGTTGCACACACAGATCGAGGTGGAAAACACCGGTAAACAGGCGTTTGATTTCCATTGGTTGTTCCATACCTACTTTAAGGTGGAGGACATTGAGGACATTATTGTCAACAACTTGACGGAAGAAAAATGCTACGACCAGTTGTTACAGTCATGGTACACCGAAAAGGCGCCCATGGTGAACTTCAACGAGGAGTTTGACCGGATTTATAAGGATATTCCTGAGGAAAAGGTGTTGCAAATCATTGACAAGGGCTATGTTTTACAGAACCTTCGAAGATCTGGGTTGCCAGATGCGGTGGTGTGGAATCCGTGGATCAAAAAGTCCGAAGGAATGGCGGACTTTGAACCTAAGCTGGGATACTTGAACATGTTGTGTGTTGAGTGTGGAAATGTGACGGATTTCGTGAAGTTGGAGCCTGGAAAAGCTTGGACCGGCTCCCAGACGTTCCAGGTGGGTGGAGAGATTCTTGTCCAATCCAATATATTTGCCTGATGCCGATTTAGTAGTATGACTTTATAGGGAAATAGTACTCAATTGAACTTAGCACAGCCTAATCAGCGAAACTTGTTTTTAAAGCGGGCAAACCTATCTAGTGACTTCTGCGACGACGAGAGCGTGGGATTTGCGTACGAGCTGGTGCTGTGGACCGGGGTGTGGTTGGTGTGCGTGGTAGGAGCTGGCTGCGAAATCTGGAACGGGCGAGATGAGGATCTTTGAACAGGAACAGTATTTTGGAGGGACGGCCGTTGAAGGGTGGAGATCGATGGTTTTTGAAGTGTTGGAATGGAAGGTTTTTTTTGAAGCGTAGGAATTGAATATTTGTTTTGAAGCGTTGGAATCGATGGTTTATTTTTAAGTGTAGGAATCGATGGTTTCTTCTGGAGCGTGGGAATCGATGGTTTCTTCTGGAGCGTAGGAATAGAGCTCTTCTTCTGGAGCGTAGGCACGTCCAGGAGCAGTTGGGCCGACAGTCTGCGCAGAAGCGTAGGAATCGAACTCTTCTTGTGGAGCGTAGGGGCTAACAGTGGAATGGACCCGTTTTTCTGGAGCGACGGCACCTCTGCAATCCGCTGGAACAGCACCGGTCTCTTGAACTCCTTGGCAGGCGATGGGGTACGGGACTTGGGTACCGAGATCTTTCGTGATAGCATCCCGTTCAAATTAAACGACTTCTTGGACGGAGAAATCCTCGTTGGACTGGCTCTATTAGCGGCATTCGGTACCAGCGCCAACACGGGGCTCTCCTCAATCCCTGTGAGCGTCCGCCGTTTCTTCTTGTGGAGCGCCAACTCGCTGGGGTTTCTCTTGATGGAGTAGTGGCTCATGATGGATTCCATCTGGTTGAAATGGTTGTTGTGGACGGCATTGAAGTCAAACGGCGCCGAGATAGGGGCCAGATCGTCCCGCACGGGGCTGGAAGGAAGGCTGGCGATACTGTCGAGGCGGAGGTTCATCTCCGAAAGCACCTTGTCGCTGATAGAATTGGAATACCCTTTGTCAACCATGATTTGTTTGATGTCTGGCGAGTGGATGGAGAGCGACTTGATCTTCTTGATGGGCGTGTTGAGAGGGTCATCTGAGCTCATGACTTGCATGCTAACTTGGTGTATAGTTAAGAGGGTGGTGGAGGTGAAGTAGATGAAGGAGGTGAAGTTGGAATGAAGAAGAGGATGAAGAAGAGGGATGAAAAAGAGGATTATGTAGATGGAAGTGCGGTGCGACGGTTTGGGGCGAGAAGTAAACAGCGGTGTCGCGGGAGAGGTGTCGCGGTGTCGCGATCGCTGTGATGTCGGATGCGATGGATCAGATGTGATGTATAAGATGTGATGTATAAGATGTGATGTATAATATGTGATGTATAAGATGTGATGTATAATGTATAAGATGTGATGTATGAGATGGGATGTATGAGATGTGATATATAAGATGTGGTGTATAAGATGTGATGGATCACATGTGATGGATCACATGGGCCTTCGGGTGTGATACCCTTTGATATCAAGTCTCTCACAAGTGGTGCTACAGAGTGGACTTGGGTCACATTTAAAGACCCTTCCAGTATGATACATACACCCTCCAAAGTCTTCACACCTGTGACCTTTTCCATGTGCCATTTCTTATCCATACACCCATACCAATAAACCCTCTTGATCCTCTCATCTCGGTACTCACCGTTTTGCAGTGGGGTCGTGCGAAATGCTCGCCCGACCTGGCCCGCACCATCATGTGACCACGGCGTTCGCGCCCACTGGCTACGATCGCCCCCGAGGGTCTCCAGCCAACCGCGCCCAAACGCGATGGGATGAGCCCTCCGAATCCGCATGCAATTAAACTACTTGCACTCGGTGAGTTTGTTCCCCCGGCCCTTGCGCCGAGGATCACCTATGGTCAGCCCTCTGGAACTGCTAGGTGAGGCTGAACGGCCCCCTCCCCCCGTCCATCCGATAAATTTGCCACAGTTACCTCTGACTGCCGCCCATCCTAACGCCGTCATCAGCCAACCCCTGAGCAGTCCCTTCCGATTCCTGATGGTCCGGACTCCGTACCTAACTCCGGAGTTATGTTTATGTTGGGCCATATGCCCTGAGGGATATTGATATCCGTGGAGTTGACCTAGCAATTTCCCGATCGGAGTCCGGACTTTAACCTGGGGGCAGCCACCACCCGTACTATCAGGAAGCCCACATTTTCCAAAGCCGCAGCCTCTCACTTGGGCGGTCTTTTCGGGGAAAAGGAAGTCAGGGCGCTCGTCGCCCGTGCAATTCTTTTTTAGTCCTCAATCTCTTCCGGAGGCCTGGGCCTCGGACTTTTTCTCCACACCTTGATACTGGGCTGGCGGAGAATCCAGCTACCCCAATTTTCTTCTCCAATCTCTCCCTCGGCAATAAAATAGCAGTCAAAATTGTCTGGGGGCTAAATGCGGACTTGACCATTGAATCCATGGAATCCAGGAGCGTAGAACTACGGACCAGAAATGCCCATACCCGGTATGTTCTCTTCCGACATCACCCGCAAAAGACCGCCACTTAGCGTCGTGCGCATCGGAGCTTGGGGCCATTCGACCCTCACTACCAGGATCACACTGGCATTGGCTCACTTTTTTTGTTCTCGGTCCCGAACCCACTTTACCAGGAAGACTCATGCTAAATTCTCCGAGGTTTGGGTGAGTCAACTGACCCCTCCACCCATCGGCATTTTTTTACAACATCTAACAACTCACCTCTACCTATGTAACTATACCTCCTTCATATCCGCCAACCATATCTGTAAGTTGCAAGCGTCAAACACCCATTTCAAATCGGCCTTTTACGTATCACAAGACAAAATACTCAAATATCCGAATTCAAAATTCGGACTTTTACTTTCCATGTGATAACCTGTCTTATCCGTAACCCCAGCTATAAATATAAACCCATCCTGCCACCAGGTTTTTTTTTTCAAACTGCCATTTTCTACATTTCCACCATGTCATCAAATGATTTGTTATCCTATTCCATAATGCAAGGAGGTAATAAGGTCGGGCCCATATCACCTGTCCGGCTTCCAGTACCCTCGGCACTTCCTAGTTCCACCAAAATTGTTTTACCTCCCATCGACTCGTTGAAACGGTTAACTGAACACAACTTGAATACTCTCAATACCAGTTATGGAGGCTACACTTACAGTAAGGGTGAAGTATCGCCCAGGCTGACCCGGGACCTGTTATCCCCTCCCAACTCGGTTAAGTTGCAAAGTCCCGCGGCCGAAACAAGAAATGTCGCTGGTGCTGCGGATGTCAGTGCGGGTGCGGCCGCGATTGCTGCTCTTGTAGCAGCGGCTGCCAATGCTAGTGCGACTGTCATGCCTTCCCCCACCACCACCGTCAAGGTAACCACCCCCACTTTACTGAAGTCTTCAGTCACTTCTATTCCTATAACCCCCGCTGCGTCGCCTATTCCTATCGAAGAACTGCACAAGCGCCGGCAACGCCTTGGGCCATCGTGTGACTCGTGCAGGACTCGCAAGGTCAAGTGCAACGCCGAGATCTCCATTTTAGCACCTCACTATGCGGCATATGATTTGACCGAATTCAATTTGTCGCCTGCCCAAATTGAGTCGTTGCACTCCGATCATCTGGTAGTCCTCCCCGCTTCTGACCCTTCGGATGCTCCATGGATGCTTACGGTTTCGCACACTAAACTTATCAAGTTTCGGGCTTGTAAGTCCTGCGCTTGCAAAGATCTTGAGTGCAAGTTCTCAAAAGGGTTCACCAAAGAAGATATTCTTGTCAACAAAAAGAGTCTTAAGACTCGTTCGGATAAACAAAAGGTCGGCAAGCCCGTCATCGACAGCAGTCGTAAAAGTAGCTGTTTCAACTGCCGCAAACGCAAAATTAAGTGTTCGATGAATGATCACAGTGAAAAATGTGAAAGCTGCTCCAAGCGTAACAGCAGTTGCAGCTTCATCTAATGGGATTGGGTAATATAGTATACGAATTATAAAGGTAATGATAATGAATAAATTAATGAATAGACTGATTAAATGATTGTGTAGTTTTAATTATGTACTAGGATCTACACAACTGGTGATACTCCTACTCTCCCTCCACATACTCAAGAAAACAGTTTCCCACATCCATCAAGAACTCCGAAACCACTGGCATCCCCACTATAAAATCATAGTTCAAGTTTACCGCATCTTCATACTTGTTCAACAGCTTGAAGATCATCTCAAAGAGCTTCTTGTACTTCAAGTTCTTGATGTTGATATTGTCAAGCAAACTTAAGTTCATCTCCAACTGGTTTCCCACCCGGAACTTATTGAGTTTAAACCTCATTGTAAGAATGATTTTATCCCTTTGAACCTTCTTTGTATTGTTTGGGTTGTAGTAATTAAGCCCGAAAAGTAATTGGAGATTGTTGAGGTTGACGAACTTTAAATCAAAATTCAACTTGCAGAGCCCATTACTGAGCTTATGAGAAGCAGCTTTTGTATCAACATGCGTTCGAAGCTTCCGAATCCCTTGAATTAGTGGCATGATTTGGTTGAAGTAGTTGATCACACTCAAAAGCGAGTAGGGCTTGTCGTAAGAAATCGACTTATTTATATAGTTGATGATTAGCTTGATATCGTTGGCCTCATTCTCATCGTATCTGTAGTGGTAGTTCCGCATCCCCTTTTCGGGAACCTCGATGTACACCTGCTTGAACACTTCATTGATCTTAATCTTGATGCACTGGTTGAACTCAAGCACCTCGACGTTATTTTCAATCACTTCGTTCATCAAGGTAATCAAATAGTTCAACTTGTTGAGAGATCCAAACACACCCTCGAGGATGTTGACATCCAAATTGAGTTCGTTGTTACCCAAATTTATCTCCTGGAAAATCTCAATAAACTGTTGTCCCCCTCGTTCCAAGATCTTGATGTTATCGAGATTGAGGTTGTTGAACTTGCTCGAATCCAACTTCAACTTGGACATCAAGCGCACTTTGATAAGCTTGGACTCCTTGTTGTTGACCAACTCGATTTTCAAGATCAAACTGTTACTGGAGTTTTTCACTGGCAAGTACTCGCCGCCATTGTAGATTAGAATCATCAACTCGTAGTTCCGTTTGCCGCTGTTCGACTCCATGTGGAATTGGGTAAGCAAGCTGTGATTTGCGGCAAGCTCAATGAATTTGACATTCTTAATGGTCAATTCTTGTGTCAACATATTGTCGATAATCTTGTTGGAACAAACCACTGATAAATTATTAAAGAATTCAAAGTTCAATTGAGAGTCTATTAAGCCCAAATTCGTCACCCACTCAAGTTTCCACTCACCTTTAATGGACTTGATCCGACTCACAAACCAGTCGATGTTAAAGTCTCGTTCGTCGACCACGCTGATCAAAAACCAAGAAGATGGCCAATTCTTGCACTTGAAATATTGGATATTAAAGGCAGTTCCCACCAAGTCTTTATCGAGTTTTCTTAACTCATTCTCCTTAAGGTTGATTATGTGGTTGGAAATCCACTCGATGGTGATCAATTTGTTCTTGATTTCGGAGGAAATAGTATCCAACTTCAACTCAATCAACTTATTGTGTATGTATTGGATGAGCAGCAGCTCCAGACCATTGTAATTGAAAGAGTTGATTCTTTTGGTGATATGAGCTTGTGCAGCGTTGGGCTCCGTGAAGTAGAAGTTACCCGTGAGTGAATCGATCGAAAGTATCGATGGTTTGGAGTTGGTAAGTTTAATAAGCACCTGATACGGGTTTATAAGCTTGAAAAAAGTTGGGTTGGTCCTGGAGATACTGCTGGCCAAAATGCCACAGTGTTTGTTCAAGATAAGGTTCAACAAGTACTCGATGTTGAACTCATCGTTATTGATGGAAATGTCCTGCAAGTTAGTCATGATTTCGTTATTTTTGAACCACTTGAACTCAATCTCAAAATCTTCGTTCAAGGTGATTTCAATGGTGTTTGATGGGTTGTTCCAGTAGTTTATGAGAATCTTGTTGTCGGCGTATTTGTACTTGAGGTTCTTCCACTTCAAATCGTTTAAGCTCTTCAACTGTTGTTGGTATATCAAGTTAAACTTAAACTTCTTGGTGAAGTTATTCAAAAACCGGTATAGCCCTTGGAGGTTGGAGCTCAAAAGCACCGAATTGCCTTGTTTCTCGAGCTTGGTCCAGAATGACTGCGGAAGCGGTGTGGGTAAGTTCGACTTCAACACATTATCGTCATCGATTCCAAATGCAAAGTGAAAGTCTATCAAGAAGTACGGAGACCTCGAATACTCTTCGTCCAGCTCAATGATTAAGTCGTTGGCGACAGTCACGCACGCTTCGTACTTCTTGTCCAATTTGAACACTATTCGGCCATCTTTCACCTGGTGGTTCACCAACAATTCCGAGGGAATGTTGTCATTCAAGGCAATTCTAGCAGTCAACGCTAAGTTCAAGTCCTGGAGAACCTTGAGAATCTTCTGCGAGGATATGGGCGGGTTTTTAATCAAATTGTACGAGGGTAATTGGGGTCTACCCTTTATCAACACCTCCATGCTGGTGGTCAAGTCGCTATTGGGCAACTTTGCCCCACTGAACCCGTTGAGCTCATTTAGCCCAAGCGCCAACTGCTCGAAGTAGAACTCCTGGGTCCGAAACCAATTGAGTAAATCGATGAGTTTGCCCACATCTTGAGCTTTACTGGCCCATTTCACCAACGCATAAATTTTTATGAAATCCTGGCGTAACCCCACGATCAACGTCAAGAGCTTCTTCTTACGAGTCACATCCGTCTCCTTGTTGCGGGTGATGGAGAGATTCTCGACCATGGTGTTCAACTGCTTGTATGCTTCGTGGCAGTAGAACTTTAGCACGCTCAGCAATGGGATGATATTACTGGTGACATGAGGTAGTTCGGCTCCCACCACGACAGTGGAAGAGTCCATATCATCTGCACCGTCGCTGTGCTGGCCGTTGGCTGCCGGCAAGTGATTGTATCCACCGTTGGCAGTTCCTCCGCTCATAGGTTGTTGGTTCAAGATAAATATTTGTGCGCGAAATACGCAAATGGAAACTTAATACTGTTATGTTGTACATAAAACATACATATTTTACAAAGGCCGACGAACCCACTCAAACCCGGGACTGACAAGCATCTCCAGCACCGACTTACGGCGCTCCTTTCGCACCAACAACACGTCGACTGCCAGCTGTAAGCCCCGAATCAACAGGCTCATCTCATCACTCGCATTTGCAACCAAATCCGACGCCGTATACCAGTCCCAGTCTATCATGGCAATACGATGGGCCGGTGAGTTCTTGGCCATGCGCCTCTTGATCACCAGCGGCGAGATGCCCGTCTGGGCCATGTCGTCGTACGACGGGAGGTCGAATGGGAGTCGATTCTCTACTAGGCAGTAGATCACTACCCCCACCGCCCAGGAATCGGTTAAAACTCCATTATACTTTAACCCCATGAGGATTTCTGGCGCCACGTAGTCCTGCGATCCACACCGGGTGGAGAGCATTTGACTGCTGCTCAGGAGCTTCTTTGCCAACCCAAAGTCGGTGAGGCACGTGATGCCCTCCAAGTGCGGTTCCTCCATGAGTTCATCAAGAGTGTAATTGAGAAGCACATTTTCAAGCTTGATGTCCCGGTGCACAATGTTGTTGGTATGAATGTAGTCAACAGCCACCACGAGCTCCCGCACAATCTGTACCACTGCTCTCCAGTACCGCACGTCTTGATTCCACGTCTTGAACGTTCTCACCAGAAACTCGTAGAGATTACCTCCAGGACAATAGTTCAAAAAGAGTAGCTGATGATTATTCTGCTGGAGCGACGCTAGGTCCTTTATCAGGCTGCTGTTGGACAACTCACGGGCCATATCCTGGTGGTCCTGGTCACTCTCGTCGCCCGGCCCCTCGTCCCACCCCCTCAAGTCCAAGTCCAAGCTGATATTATAGTCCAAGAGCCGGATCACGTTCTTATGGTGGAGTTGATGCAAAATGGAGAGCTCACGACGAAGGAAATACTTGAAGTTCTTGATCTGGGCCTTGTTGTTCATGGGAATAGAAATGATCTTTATGGCGGCCTGGCGGCGGTCGTCATCCACGTCGTGCACGAGCACCACAAGGCTGAAACTGCCCGACCCAATGATCTTGACAAATTTAAACCAGGCATCGAATTTGGCCAGAAAAAACATCTGGTGCTTCCAGAATCGCTCGACATCTTCCTCTTGTCGACTCTCCTCCAGAAGCGTCCGAAGGCTGTGGCCCAATGTTTTTTCTGAAGGACCTGGCACCGAGCTAACCCGATGAGGCTGGGGAACAAAATCGGCGCGGTCGATGGGCTTATATTCCGACACAATTCGAGGGGGTTTCTGTGGCTTTGTGGATGTCGTCCGCCTTGTCTTGGGGTACTCGAGGCCGCTGTCAACAGGAGAGAGGGCACCAAATGACCCGTTGTTGATTATAGGTGTTGGGACCTGGGAGATGCTTTCGAAGCTGGCATCGCTGACGGTGGGCGACGTGAACTGGGGCGACGTGAACTGAGGCGCCTCCTTGAGGGTTCCCAAAGTGGTGGATAAGTCGGGGACCGGCGGAGAGTCCTGGAAATGGGATTGGGGGATCTGAAAACGGGAGTTTTGGGGGACCTGGATGAATAATTGGGGCGGTGTAGAGTGGTGCGATGGCCGTGTGTGGTCTTGTGATGGAGAACGGTCTGGTAGTAGTGGGTGGTCCGGCGGTAGCGAGTTTGTGCGCCCTAGCGGTACTGTGTGATCGACCATCGATAACTGTCTAGAATGAGTTGTCGTTATCTCAGCTAATTTCTAATTTCAAGAACAGTGGATATCACAGGACAAGTAGTACATGCAGTGGTCACGCCTTGTGTGTGGTCTACTCAATTCAATCACACACGTTGTCTGGTTCAATTGGTCAGGCGGCTAGTAGAAAATAATTCTTCGGCCAGCCTTTTACCCCAAAAGCGCAAGCGCGCGCGCCGCATCGTAAATATATGTCTATTGATTACTACATAAACCCTTCGAGAACACGAAGAGCTCGCTCGAGTCGGTCGATTCCCACCGCATACCGGTGTTCGTCTAGTACCATGTCCAGTGTGAGTCGCGAGAGCTGGTCCACAATCTTCTCGATGAGTTGTTTTTCTTTTACCGGCAAGTTGAGCTGGTTGAACTCTTCCCCTATAATAGTACCATTTATACTCTCAAGGAGATTAATGAGTGTGTGATACGAAAAAGGCTTGAGGCCCAGTGCCTCGTGCGAGGATGACGTGCGCTTTCCCCTGGACTTGCGGCCCTTGCTGGTGTTTCGTGTGGGCTTTCGTGGGTGTTTGGTGGACTCCTTTACAGACTTACCACGAGCAGGTTTCTCCACCACCACCGGCTCATCGACATCATAGAATTGGTCATCGAGTGCCTTATCATGGGATTGGTTGGGGTGGTGTGGTGCTGGTGCTGGCGGTACAGCGATGGTAGTATCGTGGAGCAATGGCCCTTCGGGGGTCTTGAACTGGCCGGTGGTGGCTGGGTCGTCGATAGCACCAGGATCGGCAGGTACGGCGTCCGTCCGCGGTGTGAGGTTGGGCCGCACCACCTCGTCGTCGTTTTCTGTATACTCTTGCGTCGGGTACATAGACCGAACGACGGTGGTGGTACCAACACTGGCAGCCACCCCAACAGCACCCGCAGCCACTGCTGCCGCTGCTGGAACCAGCGGTTCTCTCTCAGAATCTTCGTAGTTGGACGAGTTTTGCTCATCGTCAAATACTTGTCTAGGCTTGACTAGGTCAGGAGAACCATCGTACAACTGCGAATAGTCACTCTTGGAGTACTCGGGGTTTTCAGGCTTGGAGTGCTCGGATTTATCAAAGTCAGACTTGGAGTGCTCGCTCTTGGACTTGCTGCTGAGGTCCTTGGGTGGTGGTGGTGGAGGTTGGTCGAAGCCTTTGGGAGAATAGTCTGCCGGAACCACTGCTGTTGACTCCAGCGTAGCAGGTACCAGGGGTTCGTTAACAGGCTTATCGCCTACGGTGAGAGACTCGGCCAGGTCCTTATCTGGTACTACAACCTCTGCGGGTGCCAAAGAGCTCATTGACCTACCGGGAATTGTAATTCCAAGACCTCGAGATCCTAGACTTCCCACCGAACTCCTGGTTATTCCCGGCAGCCCCGTCCCAGTCAACATGTCGTCGGAGTAATGCGACTCGTCGTCACTCGTCACCGGTGGTTGTGGTAAAGTTTGATGGATTCTCTCTCTTGATGAACCACTCATTTGCAGCAATCGCTTTTCGACTGCCGCCTGTTCCACTTTACTCAGAACTTGTCGAGCCCGAGCCAAGTTCTCAGTACTGGGCCGAGGAGGTACTTCCGTGCGCTTGGGCAACCTCAATGCGGTTTCACTCGGTCCACTATGCTCACTACCACTGTTGAGACTCGCAGTCTTGAAACTCTCGCTCAGACTTCGTTTATTTGCACTTTTGGAGTATCCCGCTAACGGTGGCTCAAGCTTGGAGTACTTCAGTTCCACCGACAGATCGTCCCCCGGTTCCAAGTTTTCAAACGTGTACGACTTCAGCTTGATCGAGTTGGCTCTCTCCATCAACTTGTCCAACTCATCACTAATACTCAACGACGTCTTGTGGCCACGACCTGATCCACTAGCAGTACTAGTCGCCACACGGGCTGATGCGGGGGTCTGCATCGACTGGACTCTGGCAGGAAAATTGGTCTTGTAATTGGCGATTTCTGCTTGTAAACTCGATTCATCCACCACCTGACTCTTGGGCCTACGAGTTGACCGTGGTGGAATGGATCCTTCGATTGTAGTATCATACAGCATATCTGGCAGTAAGCGTCCCGTTGTTTCCTGCTGAGTTTCAAGCTTTTTGATACTGGCTGAGCGGTTAACGGTGGGTTCGATAGGCCGATTCACCACTTTAACTGACACAGAACGGGCCACCTGCGACAAGTCGTGGGCCGAGTACTCCAGCATCGAAGAGAGGTACGAGTCTCTGCCTTCTGTGAGGTCTCCGGGGGTCTTGACTTTCCTGGGAGGTGGTATGGTGGAATATTGGCTGGAATAGAAACTATCGGTTTCATCGTCTTTGGGTCTGTTCAACACGTCGGAATCGGTGTACGAGAACTCACTCGTGGCCTCGTTGTCTCCGGGTGTGTGGCGGCCTGACATAGATAGCTAAAAGATGAAGTGGTAAAAAGAAGTGATTTAGTTTTGAAGACACATTTCATTTCTATATTTTCGCTACGCTATGTGCGTGTTTGGATCTGGGCCCAATTAGGAAGGGTAATTGAGATTGAGAATAGGAATGGAATTTGGCACAGCCCTTGTTGTGCCTCAAGGAGGGCAGTGAGCCGGTTGAGTAGTCCAGGTGCTTGTTAGTTGTGCTGTTGTTGAAACCCATTTCTGGTCCAAGCACCCATGGTAAAAAAAATTGCCCCCTACACCCAGCACATCTCTTCTCTGTCCACTAATCTGTCTGTGGCATCGCGATCGCGCACCTAACTAACAGCTGCGATAACTAGATAACCCGTAATGCACAGTCGATTCCCATTTCTTCTACGGCAACTTCTGTCGCGACCGGACCACTTCTCCCGCTATCCGCTCAATAATGAGCTGCTTGTCAAGCGCATCAACTGGTTCAAATCCGCTTCCAGTTCTCTTCCTCCACCATCTATTTTCCCCATGCTCATCGATGCCATCAATGCCACTAGACAGATACAACTTCAAAACACTCCCCAAGTGCACCAGTCAGACTTTCTTTCCATTTCTCCAAGTGAATCTAATGATGATCTCGAAAACCAGCTTGTGCAACTTCTCCAACACTACAAACTGCACTGGAACTCTACAAACCATCTAATACGACACTATCTACATGAACCTCCACGGCCAAACCTGGCGAGCGTGGTGGACTTGGTCTCGCTGCTGTTTTTGTCCCAACTCCAATACGGCCGTGTTGATTATGGGCTTGTGCGTCTGGGAATCGACAATTTGCTCCATACCAACGACTACGCGAGCAGCTTCAAACTCGTAGATGCAACACTCTATGCACCCCAATTCACCCAGCACTCCTCCAGAGTGCTACGGCGAACCCTATCATGGGTTCTGGCGGCATTTTTGGCCGTTAATGTACTTGAAATTGCCATATTACCGTTGATTCTGCCGGCTTTTCTAGTTTTGGCCAACACCGCACTAGCAGTAAGTCTAGGCTACGGATTCACCAACCTTAAGTTCCCCCGGCACCTAGGGCGTGTGAGCTGGCGGATGTCCAAGTCACCACGTCAGGGGGTTTTGCACAACGAAGAGCTTTTCCTTGTCAATCGCATTATCACCTACTTCGAGGAGAATAACGAAATTAACTTGAAGAACTACCACACAAGTCAGGTTCGGGAGTTTTCCAACCCCAACATCAGCCGCTTCAACGACTACTTCGTGGAACTACCAACATCGACCGCCGTGACGGCTGTGGGACAACATGGCCAATACATAGATGAAAATATAGTTGCCCTCCAGCAGATGTTTCGGCGCGAGCTCATCGGTCGCAAAATAGCCATCAATGATTTGCCGGAAGAACTTCACTTTGTGGAGTTCTGGATGACTCAGGGCGAGAACTTTGAGTGGGTAGAGCCGGACCAGGACCCAGCTGAAATTGTTCGGTTCAGAAAGAATAGCTAATAGATAAGTTGAAAAATACACAAGTTGATGTAATCAGAATGGAATTAGTAGCATGAGACAATGCACGAAACTTCCTCCGAGTTGTGGTAAAAGAGTCAACTACTAACAGAATTTGTGGGTCAAAGAGTCGGTTACTGATGGGTGATCAGAGTCACCCGCTATACATGAGTCAAGTTGGAGTCTGAGCTGCAAACATAATTGCCGGCCTAGGGCTTATTTATGAAGATAATGTTAGAATTTGCAGCCAAGCACAACGTGAGACCCTGGACTGAAGTATACTCTATTAACGAAGAGATTTACCCAGACATGATGAAGAAAATCTCCAATTCCGATGCACGCTACCGTATTGTCTTGACAGACCTTGGCAAGATTTTTGGGACCAATTAGCATTGTGACTGTTTATGGGTTTGATTTTTAGTGGTTTAGTGGATATAATGTCTATAATAAATATGGCTGATAGTAATTTCGACGATTGAAAAAGACGTCCAAGCCGGTCTGTACACCGTTCTACGCCTGACCCATACACCCTTCTAGCCTTGAACTGCACACGTACTTGAGTCTAAACCATCTTATCTCACATCACTTGTCGCAGATGTTTGGCATTCGCGAAAATCACCAATCTTCCACATCCCCCACCACTTAACCAATCCCATGACCATCCTCGACTCTGAACCGTTCATCAGAGTTGATGTCCCCAAGCACTTGGATATAATCTCGGACCTCAAGTTCTCGAAGTCCCAGGATCAATTCCTCTTTTCCTCATGGAATAACAAACTTCTTCTCTACGATTGCAGTTTCCTCGACAACACCCGAATCCTCAACGAATTCATCACCCCGGTCCCCATACTAAGTATTCAGTACCTCAGAGACACTCTCGCGTATGTGGGATCACTTGATGGCCTGTTATACCACGTGGACTACGAAAATGGGAAACTTATGAAGGAGCTGTTTGTACCCGCTCCACAAACAGAGCTCGACTCTGGAATCAACAATTTGGCCACCTTCAACGACAGCTTGCTAGTGGCATCTACTTTCAACAAGCACTTTCATATCGTGGATTCCCGAACTTCCCATCCCATCGTGTCGAGGAAAATGGAGAAGAAAATCCTAAATATGGATACAACCTCTACCTACTTAGCCATTGGCATGACCGAACGTACGGTGGAAGTCTACGACCATCGCAACTGGAACACTCCTTTCCAGGTCCGTGAAAGTGGCTTGAAGCTGCAAATCACGGACCTTAAGACCTTTCCTAGCGGTGAAGGGTTTGCCATATCCAGCATCGATGGCAGAGTCAGTGTCGAGTACTTTGATCCATCTCCGGCAATCCAGGACAAAAAGTACGCTTTCAAATGTCATAGACTCCTTGATAAACTCACACAAACAGACGTGGTGTACCCGGTGAACTCGATTCTCTTCAATCGCAAATCCAACCACCTCTACACCTCAGGCTCCGATGGGTGCTTAAACTTATGGAACTGGGAAACGCGACGCAGGGTCAAGCAATTCCCCAAGTTCAAGACCGACGAGTTGGTGGAAAGCATCGTCAAGTTGGATCTCAATTGCAGCCAGTCGGTGCTTGCGGTTGCCACTAGCGACGACGGGTTCAAGAACAGCCCTTCACTCGAACAGACTGGGTCTCTGCCTCGGTTCTCCAGTTGTATATACGTTAAGCGAGTGTAATGGTGTCAGCCCATTCCAGCCCACTAGCCACATCCTCAACACCCGCAGGTCTTCGCACTTTTTCTGTTCATCTGCATCTTCAGCAACTATCCTAGTATCCAAGCCTTGTGAACCCTCATGGTAGAGTTCGGAGCATCCACAATCAATTACGTTAAGTGGTTGAAGCAGAATGGCGTCCACTTCTGTAAAGACTGTCGCATTAAAGACTTGAGACACAAGAACGAAGGAAGAGGTATAATTGCTGCGCAAGACATCGAAGAGCATGATACCATTTTTGAGATCCCACGGTCGGTGGTGTTGAACTTAGAGACATGTAGCTTGGTAAAGGAGCGCCCAGGTGTCAGAGAAGGCTTGGAGCTGTTGAATCAGTGGGAAGCATTGATCATTATTCTTTTGTACGAACTTAAGGTCAAAAAGGAGCACAGTCGGTGGACACCTTACTTTGGCGTGTTGCCAATTCTCGACGAAGAAAACTACACCTTCAACCAGTTGATGTTCTGGTCCGATGATGAGTTGGAGTATCTCAAGCCGTCTCTCATCATACAAAGAATTGGTAAAGATATAGCCGATGGCATGTACAACAAGCTCTTCCCCAGAGTGATCAAACAATTGAAACTCGTCGAGTTGAACGACACCACCTTGTGGGAATATCATAAGATAGCTTCCTTGATCATGTCGTACTCGTTTGATCTTGAAAGGTTGAACAGAGATGGTGTTGTGAACGATGAAGAAGACGAAGACGAAGATGAGGGAAACGAAGAGGTGGGCAATGAACCCTCCTATAAGAACAGCCCGGTATCTCTGTCGGACGAAGAATACCCCGACAGCTGGAGAAATGACTCGTTTTTAAAGTCTATGATTCCAATAGCGGATACTTTGAATGCTGACACAACTCTCCACAATGCTTCGTTGGAGTATTTACAAGATAAACTTGTGATTCGAGCCATTAAGCTCATTAAAAAGGGGGAGCAAGTGTACAATACGTATTCGGACCATCCTAATAGTGAGATCTTGAGACGGTACGGATATGTAGAAAGGCAAGGTTCGAAACATGATTTTGGCGAAATCACCCTAGCGTCTATCAGAGATCATTTCAGCCAATGCTCCAATCCTATTATGCATGAATTTTTTGACGAAATCATGGATTTATTCTACCGAATTATCCAGGAAGAGAGTAGCGAAGAAGAAGTGGTGGAATTTGTGCTAGATTCGTATGACTGTTTTGCTTCCAGTGAAGTCATTATTGAATTAACCATTCTACTCCAATGCTTAACTATCATCGGCTCTATTCACTCGTTAAATTCTATGGAAACGTTGACGGTGGATTCTAAGTTCCAACTCGTACGTAGGATCCACAGAAAGTGTATTCTGTTGATAGAATCCAGAAAGCTCACCAAGTTGTTTTTGGCCAACTACAAAGCCATCCTCGGCAACCGAATGAGCGAATATCCTGCAATTGCTTCCGAGGACTTTCCTGGCTCTTTCAAGTTCACCAGACAGAATATGGCCAATGTTGTGTTGAAGTCTGAATATACTTCGTTGAGGAACTGTCTCGACGTTGAAAAGACCTTCACGATAGACGATATAAAATACCAATTTATAGATGACGATAAACTTATCAGAAACATTGTCAAGAGAAAATTTGATTTGCCAATCCCAAATTCTCCAAAGAGAAATAAGAGATAACCCTTAAGATAAGAACATAATGCGTTAGGAATGTTGAATTTTAAAGCAAAACTATTTTATTAATGTACATACCAATATTAGAAAATGTTGGTAGAAGAACTAAATATGTTTCATAACGAGCGTTTTAAGGTAAGGGTCAAGCATTGTCAGGTATCCTTGAAGAACAATCAAAATACGTTGAATTTAAAGTATCGACTCTTGAGTCAGTCGAAAGAGTAGAAGCCTTTCGTTGTCTGGTTTCTGGTCTCTTTACTATTAAAGGTCTTGGTCTGGATACTTCAAATCCTTTAACGGGTTCTTTCTTTTTGAATATCGAAGAGAGCTTAGTTTGGGTCATTTCTAGTGTTTGTCGCTTAGGAGATGCCATTCCAGTAATAGGAACATCTGATGGGATTGCTATTGACTCTCTCTGTTTTCTGGACTCCCAAAGCTCTTTGACGTCCTGATCAATATCGTCGTCGACGAAAAACTTTTGGTATATCCTATCTGCTTCTCTCGTAGTGTAGTCGACTTTCAGTCTTCTCAGGATTGAAAACTGTTGCTGTTGCTCGAAGGACTCCACATCTGACATCAGCTTAGTGATAGGATGTTTGAAACTTGTGGAGTGATTTTTTAACAAACTGGAGGGAGTTGATCGATAGTAGAACTCAGGGTTGTGAATGATATCCCCAGACTCTGTCGAATGATCGTCGTCCTCCAACATTTTGGAGTCATTTTCAATGGCTCTACTGAGGTTATGCACTGGTTGATAGTCAAATTGTTGATTGAACTCATCCGCACTGCCATCCCTCTTTACTCTTTGAAATGCTTCATTATTGTTATCCAATTTTCTGTGTTGGAAAATTGAGTAGATGGTGGTAGAAAAACAGTATACCAACTGTCCGACAAATGCTAGGGCAATTACGGCATGGATGATTAGCTGAGTATATGCCACATATGTTCGAGTATTCTCCGAGTATCCCAATTGCTGGAGATATGGAACACATAAAATTGTCACCAACAATCTAGCAGCAGGAATCATCCATCTGGTGGAAGTCCAAGTCATGTGAAGGTAGAATGGTTGAACAAAAAATAAAATCACCAAGCTCAGAGTCTCTAGAGCTATTAGGCAAGCTACCTGGGCAGTTCCACTAAACTGGAAAAGTGATATAAACACCAGCCTGATAAAAATCTGTACCAAATCAACTATCACATAATAGTTCTTGCTAGGATTGTAATGGTGGTACAAAAATGACCACGTTAAAAGGGTGTTGACTGAGGTATACAACCGAGTGACTCTGGGACTCATAGCCAACCCCCATCCCCTGAAAGTGAGTAAGTATCGGAAGATAAAGAACAAGGCAATTAAAGCCCATGCAGCAAACAAGATTGACCCCATGACCAATGGCGCAAGTCCTAAGGCACCATCTGAGTTCTGAACTGTTTTGAAGTATCTACTGTCAGTCATATTCCAGTTGTGGGTATAATTGAAGTTATTGTCAACAATTTCAAGTCTATGTTCGACTTTGGAAGTAGTCGTGTTCACCACTTCAATAAAACTATTAGGAGTGAATAAACTGTCATAAGAAGCATTTCTGAAGAACAATTGATCACTCAAAGTGTTGACATTCGGACGGTACGTGGCTCTATTTTGAGCTGACAAAAAAAACAAGTTTAAGGTCAACACCAAAAAAGGATATGCAAAAAGAGCCATGAAGTTATTCAAAGCGGTTCCAATAGTAAATGAGAACCACCGTCTGAAAGTATCTCGAAGTGACCTATCTTGCATTACTCGCTTCACTTGATTATCTCTTAAGTATCTCGCCAAAAAGAACATCGTTTGGATTACCACCTGGATGCTAATCCACACGACTAAAGTCAACGAAAAGTTACACCAATTGTCACCAGCGGTTTTGTAAGTACCAAAATATGTCAACGAGCTCAATCCATTTGCATTATATGTTAGGTAGATGTTGTCTTGTTCAGTGGACCCGTAGAATTGATTCCCATCAAGGAGCGAGAACCCTAACAAGGCATTCCACTTTAATAATGCTAGTAGTGGTGGGTAGAATTCTGGGTAGTTGATACTGAGGCCAGCAGTAAATAAAGCAAACTGCAAGTATAAGATGATTCGTTGAACTGTGGCATCCAACTGTTTCAATAGCTTTTCATTGCAGATAGTAGACGCAGTGAATAGGAATGGGTTTCTTGATTCCTGGTATGACGAAAACATCACCGTCAAAAAGTTGGTGCCTGCGGTCACTAAAAGTAACAGTAAAGCTCCGTATAAGATACCGTTTTTGAGTTCCCTGTTGGTTGCAGGAGTTATATCCATCTCCATACACAGTAGTACGACATTGGACTCATCATTGTCTATCACGGCAAACCTGGCAGCATACGAACCAATAGTCCCAATCAGGTTGGCAATGTCTACCTCATAGTACATGTAAATTGAATCATTCACGTATAGCGGACACGATACAAGCTGTCCGGTGGAGTTGCTGAAAAGCTCCTGGATGGAAGTGTTGGAATTGGCAAAAGACGTATCGTCTATTTCGTGTACAGGTGATGGTTCAACGTTTCTTTTGGGGATAGGAATTTCAAACACATCAAATCTTCGATGTTTGTCAATCTGGGATGTTATCCCGAGGGACTCCTCATCATCTACATCTCCAAAATCGAACGTCAAAGTCTGGTTGGCCTTGTTATTGAATCGAGGACTTTCCCAGTAAGATGTGGTGTTCTTCACACCTACCATATCACAGAACCTCAAGTTCTCGTCCACAATCACCTTACCCTTGAACCAGACTATGGCATGGAAAGTGGTATACTTGTTTGTGGTGGTGTTGACATCTTGTATTATGGGGTTGGTATTGAAAAGGTTTTGATGATCTATCACCTGGGTGTTGATAAAGAACTTCAATAGCTTATTATTCTTATCCAAAGCAACGTCCACCAACGGCCTTTCCAACTTAAAATGATCGCAGTCTATGGCAGCACACTTGGTACTTCGAACGAGGGCTCCACAAACGGTAGTCACAAGCAAACTGAAATATAGTATGAGTATATTCATGGTGAGCTGATGGCCTTAACGTGATTAGTTGTAGTTCGGGTTTCAGATATCCCCATCCGTCAGCTTGATATGAAATCAAGAAATACGTAGGGTTTTAGGAGCTTGAAAGTGGTAGCAGTAAGTGCTGGCTTTTGTGGCACAGATGCAAGTATACAAAAAGGGTTGCGTCAATAAATCAGTAAATTAATTCTGCGATTCGAGATGCAACTATTGAGAAAAAGGCAATGCAATCTGAAATCACGTTAGTTGCAAACAGTATAAATACACATTAATTAGGTGACTCCAAGTACTACAAAGATCCCTAGTTCGTATGTGGTAGCTTAGGGAACTCATTCCAAGAGACTTTGAGGTGTTTTAGCCCGCTACAAGCATCACAAAAGATATTATCGTTAACTATTTACAGTATTATGGACAGAGACATGGAAATATCTGTGTTTGTTGGTCAGGTTACCTCTATGAGCATAGTCGAGCCGCTTTCAAACCGGCCGCAGCGACTCGTACACCTGTTGCTATTGAAATGGAAAAGGTATTTGCTGTTCATGAACCCTAATCGTTCGTGTTACCTCTCAACTTGGGGTACAATCTGGAGGCATGGTAGTTGATGGACGATAATTGCTTCTTCTCGGGCTTGAAGGTTTCCATACACTTTTTCAAATCGGTCTCAGCTTCCAAGCACGGCGACGAACCTTCACCATTAGCAGCCCAACAGTTTAAAAGAGTCGACATCATCACCAAACACTGATTGTTGGACTTGTTCAAGAAGGGTTTTCTCACCCGCAACTTGGGCAACGGAGGCAACGCCGCTGAGTTTTGTAACTTCTTATAAGCCATAGTGGATGAAGATTGGAGGATCTGAAAATTTTCAGTTTTTTTTGCGAGAAAAACTTCTAGGTGCGCAGCCAGATATGATGAACTGGATATATATGAATTATCTATGAAATTACCTTGAGTTTATCTTCTAGATCCACAAGCTTGAACTGTGTGGCAGATCTCCTGTGTAGAGAACCAGGGATTTTGGTGTAGTTATAGAGCCTCTTGAAACTCCGGTTATAATATGGCTTAAGTACCACCGACTGGTCAATGGGAATCGTTTTCAACTGGTTGACCCGATCAAACAAGTTGAGTAATTTAAACCTGATGATGTTGGAGATCTTGGCGTTCAAGTTGTTGACAAACACCTGTTTTCGGTTCGAGTACTTCATCCGTATCAAAGTCTCAATTTGGTCTGTCAAGTTGATTAAGAAAAGCTTGAAAATATGGTTGAAAAGTCTCCGGCGACTCCTGGTGGATTTATCGGTTAAGTAGTTGTATGGGATAAGATTGAGCTCTTTAACGTTATAGCTGATTATTAGCATATTGGCGGACGTAGTGGCACCGCCATTCGATCCTCTCCCGGTATCCTTCAAGAAATCACATAATTTAAAAGAGTTGTTTTTAAAGAACTGATGGTTGAAAAGGAGCATATTGGTTGATTGGTTATCGGACGAGAGAATCAACTCTATTTCTTTCTGGAGGGAAGCTTTCAAAGTATTGATTTCGGTTTCCACAATCGAGTTGAATTTATTCAAGAAGTTGAATCTCAAGATCTTATACTGGCCCAAGTCGTCCATTAGAATAAACTTTTTGGGGACGTCAAGCTCATTATAGATTAAATTCATCGCCTTGTCAATCTTGGCATTACTAGGCTTTATCAAATCGTCGGGATTTATCGATATGGAATTCTCGTTATATTCGACGAAATCCAAATCTTTCTTATGAAGCTTGACTTTGGGACTACACTGCTGTAAGTCCTGGATAAATTCTTGGGGATAGCATATGTCTGTCAACCGGTGCTTTCCGGTCCGCAAAGGAAACCCACTTAGCGATCTATCAAAACCCACCACATTGTATGGCAAATGAAATAAGTTGTCATTGAACAATGAAGAGTTTGGATTCAAAAATAACTTGTCCAACTCATTTCTGCGTAGCATCTTAAACTTGTCACTTATTCCGTTGAATTCCTGAAGTATCCTTAGGATGGGATCCGAGTAATTTCTCAAATATCGCTTATAGTACTTCAACTGTACTGATTTATCCTTATCAAGCTTGCCCAAGTCCTTATAAATCTTCTCGATTTTCGACAACGAGGTGTTGAAGATATCGATTTCGTCGGGTAAGTTCTTTATCAAGTTCTTCCTGTCCAAATAGTGCTCTGAGGGAAATGATCGGAACTGCTTTCCCTCATCCAAATTCTGTTGAATGAGTAAATCTTCAGTAGTCATGTGGGAAATGCTGTCGTAATAGTTTTGGAGGATCTTGTAGTTATCCTTATGCTCTTCATCCATGTCGTCAATACCTATATCTTCGTTCTTGGCCTGTTTGTTCTTAATGCCATTTTGAAGGGACATCCCTAAATTTCTCAACGCCTGTTTGTTGGCATCTTTAGCCTTATAAATAACAGCTGTCAGTTGGAAAAATCGTTTGCCACATAAGTTTGCTATAGGATACTGGCTCAACATGCTGCTGGTATGTGGTACCTTCGTGGCGTACAAACCCATCTATTCCCAAACTACGGTTGATCGTGACAACCTTTTCCGCAAAGTCGCGCACCAGGGATGACACAAGTTCGGCTTTGGTAGCTGCAAAATCAATGCGATTTATTCGTTACTCGATATATTCATTAATCTCGTTACAGATATACATTATTTTAAAGGGTGGTATGATGGAAGCTCTCCAAGAGCTTGTTGAGCTGGTATTGTTCGTTTAAGGCGGTTAACTCGATTAAAGGGTTGACGTCCACGGGAATGGACCTGAGTTTTTGGGTGGTGGGTTCAATCGATTCCATGCTGATATTGTCTAATGAATCAAATGATGAGTTGGGGCTAGGTCTAGATCTATCGCAAGTAAAAGCCGACTCTGCTGAAGATGAAGAATAAATGGATGCGGATGATGACTTTCTGATAGTCGAAAATGTGGATGATATTGGGTGAGACTCGAATGATCTTTGCGAGGAGATTGGTGATGCTGAGATTGGGGTGATAGGAGGGGCTGGGAAAGGTCCGGTTCCTGTTTGTGGTGAAGAAGCGAGTATTTTGGGTGATGTGGCGTGCAACTTTTGCTGTTGTTTCAAGTACTGCTTCATTCTATACTTGTTCATCAAATTGTCTTTGATGGGACACAAAAGCTGGGAAAAGTGATGAAACAACTCAAACTCATTGACAAGCAAGTGCCAGTTCAACAAGTATAAGAGCTGTCTTTCCATGAGATTTATGTCCTTCAAGTTGAAGAGCTTGTTAGTCAACTTTAACCAGTCGTAGTTTTTCATGCTAAAGTCATTGTTGAATTTGATGGATAAAATCAAACACGATAATAAAATCCTGTGTCTGGTGGAAGTTAACCCTTTGCAGTTTTTAGGTAATTTGGATTTCAACCGGTTTAAATACACCACGGTAGACATGAGGATGCCGTTATTCAAGTCCAAGGCCTGGATGAGAGTGTTTAAGAACTTCAGCACCGAAGGAAGCTTTTTATCATCATCAACATAAACAGTGGAATTCTTGTCGCAGGGGATTATTTGTAAGGTTTTAACTATGACTTTTTGAACAAGGTCCTGGTCGATAGGCGATTTGATGAAGAGCTCGATGGCTTTAGAGTCCACAGAATCCATTGGAAGAAAATGGGTATGAATAAAAGATCGTTTTATCAATAAAATATTGGATAGCACAGACAACCTGGCAGGTTCTTATACTAAGATTAGCCACCACCTGAAAAGTTTTTTTTAATAAAATACTTTTAAACATGCAACGCGATACACCATCCGGTACATTGACAACAGGTTTAAATCAAGCATTCTACTGCCCCCCAAATCACTAGCCTTTTTACCTCCTTTTCGCACCTATCTGCAGGTGCATCAAACAAAAATACCTAATTTGGGAAAATTAGACGCGTACTTCACAACATTTCAACGTATCGCAGAACTTAACACTTTATTGATAATCGAACCTTTCGACGCCATTGTCACACAGCCCATCAATCTCAAGGTTTTGTTAGAATTGGGAAGTAGATATAAGTATAAAAGCTTTTTACAATAACTGAGCATAATAGATCTCGAAATGTTGTAGTCAAATATGCCTGCTTCAGTCACATATTTTGTCCTGTTTTAACATGAGATGAATTAAGATGAACACCTCCAATAAATGGATGTCGAGATTTTGTATAATTGGGGCCAAAACTTTGATAATGTCGTTCTGGATGGGGATCTGGCGTACCAAAGACTTAATGGTTGTGACCGCTTCGGTTCCGGGATTAGAAATCGCTGGTAGAATGATTATACTTTGTTGTGTATTGACTATATCGATGTCTCCTTTCAAGTAAACACAATTTTAACAAACTTGTACAGAAGTTTTTAGTCTTTCCAAGAGCATGGTCAACTCTTTCACCCGGAGTTGTATTCACATTCCCATTTCTTCAACCACCTATGCAACATCTATTTAAGAGAGGTCCACATAAAGGAAATAGATATCATCTTGGGCCAATCTAGAGCGCCCCCGGACCCAGTTTTTTGGCCCATTTCGGATGCTCGACCGTTTCTGTAAAGATCTTCAGTTATATTTTCTGCAGACATGCCCAACTGCAGTTGTGCCAACGCCATTTCTGCAAGTTATGTGCCAGTCGTCTGTCAACTGCCAGCACATACTAGCTTACATGTTAACACGTCAAATGTTCACTACCTGGTACAACTACCATCTCACGTTATATTTACTCTCAATGTTCATAAGCGATGGTTTAGTCTCGTCTCGCAGCCATATGCCAACCGTCTTAGCCTGGGCCCGTGTCACCGACAACACGATATAACCGCCGTTTCACCTCCAGCCTGGCGCCTAAGAACCCCGACTGCCACAAAAACATGGGGTTGAAACCTTACGGGATCTACCCCTATTCAGGCTAAACAAATACGTGGCATGGCACCGGCCTGCAGCATAAAAAAACAAGAGATGAGAAAAAAACTTTAGCCGAGATTCTACGCAAGAGGAATATACAATAAGTCTGTACAAGTGGCCTGTATGTTGTTCTAGGTCATTGAATGAATTTTGTGTGATCTTACACTGTTAGTACAAAAACTTCGGTTTGGTTTAATCCATTTCGTAGGGGTATCAGAAATTTGGGTATACTTGGTCTATCATGCAATGAGTACTTCAGACTGGTGCACAGCATCTTTGTCTTCATCTAGCCCATGAAATGGTGAATTGAAACATACGTTTTCCTGACTTCTTGGAATGTGGTGAATAACAGAAAATTTTTCACGGTGCAAGATGAGAATTTATACCGAGATGGAATGCGGGTAACCGTTTGGCTGCAAAGTCTACATCAAACAATTTAATATTATACACTAAACAAAGGCGTCATAAAGCCCCCAGATATTGTCATCATACTTCTCCTGTGAAAAGAATTCTAGAAACAGCATATCTTTAGACTCGTCCTTGGTGTCCTTGGTGTCCTTGGTAAAATCACTGGTAATTTGAGCCCAAAGCTTGTCAACCTCCTTGTTATTCAACATATCGTTATAGCCAGCCTCGATATCGCTGGAAAATGATGGTAGTGAGTTCTCCTGGTTTGGCGGATCATTGTACAGGGTAATAGGTGAAGGTTCCACTCCTTCTAAGTTGGTCAGGAACGAAGATGTTCTGTTAAACTCTGGTTCTGATTGGGTTTTTCTTCGTTTTATTTCTTCGGGGCAGAAGTATTTTCTTTCTTTGATTTTGTCCAAAGTCCCTTTGTACATATCTATCAACTCGTCGATATCAGACATGGGGATTTCCTGGAACCACTTCACCACCTCATAGAAATCACACTCATCGTAGATTTCGTTCAGAGTGTGCGCCAAAAGAAGATAATTGTGGGCTTTGGACACTCTCCAAGCATAGTAGTACCGATTAGCTAAACGGGAGATCGAGGTGATGTTGTACTTCAGCACTGCTTCCATGTACTTGGACAACTGGGCATACTTGTAGAATCTTACCTGATAGTCGTAGGACTTCATGTCAGTGGAGTGGGTGGTAGACCGCTTTAATGAGTGCACTGTGGCATTAACTCTTAGTATAAGCGACAACGTGAACTGACTCGATTTGTGCATATACAAAAGGAGGTAGGGATTCAAGATGAAATCAGCTGTGGGCCCAAAGTTGATGTGGTTTCTACAGATAAGCTCGCTGTAGAATGGGACCATTGACAACGTACCGACACAAACGACTTTTTTGAGGTAGTATATGAACAACTCCATGTTGCCTTTAAGTTCGAAATTTTGCATGAATCCTGAGGCCATGCTGGATACGAATCCAGTCAAGTTGATCAAATTCTTGCATTTCATGATCTTAGTGAAGGGGTACCTATAGGCATCATCTTTAAAGCTGATCATGAAATCCTCAATGTTTCCAAATGTTTTGTAGATGGTCATCTCAAAATCCAGTAGCATCTCTGTGATATCTTTCATTCTGCTTGGTTGTCGAAGGTTAATTACTTTCTTCAAGATACTGACCAATTTGATGTAGAATCCTTCGAAATATGCAAACGTAGAAATCACATCTTTTTCCATTTCCACATCTTTGATATTCTCGTTACCCTTTTTGTAAAACGGTAATCTAGTGTCATAAAACTCCGGTTGGATTGCAAGAGGCGTCCCATATTGATAAACTTGGCCGATATCACTTATCAACATAAAGAACCATAACTTACGAAGTAAATTGTTGAATTTTTCATCATCTTTTCCTTCTTCGAATGCTTCTGGTTCTCGATTGATAGCCATCTGGTATGCACTCTGAATCATCATCCCATTGGTGATTAAAGCTGTACCTCCATCAGCACCTTCACCTTCTTCGGGGCCAAACTTATGATATAGGGTCAAGAGATACATGAATTGGAGCACAACAAAGCTGGACTTACGAAGTAAGTCAAACTGGAGTAAGCACTGCTCCGCCATGTACACGATTTGAATACTTATTGGGTTCGATAAGAGGAACTTTGTGTCTTGGGCTTCCCTACTGGTGTCTGTGGATCTCAAATTCTCTTCATTCACTTCTTGACGGTTTGAAAACATCGATAAGTACGCAAGCCGGAGCATCACCAAAAGGTTTCCTATGTAGGCGTAATCCAACCGCTTTTCAACGTTTATCTTTTCCACATTTTCCAAAACATAATCTTCAGGGCCTATGAGTCTGGTGATTTCACTTTTGAACAGCTCTTCATCAAAGAAAGACATGAATGGATACACATCCATGAAAAACTTGTTCACCAAGAGCCACACAACTTTTTTACAAGGTAGCACACTGAGCACCTTGTCGGCCAACTTCAACTCATCGTCTATCGAAGAATTCATAACTAGTCCAAGCGAAACCGCGGTGCTGCTGATGATTTTCTGGCTTAGCTTACTGCCCTCGGAATTAACAGATGAGGATGACACCTTCTTGTACGGTATCAAATCACTAGAATCAGTAGACTCAATGGCCTTTATTTTGAACTCCCGTTCTTGCGCATTGCCCGGGGTGTCTTTAGCCAACACCTTACCATCCACAAGCTCCAACATATCTCTTTTGCTGGAACTTAAATATTTCATAACGAGCCTCGCACCTCGATCTTTGACAATAAACGCTTGCCAGCTAAAGATCCCAAAATTAATCCTCCTCTTGAAGTTGTTAAGAAGCAATGAGTTGATTCCATCATAAAAGCTGATGGTCTCATCCAGAGACACGTACGGGTTTTTGGCCAAATACTTCAATTTTTCGAGCACCGGGTCACCGGGTATTACACCATCTCTGTAGCTCACCGGGTCGCCCAAAACTGGCACCCAGTTCATGGGCGGGAGTTGCACTGACAGATTAGGAGATGGAGTGGCAGCGAGCTGAGGTGTGGTATTGAACGTCAAACTTCCACCACCAAACCGCGGCATCGAATAGCCGTTTGTCAGTTCGGGAAGTCTCGTAGCCCTGTCGGCATCGGCTGGTACGTTCGGACCCTTGATATTTTGTTCCAATAACGAGATTTTCAGTTTGATCACCAGCAACTCGGATTCCATAGCACTATTTGTGTACCTTGAAAACATGTGGCTGGAATGCGGGAATGGCCTGGAGTGAGCACCAGTACCACTGTCGACACTGCTGGGGCTCGCGAGGTCATAGGCGGTTGTATTTGTGGGACTATTATTGATTCCATTTGTGGATTTGAAAGTACGGACCACAAACGCAGGTTTAGCCCCCAAGTCTTTGAAACTGTTGGCATTGCCATTTGTGTATTCGTTAGATTCGTCTATCCCTGGGTACAGACACTTCTCTGCAACGTTATACCTGACACAAGAAGAGCATGGGTTGCCTCTATCACATTTGACTTTTCTCCGTTTGCAATAGTTGCAAGATAAGGAGATGCGATTTCTCTTGCGTACTCCCTCGGACATGTCGTCGTTCTGGTGTATAGGGGTGTAGAGAGTATAAATACCAGTGCTAGTAGAACGTGAATAGCGGATTTAATTTGTTTGTCTGACTTACGCACTTTTAGGACGAATTTAGAAATGATCCTGCATACATTATCGAATATACCATTAGATGAGAGTTGGGGTTATACGTGTATTAGAAAACTCATAGGCCGAGGCCCGCTCACTCCAAATGCGGATTGCTGGGGTCACCATAGAGTTCGAAAAACTTCATAAAGTCGTCGCTTTTGAAGTTCGCGTCGCTGAAACTTCCAAAGTTCATCAGCAGAAGGACCAGGTCAAGACCTCCCATAGGAGTATCCGTCTGACCCCTTAACACACTAGATACGTCCTTCTCCATTCCATTTACATCGCCTCCTCTGTTGTCACTGGGGCTGATGGCTTCTTCTTCAGTGGGTTTGTCTTTTAAGTCTTCGTCCTCAAAGGTTCCGCCATGTTGAAAGTTCATATTGAACATCTCATTAGCACGTCTCTGTCTGTGCTGATTGTCTTTGGCAAACCTGAATTCCTCACATAGCTTGCACAAGTACTTGATTTCGCTAGCAGAAAAATATTGAAGCATGTTGGTGGTGTCCAAAATGGTCGACACATCACTCAAAGCGTACGCAAAGAATACTTCGGCATTTTGCATGCACTGTTTGAGTACGTAGTAAGTCAACACGTAGATTTTGTACGAATTGACGTACCGTAGACTCAATAGACGGAAGTTCCCCACGAATAACTCAGCTTCCACAAGTATCAAATTGAAGAGCTGGTTGATTGCTTGAAGCCGTTCTGCCAGATCGGGTTCAAACGTCTTAAACGTCAAGAGTTGCTTCTGGTGGATCAACCTGATAAAGAATGACGTCAAGAAACTGTGGGTTTTGATCATATATCGTTCGTTTGCCGCAGTCAACACATAGTCGTAGTTCTTGCCGAAAAGCTCGACCGAATTGTCGAAAACATAAGACATGATATACACCAATTGCACCACGCTTTTAAAATGTATTTTGAAAAGCTCGACTCCCGAGCTTATACTCGTGGTTTTGTCGTCGTTGTATTTCCTCTCGTAGTTCAAGGCAATTACGTAGTAAACGGATGACAAGTTGGCTCTCAACAGAATAAATGTCAAATACTTGACGATCTTCAAATACGATTCTTCGTGTTCCTTGCTACCGGTTTGGAAAGTGGATTCTCTGGCAGATTTACAGATGTAATCTTTGAAGAAATCTTTACCGAAGAATTCAAGGAAAATGTGTTCCAAAATATTTGTCTCTGCTAGTATATCAATAATCCTTGGTTTTTTTTGGAAGTTGCTCAATATTTTGCAGATTTTCCTGTAAGACTTGGAGATCTTGTTTATGGTTCTGAAGGTTTCTTCAAGCTCCGTACCACTGTGCATGTAGTTGGGGAAAGCAACATCCGAAACTTCAGCGTCATAAATGCTCAAAATTGAAGACCGGTGCATCGAGGTAGCCGCATCGGTGACCGCCAAATAATGCCACATACTTCTCCAACATTCAATCAACTCCTTATTCTTGTTAATGGTTTCGTGTTCAAAAAACTTGAGAGGATCCCTGTTTAAACCTATTGATAAGGCATGTCTGACAGTAGTACCAAATAGAATCTGGGAATCGGCAGCTCCTACTCCATGACAATCATTGGGAGCGACCTGACGGTAAAAGTACACCAACGACAATAGTTGTACCATTCGGAATGTACTTATCAGTGAAGTGTGCTCATCCGGAATACACAAGTTTACCACATCGGCAAATGTCTGGAAAGATACACTTTTGCACTCCTCCACAATAGAAATTTCAAGTTCCGAATACTGGTTGTGAATCCGATGATTATGGATCAAACTTAAGTATCCAAGGCGTAATGTGACTAACATTATCCCAAGTATATTCAAGTGCTTGTCACTCTTGATATTGAAGGAGGTATGCCGTCCATCTTCCAGTTCAAGAAACTGGTCTGTAACCGAATAGAAATCTTTCATCACCATATCCTGATTCACAATGGGAATAAAGGGATACACCCACTTCATGAACCGGTCAAAAAGATGGATCACTGTAAATTTAGAAGGAAACACGCTCACCAACGCTTTCTCAACGATCTTGTAGTACTCCTTACGGGAATTTCTACCCAGGTACAACGCCTTAAGCCCTGGTAAAATCGACAATGGTATTTCCTTCTTCTTCTTCTCCATATTATCCTTTTCGTCCTTAGCAATGTTGATTCTGGTAATCACCAAAATATCCTCTTCTTCACCCTCTTCCTCTTCTTCTTCCCCTTCCTCTTCTTCTTCTTCTTCCCCTTCCCCTTCCCCTTCCTCTTGTTCTTCAGTACTGTCTTTTTTGGCCACGGCTTTTTTCTCAGACTTTTCTTCTTCTCCATGGCCATTTTTTGTGTCTCCATTTCCTGGAGCTCTTCTGAGCACTCCATTAGAATCGTCTCCCACACGGCCATTGTGCTCGTTTGTCAATAACCTATTCGGCTCAATCTCAACATCAAGACGATCGTCATCGAGCATAGCAGGCGAAGCAATGTCCTCTTTGGGGGTTCTCTTCGTATCTCTGGGACTGAATTTTTCGGACCTGGGTGAAACATCCATCGATGTCAAATCCTGGCTCATGCCCGACTTGGGTCCACCACCTGGAGTCGAGTGCTGGGAAGAACGGTACCGTTTGTTTTGGGGAGAAGACTCGTTACTGGTCTTTTTTCGCTTCTTTTTGGGTATAAACTGGGCAATTTCACCCTTTTTGAGCAATTCGACAGCAAACTTCCTAAAAAACTTGACGAACCGGTCACTCTTTGTTAGCCCCACATACGTCAAAAACCCATGGTTCTGCAAGTATGGACCTTCAAGCAGTAACGGGAAGCTAGCGTTGTCGAAGAACGCCTCGATCTCATCGTTGGGGTCTATCCGTAACTGTGAGTTTGGGCCAATCGATACCACCATCAGCCTGTCGTTCGAGTTTTTTATGGGAGGGAGTTGGACATTTTTAGGATCCTGAGGACGGAAGCCTTCGCCGTCATCGTAGTAGTTGATAGAAGGAATGGACTGGTGTGACATTATAGGAATGTTATTAGGGGCCGGAGGACCAGTTGGTGGTGGAGCGATGTGGTGATACGGAACCTCGTACTGGAACGAGGAAGCAGTGGTGGAATGAACTGATGGTGGGCCTGGTACCCCGAGGCCGGGTGGGGCTTGCGGGAGGGCCAGCCCCGATATCAGGGCATGGTTGCTCGAGTAGTCGATCTGGCTATTAGTGCTGCCGAACGATTCGGTACTAGGGATTCCGCCTGGGTAGTAACTAAACACTCCCGTCTGACTGCCATCAGACGGAGGCTGGTCTAAGGCCAGACCAGGCGCCGATACCATGGCGGCGGGTGGTGCCACCGATGTCGCCGGCAGCACCTCCATCACAGCAACATTTGTCATGTCTCTGGACCCTTTTCTGGTGGAATCTGAGTCATCATCGTTTTCATAATAGCAAAGATGGGCAATTGACTTCTTCCGACATGATCCACAAACAGGCTTAACCCTGTCACACCGTGACTTACGCTTGCGGCAGACCGAGCACGACGAGGGGATTCTGTGTCTTCTTTTCAAAGAAGTATCCATGTGAAGAGTGGAGAAACAAAAACGAGATTATTTTTTGGGTGAAAACAAATGGGAAACACGGTTTTAATGGTGATTAATTACTATCTGGTCCTGTCGAGTGTGAATTAAGCGAATATAGCCGGTGTTTCTGATAGATCTCTTTAATGTGAATTGGTCGTGTTGAATAGAGAAATGGTATTTGAAAAGTTTGGGGCTTTCGCAGCAAAGTGCGAAGGTTATGATGCTAGAGACAATAGTGTAACGAGGACATTGGTGACTCGAGGATTCAAAGGCACGTGACCCTGACCTCTGCGAGATTTCAATTCTATAAAAACTACGATTTAAGACACAGTATTTGAGTTTGGCTGTTGCCGTCATGTGTTGCACCCATCATCCCAAAGCCTCGGATTTCGCCTGCGACTTCTTCTCTGCACTCGCCGACCGCTTTTCTCCATCTCCGCAGTCTAGTTTTCTCCAGCTTCGCAGCACACTTGACGCGTTCGCGAAAAACCTCCATTCAATACACCAGCACTGAAAACACGATCCATGAGCGCATCCGAGTCTGAATCTGACGACGTGTACCATAGTCCCGACGAGTTCGATGAACTCAACGGTTTTGTGGTGTCAGACGTCTCTGAAAACGAAAATAGCGCTGGAGAAACCGGTTCTCATACTGACGATGAAAGCGAGGCTCCTCGAGACAGAATGAGAGAAATGGCATCTGTGCTCAAGCCCAACGAGAACCATACCCAGAAGATTCTCAAGGCGCATGTTTCCGTGTTGGTATCGGCTTTGGGTGGACCCGACTATACCTCCAGTAACGTTCCACAGCCTTATAAGCTCGGACATGACGCGTTGGCCTGTCTCAAAGACATCAAAAGATGGATCAAATCAGTTGACGAACGTGGTCAGTCCTACGATGTGGCACTCGCGTGCGCTGATTCGGGGCTTCTTGTAAATGACTTGACGGTGATGTTGTGTCAGTGGGATTCCCAAGCCTCTAAAGGTGAACCCATCAAAAACGCTCGAACCATGGAGAAAATCATGCTTGCAAATTTGGAACTACTTGTGCTTTTGACGTGGCCCACCGAGTTGACGCCAGAGTCCAGTGAGAGCCAGCGGTTGTCGTTCTCCAATCTTCGAAAGACTCAACTTGTGTACAAAAGGCACATCTTACATTACAACAAGGGTCAGACCCTAAAAGCGGTTATCAGGTTGGTATTGGCGACAATGGCTAAAGAGAAGGCCGATAGAGAACCCAAGGACAATGCTATTTTGCGGTTGGTTCTATTTTTCATCAGAAACATCTTGTATATCGCTCCCATCACGTCATCTATTTCCATGAAAACCACTAAAGACCTTGCGAGTCTTGATAGTATGCCGGCAGGCGTGACGACAGAGGATATCTCAATGAGTACTGTTCTCAACTGCTTCAAGAGAAATAAGGTGTTGATGTTTTTGCTTACCATGTCCAATTCAGTGGGTTCTGATTTTGACAAACAAATGTTCGGGCCTGCTTGCCTTGAATGTATTTATTTGCTAGTCAAAAACATCCAGGTCGAACACATAATAAGTCCAGTGAAACTTGATAAGCATCCGCAAACGAATCCTGCTCCTGTTTCAAGTGAAAGCGCTGCTGGATCTCAGTTGACTGATTTATTAAAAGAAGAAACGAAACGAAAGATCTCTCAAAAACAGCACTTGTCTACGAGACATGGTAGATTTGGATCTTTGTTGTCCATTCAAGGAGATGAACAATCGTATGTCATTTCTGGTCAAGAAGCGTTGTTGAATGCTAATCTGTCTTTGGATAAGCTCGACAGATCCAAAAAATGGACCAAACCAAAATCTTTCAGGTATGACTCCGACGAATTTACCAGAGGTGAAAGACTCTACTTGAACACCGGGTCTATTCTCATATTGAAGGAGTTTATCAATCAATTTTTGGCTGGGGCCTGTTTCAATAATCTTATTTCCAATACCAGTAGCTTGTTTTCAAGTGCTGATGATCTCATTACTATAGATCCTTATGAGAGGGCAGTCTACTTCTTAACACTTGCATGGTTTTTGCGGTACAAGCGTGAGAGGAATCAGTTGTTGAAAGACAATCCCAAAATGTTGGAAAACTTAACTGATGATGACGATTCGGTTAACTTTAGTTCGATTAGAGCCGCCTTGAGTCAAACCAATTTCATTTTGATTCTTCACTACTTCAGAAATTCATACACCATCAAGGAGTGGAGTTCTGTTCATGTGGCTATGATTGCATTCTTAGAGCTTCTTCTTATTTCTCATACTCTTTTCATCTCAAAGCCTAAAGAAGTTGAGGCCGATGAAGAAGAATCTCAAGAGGAGCTCGATAAAGAACTAGGCGAAGGTATAATAAGAAACTTGTTTACTTCAAATGATTTTCTTAATGTTCTTGTACAGCTTCCTCAATCTGCATCTAAGCATTCACCTGAATATTTGAAGACCTGCATCCATATTGTTCATATTCTTTTGAAATCATTCGAATCATTCACGAAAGAAAATGTCAAACTTTACATTCAAAAGAGAAGAAGGAAGGTCAAAAGGAGAGGTGAGGGTGCCAATGATATGGACGGAAGAATATTGCATAGGTTGGAAGAGAGAGGTATGGGCTATAGTGAAGACGAAGAGGCTGATGAAGAAAGAGCAAAGGAAGAAAAGATTGAAAGAGAGCTAGATCTTGCTAAAACAGAAATCAGATTCTTCCACACTGCGACTGTCACCTCATACATTGATTACTTGGCCGAATATGAAGAATTGACCCATGAAGAAATAAAAAGATGTTTGTCCTATTTCCATAGGCTTTTCGTGGTGAAGAAAGATCACTCAGCCCTTTATCGGCTTGACTTCATGTATGTGCTTCATCGGTTACGCTCATACCTTCCTAGGTCTTCAAGCATGAGAAATCATGTGGATGAATTTATTGTTTATTTCATGAAGAAGTTCAAGGTTGCATTTGCAAGATTTCCCAATCCTATAGAAATCTTATTCCCCAGATTTGAGGAGCATGAGATCAAAACATTTTTAACCACTGGCGAGTTGACACTGAGATATTCCGAGTCAAAGTCTCAACCTAAACTTGCCAGACAAATTGACTTTATACGTGAATTCTCTTTTGAAGAAAAGGTAAAGATCTTGATTACTGCATTGTACTTGGAAGAAAAGGAAGCTTTCATTGCTTGGTTGATTTCAGCTCTCGATGCCATAATTCAAAAACGTCTATTAGACGTTGCTAGCGGATCTACCGAAGACGCTAGGGCCATATCCTTGCAAGCTCCCGATAAGTTCAGAAGATTGCTTATCAATAATCCCCAAATCCGATGCCTTTTGACATTAGTTAAGTTTGATCTTCCAGACATCCTTGAAGAGAATTGTGAAATCCCAGGTTCTGTTACTTCTGCCAAATTAGTTGAATTCTTGGAGTTCATCAAGAAGTACATTGCTGCTCAACCGGTGAACTTTGAAGATGGAAAGGATGCCTTCTTCTTTTTGATCACCAAAGATTCTTACGGCTACGATGATGATTATGACATTAACTATAGAGGGTATGACCCTGAAGATGAATCAATTGCTTTCGAGACCGCTGGAAATCAAGAAAAGTCCCATTACATGGAAGAACTCGATCAGTTAGACCGTCTCGAAGCCTCTATATCCAGTGTTGGACATGGACAGCTTGGTGTCGCAAGAAAGAAGAGAAAGGAAAAGGCGAATAAGCCACCCAAGAAGAGTTCAAGAGCTCCAAAGGAGACTGGACCTCGTGGATCAAGACCCAGACAGCCCGTTGCACTTCCTCAGCACTTTACCAAGTCAGCAGAATTCATCAACGATTCTGATGATGATAGTGATGAAGAAAAGGATGAAGAGTTTTTCGCCAGAGAAGAGAAGTTGCGGCGGTTATTGCTGGAGTCCGGAGGTATAGTAAATTCCACCCAATTGGAAGATTTCAAGAAAGTATGGAAGATCCTCGCCACTGATACCGATAAAGATCTTGAAACTTCAGTTAACAAAGCCGTTGCAAATGCCACTGACAATCTTCGTGCTTCTCAACACCAACAGTCGCAGGATCTTTTTGGGTCCTTTTCTGACACCCAAACACAAACCCAAACCCAAACCCAATTCTCTAACGATGATGAGAATAATGTCAACAACTCCACCAGGTTACTGTACAGTTCTGAATCAGACTTGTCCTCTGATGAAGAAACTCTCACCAATGATGTCGATGAAAGTCTAACAAGAGATGAAAATAAGGAAAACGAAACTCCAACAGGTACCCAAGTAAATCCAAGAAAGAGACCAATGGTGTTCAGTGACAACGAAAGTGACGATGAAAATGTCAGCTTTGTAAGTGCATCTGGGGACGTTTCCTTGCGTAAGAGAAAGATAGTGTTGGATGATGACGATGACGACGATGAATAAATCTATATGCTAATGTACAAAACTAATCTGATACACAGTGGTCTGACTCGCCAGAGCTTTTTAAGCTTGTTCGTATACTCATGAACGAGCTGATAACCATCACCAAGAGTCCAAATATGGTGCATGCCACAGACGGCAACGTTTTCGATAAATGAAATTGCCTTTTCTCGGTGTTATTCAAGCTCTTGTAGTCTATTTGTTCCCAGCTGAGTTTCAAGTAACACATTGGAGGAATTATATATGCCATTAGAGAGGCCGAAGTGGCTCCTATAAGCTCGAGGATAATTCCTAAGTTACAAGTGAACAAGGCTACACTCATACTTGTGAACACAAGAAAAGTGGTGATGAAAAAGTGCTGTTTTGAGCTCAACTCGAAATGAGAGCTTCCGCTTTCGTCACCGTTACTGTGCAATGAGAAGTAAACAATGTCTCTCATGACATCTCGAACCACGAATATCTCTAGTGGGAAGGTTGTGAGCATGTTCAATCCAAAGCAGAACCTAGCAACATTGATCCAATTATCGTTGCTTTTGAAGTTATTCAAAATATTACCTTTAGTTTTTCCACCAAAATTGACAAGTCCGTTTACAGCCATTAAAAGACAACATATCATTGATATTATGCATACCACATGGGTAAGCATATCGAATCTCTGCTTGACCTTGGTTTTCAACGAATTGTAAATGAAGGTGGTATTATGGTGACACACCAAGGCAAAGGAAATCACAGAAATTCCCTGGAAAATGTTATAATTTACCGTCCATTCGGCAGTTGAAAGCGGTTGTCTTAAAGATTTGTCAGCGAAAGGGCCTCTGACCGCAACCAACACCACGATAATCAACATTCCAAAAAGTGCAAACCCAGACGCTCTGGCCAATTTGGAAATGTCTCGGTTCAAAGATAACGGATACGATATGCAAGTGGTAAAAATGGTGATTATGACATTTCTGTGGAAAAGCCACCCGGCAGCAGAAGACTCTGTAATTGAAGCAGGAATGAATGCCTTCAAAACATGAGGAATAGTGTCTCCAATAATGACACAAAAGGCCATACATCCGCCATACGCAAAAGACCCCACGGAAAATAATAACAATATTCTTCCAAACTTCCCGTAACAATGGGCAGCAAAATCCTGGTATGATTGAGTTCTTGCCATTGTAGCATTTTTCACAATCAATCTCAATGTCCAGTCAATGAGAAACGTTAACAATATTAGCACTATGATCCCTCCTACAAGTCCAGTGTTCTTAAACGCAAATGGTTGACCTATTATCCCAGCACCAAGAATGGAGTTGGCCATATTCATAAACGCCATTTTCATATCACTTTTGCCCTTTTCATCATCAACAATAGGTGGTTCTTCATCGAGAGAATGGTCAAAGTCAAGAGAGTCAAGCGAGTGGAGCTCGATGTCTTCGTCAAGTGACTGGTGAAGTCTAGTCTCTATAGACGGCTCAAGGATGCCTTGTGTGTCATCTCCAGAACTTTGGGGAATTGAGGTGTATTTCCTAGTTTCCTGTGGGTCTGGCATGGTTGGAGAAGCTATGTTTTCGATCTTGTTGTCAGTCGCGTTTTCGGGGCTGCGGGACGGACACAGCACGGACCTCGCGAAAACTTTGGACCCAGCTGTCTTGGGCCACCGAACAATGCGACTTTTTGTGGAGCTCATCGAGAAATTATTTTGAAGTAGCACTGATAATATGAGTGGAGGAAGAAAGTTCGATAGCAAAAAGTATAAGGATCTCCGGGATTTTAAGAGCAAGGAAATAAAGCGTTCCTTGGTTCATAGGGCCCGGTTGAGAAAGAACTACTTTAAACTAATAGAAAAAGAAGGAGGTAGACCCTCTACGGATCCAGTCGATGAGCTCAAAAAAGAACCTACTAAAGGTGAAAACACTCACAGAGAAACCAAAGGCCCCCGTCATGAAAGAAACGACGTTAAGAAGAGCAACTTGACGTATTATGAAAAATCCCAATTGATCAAACAAAGGAAAGAAGAGAAGAGACAAGCGATTCTCCAGGACGTGAGAGAAAGAAGAGATAAAATAGAGAAGTCAAATCAACAAAGAGACAGGATGAAGGAAAAATTGTCCCAGAAAACGAAGCACGGACAACCTCTTATGGGCCCCAGAATAAATAACTTGTTGGATAAGATTAAGAAAGATATGAGCTAAGAAATGACAATAAATATAATGTAATGAATTGAAATTCGTCTATTTACAATCTATATTAACTAAATGACTTCCTGAAGTTGGCAAACATCATGTAGACATCATAAACTAGTAACGAGTTGAGCCTCTTTTGGTACGACCACCATGCACTTATTGTTTGAGACAACCATCCAAGAGAGTACTTCTTAGTGCTTAGTGGAATTTGAGCTTTGGCTTCGAGGTAAACCGTTTCAGCACAGTACCTTGCAAGAATCAAAAAGGTACGTTCAGGGCCTAATGGACTCTTGAGGTCCTCGTCCAAATGCCTAGTAAGATCATTGGTTTTCAATATTAACAACACGATCTTGGGCATGTGGCTAAGAATGCTCATCAAGTCCTCAAGTGCTCCTTCAGTGCTATGAAGCTGTGTTTGGATACTTGCAGATTCCTGTTCGGTTCTCCTGCTGGAAATATCATAGTTCATTGCAGTATTGGGATCTCTTCCAGTAATTGCAGACAAAAATATCTTGAACTTCTGTTCTCCTTCAATACCAGCAAACTTCTCTGCATACTTCTTCATCTCGGGAACATTCTTATCAAGCACAGCCAACCAGAAATGAGAGTAATCCCGTTTCATCTCAAGAGGAATATCTCTGTATAAACCGTGATCGTACAAGACAATCTCAAAGTTGTGACCATTCTTCGACTGAGTCTTGGGCAATGCTCTGATGGCCAAGTTCCCTCCGTGAGGATCGCAGTGTAAAGAAGCACCAGGTTCAAATATCATACTATTGAATATGTGAGACAAGCATGAAGATACTTCAGCTGGATCGATTTTATTTGTCTTTAAGTACTGTATGTTGTCCAACCTTGACCCGATAACGCACTCCATAATCAAGATACGCTTGTTTGCACTCACTATTTGGGGAATTCTCAAAGCGGTGATGCTTCTTCTGTTCTTGAAAAACTCGTCAGTGCGTTGGGCATTTCTAGCTTCGTTCGTGAAGTCCAACTCTACAAAGATAGAACTCTGCATCTCATCACCCAACCATGTCAACGGATATTCAGGGAACACTTTATACATCAAGGCGAACACCAACTGCGTGAGCTTGACATCTAAAGGTACAAACTTTTTCAACGAAGGATGTTGAACCTTAACAGCCACCTTCTGGCCAGTATTTCTCAAAGTAGCCATATGAACCTGAGCAAGAGAAGCTACTCCCACGGGCTCAACACTGAAGTCACTAAACATCTCGTCCAACGAAACATCCAAATCTGACTTGAACATTTCTCTGATCTCTTCTATCGTGGACTGCGGACACCGATCTTGTAAAGGAATCATAGTAGACGTCCATTCTTCGGGCAACAAATAGGTCAACGCGGTGATATGTTGGCCAAGTTTAATAAAGATTCCCCCGTTTGTCTCAAGAGCTTTCAACGTGATATAGGCGGCTCTTTTATGAGTTCTCTTCAATGCGAGTTCTCGGTCTCTAGGAGTGTGGTACTCAGCATCAAGAGCATCTTTATAGAGCTTGAAGCACCTGAATGTTGCCACGGTCACTACGCCTACTCTCTCACAGATGGAAATGGTGTTTTTGGTGGTATCATGGAAGATTTGATTTGTAAAATACAACACAGCACCTGTGATACCAAGACCACCGGTGACCTTCAAAGGGGTAGGGAATTTAGTGCGGTGCCTGGGGAAGGCTTTTGAAGACGAAAACTTTAATCCCTGTACAATGTCAGCACCTCTGGTTCGGAGTGGGCTCTTGTGGAACACGGACTTTCCAGCTCTGGCCAAGCTTAATTTCAACATTGGTGGTTTTAATGAAAATTGAATCAGTATAAAACCGCGAATACGAGCTGCGAGAAGCCATGGCAGTTAGGAACGCTAAATAAGAATGCTTTTGGCAGATTTTAGCTGAGCCTTGGGATACATTACGGTCAATGTATAATGGCTAGTTGAAAGCCTTTTTTTGCAAACTTTTCATTCAGCAAAGCCCATATTAATGGAGTTTTTAATTCCCCATGGAACAATTCACATGTATATTTTCGTGGTTTGCACGACCTCTCTTGATAGTATTTGCTGCAAACTCGGACCCGGGAAAACGAGATTTGCATCCACTAGACACAAACACATCTTTTAAAAAAAACATTTTTCAGCATGAATAATGGGGGTTACCAAGTGTTTCAAATTTCACCATCCAACGTATCTAATGCCTGGGGGTTGTCGTATCTTTTGAGCATGGTAGCCTTTCTTGTGGAAGAAGGAATCATCTACCTTGCGGGTGGAAGCCAACACCCTTGGTTAGTGAAATTCTATCCAGACAACAGGTCCAGCCTTGGTAAACGGTGAAATTACTTTTTATCTTGAAACATGGTTTCAACTTGTGGGAGTTTTGTGGCTGTCAATCGTTTATAAAACAGCAAAAAAGAGCCATGACGACACACACTGACTCCCACTTTGGGGAACATATTTCGTGAGTTGGAGAGCTCAAATGCATCAATTCATGAAACTTAAAGAAGCTTACAGAACTTTACCAGTGTGTTCAAAAATACTATACATGAATTGTTCAATGATTTGGAAAGGAACTTAGGTTTAGATAATGACGACCCACAAAAATATATAAACCTGCTCAAAACTTCAATGGTGTTTTTGAGCCGGTTTATATTCAAGTTAGGTCTGTTGCTCTTCAATATCAAAGAGGATGTAGATCGGTGGAAAATAGTACTTGCCGAGACAAAATCTCTTTTACCAGCATTGAGAGAACTCGACTTCACCTACAAGGTATGGGAAAGCCATTTTATATGGATGTCCAAGTTTCATATATCTACCTTAGCCGATAGGTGTAAAACAGGCTTCAAAGTGTACTGGGACCTTTTTATAGTATCTGCAACAAAGATCTTGTTACGCTGTCGAACTGTCTAGAATACATGGTTTTTTTGCAACAGAGCTCTGAACACTAAAAGAATTCTTATATTTGTCCCAACAGGGCCCATTGTTCACACTATTTGCCGTATGGTGGACATTTCACCGTTAGGGGTGCTAAATATTTGGGTGTACACGACCCGTGTGGTTTTTTGCAGCAAGTTTTGAGGTAAGAAGTACAAACACACTCACCACATGGGAAACAAAGCTAATAAAAAGAAGACTAAGGAAGACACCCGCATTCTTGGCCCAAGGCATATAACCTCTCCTTCTGACACAGTGGTTAAACGAATGACCAATCGTCCTCAATACCGCTCGAATTACGCCGGGTTTCCTCTATCCTTCCAAGTCCCCAGTGCTCCAAGTGATCAGTCTGTTTCCAATCTTTTAAATAATGTTAGCCATCTTTTTACAAAACCGATGGTTTACATAGACAGAAGTATGGGATCACTTTGCCCTAGATTTGTGAGCCCCAGTACGTTGGAGGCCAAAGCTTTGATGAAAGCCCCGGGAGAAACCACCAGGTTTAAGGGCATGCTTGGAACCACGGTAAAAGAGCTTGACTATACTATTGAAGAATGGCTAGGACTCTTAGGGGTTGGCTATGACCAGCTCATCAACACCATGAAGTTCAATATGCGGTTGTACAATCTGATAAAAGAACCTGATGAGATCCTCAGATGTCCAGTTAAAGATGATGGTACCAACGTTGAAATTTTGCATGCCCACCGCCGTCCAGCAACATCTCTCAAAAGGCTTGGTAATGAGCAGCTTGAAGATCTTTGCAAAAAGTATGGAATCAGGGTGTTTGGAATCGGTAAAGCCAAGAGAACCATCATGTTGACCCAGCTTGATCTTGTGTTCAACAAACCTTATTCGGCAGAAGATAGCTTTCCGATATTCGAGTTCATGAAAGGCTATACTGGAGGTCATCCAGATATTTCAGTGATCAAACACATAATCGGTATGTTTCCGAATATGAAAGAGTTTAGAAGTAAGTTAGATGATATGTCACATCAGTTAGGTGTTCTAAAATTGGATGGTTCCGGAAATGTCCTAGTGTGTGAGGTTAATTGGTTACAAAATATCCTAGACAAGCAGCTTGTTGATTTGGATAGTATGGAGAACAAGCTTGAAAAGTTCAATTGGATGTTTAAGGGTATACTTGATAAGTTCCAGGGCAGTTTCAAGAGGGAGATTAATCTTGTAAAGACTGAGATTGAGTTGATTGTGAGCAGTTTGGATAGTACACGCAGCCATATTTACAGGTTGAAGAGCCAGATTGTTGAATTGAGGAACAAGGCTGGTAGATATAAGGTCTTCGTACAGGGTAAGAAGAAAGCCAAAAAGGCGGTGCTGAAGAAGCCTAACTTGCCTCGTACTATTGGAGACCTTCGTGCGGCCACACAAGCACTGTTAGCTGAAATTGTAGAGTATTATGGTCTATCTCTGTCCCTGCGAGACCGTAGTTGTCTTTTCCAACAGATTCTTGAGTTCTTGCACATCAGTGAGTAAGTTTCACTTTATGATCTTTTGGATGTAGCAAGGTTTATGGCAAAAAAAAAGACATACCTGCAGAGTTCTCACATAGAAGTTATCTACATCAATCCTCCTCAAGGTGGCATAGGTTTGAGTCACCTCCGAAGAATCATGTTTCCCTCTTCAGAGAATTTAGCATCTATAGCTTAGTAGTGAATGTATATTTGTGTTTTCCACCCGCTGGCCCATACATACAAGTTATACCCTTGTTTGTAATATTAGTGCCAGACCTATCAGAGAAATACCCGGGCCTGGATACGATAGCCTTAAAAACTACTTTGTATTCAGGCTTTGTTGTTTGCTGCCCAATGGATTATTTGGGTGCGAAAAGGTAATATGCAGGGACTGCTCCGTGCAGCTGCCAACATTTCCTATGCTTTAAAGGGACAGAGTCCCATCCAAAATTTTATTCTTTAACTAATCGCCAGTATGAAAGGTGTCAGAAGTACAATCGAAAACACGTATCTCGAATTAAAAACTTTATCGTCAAAAGTGAACAGAGACAAGCGTCGCATGGATAGAGTGATTGAGAACATGGAAAATAACATTGATGATTTGTCTGCCACTATCGATTTCAACTCTAGTATCCTGGAATTCCGTTGACACAACGAAATAACTTGGTTTAAGCAGCCTGAACTACCAATCAGTTTTCCAGAGAAGCGGTATCATCCCACACCTTACCATCCTCAAACTATTGGAGAGCTTCGTGGTATGAATGTTGAGCAGCTTTCTGCAATGTGTAAGTACTGTGGTATTGGGGAGCCAGTGAGTGAAGTTGATTCTGCCTCCCTTTTGAAAAGATTATTAGATTTCTTCGATTTACACGTCAACTAAGTCCCCAAAGGCGAGTGTTGTGTATTGTAATTTGAATGTTTTGATTTGACGTCACGTAATGTAACGCGACATGGGTGCTCCCGTACCCACTTCTGTAACACCAAAAATAAACGAATATGCACGCTATGAATGAAAGTTAACTGAGGATGGTCCAAGCATAGTCGTCTGATTTTTTAGTGATTTTTAGGCATTTTCTCCATATTTGACTCAACCTCTTATTGTGCAATTATCTTTTGCAGCATTTATAAAACTGGCATGATTCGCAAATTCTACAGGAAATAGCAAGAAAGATCCCAATGTGTAAACACATTTTATAGATACCCTCTCCATCTTCACAACAGAGTTTCACAAAGATATTTAACATATGTTACACCATTCAATGTGGTTTCTGACTCCCTTCCTATGTGTGACCCAGCCAGTGGTTGCTGAAGCCCAATTGCAAAAGCGGAATTGACACGGAATCACTTACTGCATTCGGTATGCACATATTCCCCCAGGCCTTTTGTGGGATCCGATTACCACTGGCGCGGAATTGCTTATCTACTATATAAGGCCATCAAATCTCGAGTATTTTAAATCACCACAGAATACTTCTTGCCGTCGAGCTTCCAAGTTATAACCTACGCCCTCCATGTTAAAAGAAGTGCTTTTAGGTGCTTACACTACCATAGAGTCCAACAAGAGTGCTGCTCTTGTGTTTCTATTCGCAGCAGTTTTGGTGTACAACTTGGTCTTGTACCCATTCTATATATCACCATTCAAAAGCATTCCTGGCCCTTACCTATTTCGGATCTCCCGACTCCCATGCTTACACTACCAAAGAACCAACCAGTGGGTCTACAAAGTCCACGAGCTCCACAAGGTGTATGGAGATGTGGTGGTTCTCGCACCCAATGAGATCAGTGTTAATGGTGATCCCAAGTATTTGAACGATATCTACACCAAAAACTTCCCCAAGTCTAAATTCTACGAAAACTTCAGAAACCACGGGTTTAAAGACAACATGTTTAGTTCGTTGGAGAATGATAGACACCTTAACTATAAGAAGAATATCACCAGCATCTACCTGAAGTCGGCTGTGTTCAACGGCAAAAACACCACCCGTTCAGTCATCTTGAAAAAGGTCGAAAAGTTGCTCAGAAACATTAAGGAGTCAAGTGTGGATGGAACCAAGCCCGACTATATCAACGCTGCATCTGAAGTGAATGTCCATGGTAAAGGACATCATGAGAAAGATAAGTTATGGTTTTTAAAGGGTGGAAAAACTACCAACTTGGGTATTGATGTCTACTCGCTTTTTGGAGCTTTGGCATTGGATGTGGTGACAGCCTTCGAATTGGGTTCCGAAAACAGCACCGATTTGTTGGACTTCCCAGAAAAAAGAAGCATTGTCACCTATCACCGGTATGTTGCGTCGATGGTATTCTACACAACGCTCATGCCGCAATTCTGGGATATGGCTGCAACTGAGTTAATCAAGAAGTCGTCTGCTATCGTCGAGAAATGGCAGTTGGGAATTTACCACAAGGCCGAAGAGAATGTACCTGTTCTCACTCCCGAACAGAATACCACCACCTTGGAATTGTTGAAGAAAAACAACTTGACGGGAGAGTATGCCTATTCTTTCTTGAGTGATAACATTTTTGCTGGTCATGAGACCACCGCCATCCAGTTGACATACTTAACATACGAGTTGTCCAGACCTAAACATCATTACTTGCAGAGAATGTTGAAGGAGGAGTTGGACAAAGAGTTTGGTGCACCTTCAAGAGAAACCGATGTGATTGAGGATTTCGAGAGGGTTGATACTTTACCGGTTTTGAATGCGTTAATCTTGGAGAACTCTCGAGTCCACACCTCGATTCCTGGAGCAGAACCTCGTGTGGTTGATAGGCCCTACACCGTGAATGGAACCGTTATCCCCCCCAATACGGTGATCTCGGTTCAGCCTTATTCGTATCATAGAGTGGAAAAGGTGTTTCCTAAACCAGATCATTTTGTGGCTGAAAGATGGCTTCCACGGGAAAATGAGTCTGAGTCTCAGTATGCTTCCCGGTTCAAGTTGATGAACAAATACATGATTCCATTTGGAAAGGGGGTTAGAATGTGTCTTGGGATGAACATAGCTCAAATCGAGATGAAGATGGCAATTGCAAACATTTATTGGCATTATAACTCAAAGATATGCGAAAACTGGGCCCAAATAGTTGAGTATGACGATTTGGAAAAATTACCAGAACCTATTAAAACTGCTAACCAGGTGGGAGATAAGCTTACTGACGAGTCGAAGATGACTATGTTTGACACTTATACCACTCGGCCATACGATGACGAATGCTGGCTTGAGTTCTATAGAAATAAGTATTAGGACCAATTTATTTATTGAGACATAGGGAGCGCATTGAAAGTGACAGAGCTTTTGGTACTGAAAGTGTCAGACTTAAAAGCGTATTACATTTTCGCTTTCACGTATTGAAAATCGCGATCAAATCCAAATCAAATTCACCACCATGGACTTTCTTTCTAAAACGTTACAAACGTTAACGGGCTCTTCTATCCCGTATACTCTCAAGGAGGAGGTCTGGCACAATCAGATATGGCAGCTTTTTGACGCTATTAACCCAAAGGACAACTCACCCGTATCGGTATTCCAATTCAATGGTGCCAACAAACAAGACACATATAAGGTGCTAGCCACTTCAAGTTTCACCAACTCCAAACTTGTCAAGTATCCTGGACTTGTTTCCATTATAGACTACTTTGAGGTATCCAAAGAGCACCTTTACATTGTCACCGAAAGAGTCAAGCCTTTACTGGCGGTACTCAGTGGAAGTTCCAAAGACTACAAGGTTTTTGGAATCAACTCGATAGCAAACAGTTTAGAGTTCTTGAACTCCAAGTGTAAACTCGTTCATTGCAACCTCAGCGTTGATTCTGTGTTTGTGTCCTTGGAAGGAAGTTGGAAGTTATTCGGATTCGAGTTGATGAGTGGAGTGGGAAACATGGCCAAGAATGCTGTTAGCTATGGCAGAAACTTGATCGACTTACCCGAAGAATTGGTGAATAGCCAGCTATGCAACTATGAGGCCAGCCCTCAAACCGATTCTTACTTGTTGGGAAAGTTCATTGAAGCGAATGTTCCCCAATGGACTAGTCCTACCATCAAGAGATTGACCACTAAGTTCAGATCCAGACTAAGCTTAGAAGACTTCTTGGTGAAGAATGGCCCAATTTTTGATTCCAATATAATCATAAGATTCAACGAAGAATTGAATGACGTTAAGGTCTTAAATAGTCATGACAAGTTGGGTTTCTTCAAGCACAATTTGGCTGAGTATCTCAATGGAGATACCTCCGTATATCCTGAAGGATTGATTGCAAATAAATTGCTTCCAGAGTTAGTACTGCAATACGATCAGCTTCTGAGGTTCAAACCATCAGTGAATACCACCCCCGAAGAAACTACGCAAAATCAGGAACTCCTTTCGATTGTATTGAACTTCATCTTAAAGATCTGCATGAATTTGCCCTCCAGTGAGTTCAACACCAAAATCGTGCCTATAATTAAGGCAAGTTTTGGAAGTAATGACAGATCCGTGAGGTTGACTCTATTGAACAACTTGTCAGGATACAGACCGATGTTGAGTAACCCAGATCTTCAGGCTATCTTCCCCAAACTTGTGGTTGGTATTCAAGATTCTAACTTCATAATCAGGGAGTTGACTTTAAATGCAATTAACTCTATTGTGGATGTTTTGACAGACAAATCGGTCAATCAGGACTTGTTGAAAGTGTTGGCCAAATGTCAAAACGACCCTAAACCCTCGATTAGAACAAACACAATTATCTTGATCATCAAGATATCCGGTAGAATCTACAAAAACTCCAGGAATAATGTTCTCATAACTGCGTTGAGCAAGTCTTTGAAAGACTCTTTTACTCCCTGTAAAATGGCTGCTTTAAGAGGATTTGAGTCGTTGGAGTCAGATTTTTCTATCGATGAAGTCTGTAACAAGATCTTAGGGATATTAGCAACGGCTTTGATGGATCCAAAGTCAAGCAAAGTCAGAAACGAATCTGGAAGATTGTTCAAGGTTTATTTCAATAGAGTGGAAAGTCAAGCCACTAATTTGGGAGATGAAGAAGATGAAGAATTGGAAGAAAAGGAATTCTTGGCTAAGAATGGGACCCCCAACGAAACAGTCAAGAAGGATGTAGCACCCGGTAATGGTGGATCCGGAAGTGGATTTGGCTGGAATCTCATGAACAAGTTCGTTTCGTCCGGAGTCGAGGGCCAAATGAATAATGAAATCAACAAGAGTTCCAGCACTGTTAATCTTATAGCCACAAACAATAGCAACAGCGCAAGGAATACTCCTACAATTGCATCAGTTACACATTCAACTGAAGATTTGACCATAAAAGATGGTTGGAATGAATTTGATGATGGCTGGGGTGGAGTTGAAGATGAGGAGTTGGAAAAGCCTAAACCAAGAGCTGCAAAGTCCACCAAACCTGTGAACACAAGAAAGCCTATATCTTCCAATAGGACGAAGACATCTACATTGAAGCTAGGCCACAAAGAGAAACCAGTCTCGCTGTTGAAGTTGAACTTGGTGGATGATGATCAAGAAGAGGGTGGTTGGGGAGGATTGGACGACTGGTAACTAGTATAGTTTATTCATAATACACTCATTAATAAATACATGCAAAAAGTCACTTTAAAGGCAACAAGTTCTGTTCTACACACAGCGTCCTGCAAAGAGGGCATTCAGGGTTTTCTCTTACCCAATCCACAATGCATTCCCAGCAGAATAAATGACCGCAGTTTGCAGCCGATGGGTTCACCATAGGCGAAAGACAAAGAATACAATTTCTTGAGGCTTCAGGAATATAAGGAAGTTGGCTATCATCTGCTAAGTCTACTTCATTTGCCGAAACCTTGATCTGGGAAATTCTTTTGTACGTACCATCGTCTTCATGATCGACTATAATGCTCGAATCCAAATTGGTCTGGTCAGTATATGCCTTGAACTTGATTAAACCCTTGACAACAAACTGAAGTAAGATAATTAACCCAAGTAACGAGTAGTTTGAGTTCTTAGCCATCTTGTTCAAGTCTTTGTTGTGGCCAAAGATGTACCTCATACCAAATAGACGTTTTGATAAAGAATAGTACGACCCTTGAAAATAGAACATAGCAACGTGCAAATTCATCATTGTGTCTAATACGCTCGTATAACTGGAGAAAACATCGATGAACCATTTCTTAACTTTATTCCTCTCATTTTCAGAGCTGTAAAGCTTGAATTTCTTGACAATTCGGGAAATGATATAAGGTGCCAAAGCATATGACACTATGAAACCAAGCCTCCTAAATAATCCTGGAAACCGCTTCCCACTGCGATTAATGTAGAGCAAATCAACGTACTCTTCTCCCAAGGTTCTGTACCCAGCCAAAGTCGTCAAGATCAAGTACATCAGCTTGGTAGCCACAGTGATTTCTTCTGGGTACTTATTGATAAACCGCTGGCCCTTGAAGATCTGGAACGCATCTTGGATTTGACTTCGAAGTGACGACTCAAAGTATGCATCCTTCTGATTGGCTCTTACTATAGTGGCCGAGTTGGCGAAGGGAAGGGCATTGCCATTTTGTTGTATGCTTGAAGGACTTGACATGAAGTTGTGTGGAGAAAGTTAGTTGAGCAGCTTGGAAAGCTCGAGCGCGAAATGGTAGTCTTTGTGTTCTTGAGAATCGGGGAAGCTGTCGCGGCAGATATCGCAGTAGTAGGTCGAAGAACTTGGGTCGACATCGCGCGAAGTTGGGCCCGGCGATGAGCTTTTGTTGGTACGATTCTTCAAGGAGTCTAGGATATTGTACTTAGGTTTCTTGGATGAGGGATTGGATATGGGGACTTTCTCAGGAGCAGCAGATGGTCTTTTGGTTTTGGTGGGAGCCTTATTTGGTGCTGATGGCTCCTTCTTTTGTGTAACAGGCTCTTTGCTTTGGTCCTGTTCGTACTTCTGAAAAAGCTTGTTGATATACACTTTGTTCATCTTTGGTTGCACCACAGGATCAGCCGTTTGGGACTCAACATTTTTTTTCTGCTCTTGTTCAAATTGTTCAAATAGTTTCTTGTTGGCACTCGACTTGTCGGAGGTTGTAAATACATCTATGGAATTTTCCAATTTAGCCAAGTTTGATATGATACAAGCAATGTTGTGAATGTGAGGAATGTCTATCTTGTTATACGGGTGAATGTTCTTAAAGTCCAACTTCTCTACACTGTTCAACCGGGCCAAGTCGAACATGCTGTTCAATAGCTCGACAATGAGAGTCATACACGAAGCAATGATTAGAGCCTCTAATTTTTTCAAGTCCTTTACAACAGGTATAGAGCATTGTTTGGAGTTACTAGAACCTTTGATGTGAATGTTCACAGATACGGTTCTGGGACGAGTCAAGACCCCCAGTTCTTCGTCAAGGTCTTCAAGCCGATTACATAAATCACCGGCAAACGTCTTTATCCAGTCAATGGAGTCGTATACCGTTTTTATTGGGTTCTTGGCCATCATCTGCTTCCTCGACATCATTGACTTGATTTCTACCCGGTCTCTTAGAGGCTGGGAGAAATCTCCTTGAACAATATCATAGAGGTTGGGGTACTCTTCAACAGAAAGGTCCTTGGCTGGCAACTGATTCAAGTACTCAATAGAGTTTACATCTGGGGGAACGTTGAATCGTCTAAGGATCTGGTCTCCAGCTTTCCCACCCATTCCATTAATGTCGTTGAGCTCGAACTTTTTCATAAAACTAGGGATTTGACTATTGAGGATAATAGTCTGATTATCTGGTTTCAAGAATCCACCTGCCAACTTGGCTGTATTTTTGTTCCGACTAATTCCAGCCGATGTGGTATACTCAAGACTGCTGTAGATTTCTCTTCGAATGTCAAGAACAACATTTGAGCCTATCACCGTAATGAGATCATCCCAGTCACACAACAGCACCAGTTGTTCAGGATCCTCAACGAAACACATGTCCTTTAAACTGAAGGTCAAAATCTGCTGGAATGGGTGGTAGCGTATCATTAGGGTTGCCATTTTTCAAATATGGGTACATAGTTGTAAGTTTATCATAGACTATTCTGCCCAAGTCCAAGTATCCTTCGTCCACACTGGCTTTTTCTACCAAGTCACAATTGTTTGTCAAAATTTTGAAGATTTTCCGACTTTCTCGTCTGTAAGGATCCAAACTGACTTTACAGATACCCTGAGACGGGAGTTTATCCAAGTACTTCCAACTGGTACTTCCTTTCTCATAAACTGCCGCGTGAGCTAGCACTAGATCTGGACACTTCTTCTTACAAGTGTCCAAGGTATCCATTCGCTTGATACCGAACTTGCGGGCTGCATAGCTAACAGCTATGACGGCCTGCCATTGTACGCAGACCACTGGATCATCAATAGATAGATTTAACCTCACTTGCTCTACCTGGGCAAAAAACGCGTTTAGGTCAATGTGGCCAATGATTGATAGCGGCAGACTGTAGCTTTTGGATTTGTCATTGAGCTGAAGAAGGTCTCTGTAAGTGTAGTTGGAAGGCTGGGGTAGAAGTTTGTAAGGTGTTATTTCAGTATTATTTATTACAGACATTGCTCAACTCAGTCAATACTGTGCGCGTAAGATAAGATAGTGATGGGATTGAGACTGCGATGAGATTGACTGCGATGAGATGAGATGGCACTTGAACAATTGAAAAAATAAAGGGACAACAGACAGACAGACAGACAGACAGACAGGGCAGAGAGTTCGATACAAGAATTACAAAGCAGACATTACTGGAATTCCGTTTACTTACAAATTAAACTAAACACTATCGAAATAATCAAACCATTGAGACAACCTCTTTAGACACCAGAGTAGTACATTAGATATCATTAACCTTCACCACAACCTTACCGTTCGTATTTCCGCTCACCACAAGATCATATGCCTCCTGATACTGTTCAAAGCTGAACACCGAGTCAACAAATGTCTTGATTTTACCTTCTTCAAACAACCTAGTAACATCCTCAAACCCATCACGAGGTTCAACCAAAACAGGAGTCACCCTGACGGGAAGGAGGCCCAACTTGGAAAGAATAACATTCTTGATGATGCCAAAGGTTACCAAAGAAAGCACGCTATCGGTTTTCAAATCAACCTTCTTACCTCCAGATATGTGCGCAGAGTATCCTCCTTTAACAATAAAAGAGGACAAATTGGCCAATAGGAGATCACTTCCAGTACAGTCAAGGAACACATCAAACTTTCTGTCTCTGGACTCTTCTAACACCGAGTTAACAATATTATTGGTGGTTTTGTAGTCGATGATCCTATCCACACCTAAGCTTTTGACAACAGGTTCCGATTTAGAAGAGCAAATACCAACAATTTCCTTGATCTTAGGGTCATCTTTCAAGAGACTAACAAGGTACTTACCCACACTAGTAGAGGCCCCATTGACTAATACCTTAGCGTTTTGTGGGAACTTAACAGCGTTTTTCATTCCACAAGCAGTAGAATAAACCAATGCAAAGGTAGCTTCAGCCAAACTCAAATTAGATGGTATCTTGACCATCGACCATTGGCCAGGGAGTTTTCCTTCAAAATTGACGTACTCAGTTAAAGTCTTGGTATATTCTCCACTCCTAGTTTGCCCACACACAAAATCACCGATCTTAAACCCGTACTTCTGGGAAGCCTTGGGACCAATATCGACAATCACACCCGAGTAGTCATTACAGAGACCAAAGTTTGGCCACCAGTAGTTGAAAATTGGAAGAACCAAGTTCTTCAATTCGATGTCGATTGGGTTGAAGGCGGCATGGGAGATTTTGACCAAAATGTCCTCATCGCTTGCTCCGTAAGAGCCATCGGTTTTTCTGGATAAATGAATAGTTTTGTCAACCAATTCCAACTGGGTGGACTTTTTGTTTCTATAGATGACGGTTTTGGATATAAGTTCGGGAGAACTGAACATGATATAAAAATATTAATTTGTGTTTGATGAAATGTGAAGCAAGCAAGAATCCTAGTTAAGTATTGTTTGGAAAACCTTGCGATTATTAACCTGCGATTGCCAAGCCCCAAATTTATACTTTTAGTACTCACAAGATAGAACAATTTGAGACCGAAATTCTGTGTGAGCTGGGAAGGGAAGCAAATATGACAAATGAGAGGGCCAATGGTACCAAAAATAGGAAAAGATGTGGTAGTGGAAAATAGAATATTTGAGCAGTGTTCACGGGACTTCTAAAATGAGAAATGTAACCGATACCGTTAGAGTGGAATGAGGACAAAAAGAGTGTTATAGAGTTTCTTTGAACGGTAATGAGCTCATTTACTTGCTCAATATTAAATTAATACAAGGACAATGATATCTCTTCTATAATCTTATCGAAGCCACGTTACCCACCAACTCAGGAATACAACTAATTTGTTTTGGTTTCATCGTTGTTTTGTATCTTCGGTTGAAAGACAAAATACCATGTATATCTCGGCGATACTACTCAAGATTCGTACTCTATTTTCTGACAGTTTTTTTTGCTTTTCGTCTGGCTCTTCTCTTGTTCTGCTCTTGCTATAACAAATTTGGCTGCGAAAACAAAATAATATTTTCTAACGTTGCAACACTTGCTAAAATATGGAATACAAAAGCCCATTGGAAATCGACTTTGACACCGCCAGCCTAGACTTCAAGGTTGAAATCGCTCACTTCAACTTCTCAGAAACTACCCAAACTCCCAAGAAAAAGATCAGTCTCTTGGAGAAGTTTAGACTCTTGAAGGAAGAGTACAAACAGGAAAAAGCCAAACGTCCACAAAAACTTGATTACGATCAAAAGGTCAGGTTGTCCAGAGCCAGGTCCATTGAATCATGGAGGAATACAATCAAAGCACCCACAGGAAAAACAAATGGCTCTTTCAGCAGAATGAGAAGTGCTTCCTTCACCTTCTCTCGTCTCCACAGATCCCCCATCAGTACCACTTCTCAAGAAGATAACACTGCTTCGTTTTTGAGCTCAGGCTACACCCCTGACACCCCAGTATCTTCCTTTGACTCCTTAGAAGTATCATCGAGCTCCCGTGCCGGTTCTCCTAAAAGCAAAGTGTGTCAGACGTTGAAACCCATTCTCAAGAACAAAAACATGAACTTCGACCAAGAACTCGAAAAAGTCAAGAAAAGTGACTTGATTAACTTTGATGAATTCTTGAGAGTGTTTGAAGAAAGAGAAATATCTCGTTTGAGGGAACACAACTTGAGAAGCCAGTGTTTACAGCTTCCTAACTATGATTATTAACTGTGTATGAATAGATGTTGCAAACGGAGCGGAGGTACCTTAGAAAAATTAGGCTTGAAGTCGCCAAAGAGTGAGAAGTCAGAGGGCTGTAGTTCTTGTGGAAAACCATAGGATATTATGGACTGTAGTTCCTGACAACAAGTATAGGAAATTATAGTCGGAGAACCAAACACTTCTTTCAGAAGAACTTGTTGGGATTTGGCGACCTGGTGCGAACACTCCACCATAGCAATTTATCGATTTTCTTAAGATAATATTGATGCTCATCTCTCCTCCAAACGCCATGTCATGTGACTGCGCGCCGCCGAATTCTATGCAACTGCACAGGCCCAATTAATAATCATAAAACTGTTCTCCAGCGATACCGTACTCTCAACCACGTCCTCAAATGTCCATACACATCACCCCCGAGCAGCTAACACATATTAACCAGCAGCTCGCCCAGCTCACACCCCAGGAAATTATTCGGTGGAGCTATATCACCTTTCCTCAGCTTTACCAAATTACAGCTTTTGGTCTTACTGGGCTTGTCACCATCGATATGATCTCTAAAATGAATCTTGAGGTGGACTTGGTGTTCATTGATACGTTGTTCCACTTCCCCCAGACTTTGGAGCTTGTGGACAAAGTTGAACAGAAATACGGTAAGAGTGTCACTGTGTTCAAACCCAATGGATTTGACACGGAGAAACAGTTCACCGACGTACATGGCAGCTTGTGGGAAACCGACGACTTGAAGTACGATTTCCTCGTCAAAGTGGAACCGTTGCAAAGAGCATACAAACAGTTGAATATTAATGCTGTTCTCACGGGGAGAAGAGGTAGTCAAGGTGGAGACAGAAGCAATTTACCATTTGTGGAGATTGATCACGAGTTCAATATCATCAAGATCAACCCATTTTTGACGTGGAAGTTTGACCAGGTACAGCAGTATGTCACTGAAAACAGTGTTCCTTACAACGAGTTGTTGAACTTGGGATACAAATCTGTGGGAGACTGGCATTCAACAGAACCTGTTGCCGATGGAGAAGATGAGAGAAGCGGTAGATGGAAGGGGAAGGCCAAAACGGAGTGTGGGATTCATCTGACGTCCAAATATGCATTGTATTTGAAAAACCAAGCGTTGGGCGAGCAGCAGAAGGCTGCCTAGTGGAGAGATTATTTATTATGTATAGACCGTATAAATATTTTGGTATGGGGACGGAAGGTGGACTGCGGGGACGGAAGGTGGACCGCAGGGACACAATAGATGGCAATGCTCTGACATATTGCCGCAATTGAGCAGTGGACATATGCTTCTTGCAGCCACAAAACCGTTTAAATTTGACAAAATTTCCCTTTTGATGGATCCACAAATGACCACGGGATCACCACTGTTTAATTTGAGTCACCTATATACATTGTCACAAAGCCTGTTTCGGTTGGAGGAACCTTGGTGGATGATGTTGGTGAAGTAGTCGCGGATGCAAAATGCTGCAAACATGCGAACATCACCCGCACGGGCCGGCAAACTGATTAGCAATATCATTTTAAACATCACCAGCTTTATATATGACTTGGTTTTTCCAACCTTAAAAGTTTCCAATTAACATGTGGCTCTTTGCAATTGAATATCCCCAAGAACAGAAGTTGGGATACTGGGGAGATATCACCTCTACCATCGACTGGTGTGAGGAAAACTACGTGGTGTCAGACTATGTCGCTGAGTTTCTCAACACCACCACCAATGCCGTATTTATCCTATTGGCCCTCTTTGCTATCTATCATGCGCGACAGAACAAGCTCGAGTGGCGGTTTATCTTCACGGGACTTGGGTTCTTACTCGTGGGAATCGGGTCTTGGTGGTTCCATATGACGTTGAAATACCACTTTCAACTCTTGGATGAATTACCCATGATCTATGCCACTTGTGTACCCTTCTGGTCGGTGTTTAGTGAGTTCAGAAACCCGAAGGATTCGGTGATGATTGGCGTGGGCATCTTTATGGGTGCAAATTTATTGACGTTGATATACGTCTGGTTCAAAGACCCTACTTTGCATCAGGCAGCATATGGGATATTGAACTTTGTGATCATCTTCAAATCATTCAGATTGACTGAAAAATATGTGTCAGATCCGGTAGCTCGGTCAAACATGCACAAGACCATGTCCTTGGGAATAGGGTTGTTTTTGTTGGGATACATTTTTTGGAATTTGGACATTCACTTCTGCTCATCCATTCGTCTGATCCGAAGAAACGTGGGAATTCCGTACGGCTTTGTTTTAGAGGGACATGGCTGGTGGCACGTATTCACTGGGTTGGGAGTGTATTACTATTTGGTGTACGAAGAATATTTAAGGTGCTTTTTGACTAAAACCGAAAGGTTTTACCACTTCCAGTGGAAGTTTGGTCTCCCTGTTGTCTACTGCCATGACAAGGATGGGTTGGCCAAGTTTAGAAATGCTAAGCATGACTAGATATTGACTTGTGGTTATTTATTGCTATATAGCTGGGAAGATTATTATAACATGGCCATGATCTCTGACACAAACTTATCGTCTGCAGCCTTGTGACCAGAGGAGATCTGTTTCAACTTATTGATGGTCTCATCGGTTGAAAATAATAACCGATTGTCTTTGAAGCACGAAGACTTCCACTCTCTCAAAATATTGTTTAAGGCTTCAATTCCAACGTTGATTTCATCCAGTGAACACTTGGATTTTTTGATCTTAATATACTCATCTTGACACTCTTCGTGTTGTAACTCACTTGACTTTCTCTTGGCCATATTGATGATTTTCTGCGGGAACTTAACAAGTTCGGCCACATTGATACCAAACGATTTGGACGAGATACCGGGTTCAACCTTGTACACCAACGTGATCTCTTCTCCGTTTCCAATCAATGCCTTGACCTGGAGGTTCTGAATCTTGTCGTATTTGGTGTTTAATTCGGTGAGTTCGTGGAAGTGTGTTGCAAATAATGTGAAACACTGCTTAGACTTGATGATGTACTCCAGGATGGAGTACGCCAAACCAAACCCATCGTATGTTGAAGTACCTCTTCCCAATTCATCGATGATAATCAATGAGTTATGAGTGGCATTCGACAAAATTGACGAGGTTTCTAACATTTCAATCATAAATGTCGATAATCCTTTCAATTGAGAGTCACCAGCTCCAACTCTTGAGAGTATAGAGTCAAAAATCGGTAATGTACCGGGTTCATCACAAGGAATGAAACATCCAATCTGGCTCATTAATGCTATTACTCCCACTTGCCTGATATAGGTGGACTTACCACCCATATTGGGTCCGGTGATTATGGCAAAGCTTTTATCCTTATTGGACAATTTTACGTCATTTGGAATGAAATTCAAGTCGTCTTGGGCCTCTAAGATTGGATGTCTGGAGTTCTTCAAGTCAACTAATCTTTGGCCAAAAGTTTCATCGTCAATACGCTCGCTCAAGGGTACGAGGTTTGGCTTGATATACTGAATTGGGGAAAGAATTGAAGTGTTTGCGAACGCCAATAAAACATCGATCTGGCTCAAAGACGTCGACAACTCGAGAAATATGGTTTCAAACGTCAAGGTGATCAACAAGATTTCTTGGATTATTTCCTTTTGTTTGTCGTTATATTCCTGAAGGATACTGGCGTGTTCCTTGGACAAAGCTGACAATTCTTTGTTGGTGAAAAAAACACCTGCCTTGACGGTTTGCAACTCCGTGTAGTTGGTTCCTCTCAAAACAACGGAATCGTTTCTAGTCACTCTAAAACACCAGTTGTGGATTTGGTGGTTTTCCAACTTCAATTTCTTATCAATATCAATGTTTAAGTCATCGGCAACCAATTCATGCTGTTGCTTGATCTCCCCCTCTTTTTGAAGTAACCTTCGATTGACATCCTTCAAGGACTTTTCAAAATCAGGATTAATATTGAAGTCCGTATTCAAATCGCTGACAGTGTTAGCGGAAGTTAAAGGCGACAAGTCGATAGCGGTCTCGACCAAACCTTGGAACTGTCTTAACTTCTCGAACTTTTCAGTCACCGGCTCCAACCAGTTCTTTTCAATCAATGTTCTTAATGAGTCCAGTTCATCATCGCTGGACATTTTCAAAATTTCAATCAAGTTAGGTAAGTTAAGGAATAATTGGTATAATCTGACCACATCTTCCAACTTCTTGTTATCCTGACCATTCTTCTTCAAGTTGGAATTGATTCTTTTAATGAGTCTCTTGATGTCGGGGACTTGGCTCATGAACTCTTGATCGATGAACACCCTCAAGTTCGTATCGTTGATCAATTTTTCCACCAACATCTGTCTCTCAGATATGGCGATATGGTCAGTAAGAGGCTGTTTAAGCCACTGGGACAAAAGACGTGAACCACTGTTGGTCTTACATTTATTCAACAATTCAAAGATCGAGCTGATCTGGTTAGACTTGATGTTCATATTGTAGCCTCCAGATTGTTTGATTGGAAAAATATTCAACGCATTCAAAGTGGAAGAGTCCAACTTCATATAGCTTTCAAGATCGTACTTGTCGATGGAAAATGTCTTCGTTTCCTCCCCGTCACCGAGCAAGCCCAAGTAGCCAATCAACGCATTCAAACACGCAAAAGACAATTGGTAGTCGTTGGAGGCAATACCTTTTGCACCTAAAATCAATTCCACGTTGGTGTCTTCGTTGCTCAATATCTTGACCAAATCCTGTTCGAGGTCTTTGGGACTGAAGAACGACGCCTTTAACGTACTCATGACTACACCAACTTTATCCAAGGTCTGGAACAACTTATTCACATCACCAAGTTGCTTGTTCTCCGGGTCGTAGTTAGAGGGCACAATAACCTCCTTGACGCCAAGCTGGATCAATAAACTTTCCAAGTTAGAAAACAAGTCATTATCTTCAAACTCACTCACCCTGATGGAAGTGTTGGATAAGTCAACTAAGCACACCCCCACCTTTTTTCCAGTTCCCTGTTGTTGAAATTTCACGGCAGCGGTCACGGGAGAGGATGCGTCTGCAACCATACTCTCCAAGTCGATATTGTATTCGTTGGAAATAGCTTCAAGGTTTCCTGGGGTGCCCATAGCAATGAGCGAGAACGTTTTGTGATCGTAGATTTCAACCTTATAGTTGTTTTCGATGAGACAATACTTCAAGACATTGTTTAAGAACACCTGGGGAGCAATGGTGACATACTTATTCTTGTTGTTCTGGTTGGTCTTGATGACAGACTGGGTTTTGAAAATGGCGTCTGCAATCAAGGTCGCATCATCGTCTATGGCGGTGAAATAGTCCTTGTTGTTGTGGTCCGTGAACCTAATGAGGTTTGGGTTCTTGGCGGGCAAATCTGAGAACCGCGAGTAGTACCGCCGTTCTTCTAAGTTGTCGCCGAACTTTAGATCTGGCCGTGAGCTTGACATTAGTAAAGGAATCAATAAATAAACCTTACGCGGTTTTTTCATCGCGCTCGCGTTTTGCAGCCCCAGAGGGTTTTGGGTTGGCGCACGCCAGTTGCAAGAGTCAAGATGGTTTCAAGTGCGACTCTTCATTTATTACTCCATACAACTACTCCCAGGATAATGACATCTTTACACACTACAGACCTCGATGGTATATTACCCCTCTTGTCCAGAGGTAAGGTCAGAGACATCTACGAGGTGGACGCCAAAACTCTTTTGTTTGTGGCTACGGACAGGATTTCTGCTTATGATGTGATAATGGCTAATGGGGTCTCATCGAAAGGAAAGATCTTAACCAAATTATCCGAATTCTGGTTTGACTTTTTGCTGGACACCGTTCCCAACCACTTAGCGTTGAATGATAACAGCGATGACAACTTGTTCAAGCATTTACCAGCGCCATTATCTGAACCAAAGTATAGAAATCAGTTGGCTGGAAGATCGCTTTTGGTGAAGAAAATGAAGCTTATTCCATTGGAAGTGATTGTAAGGGGCTACATCACCGGATCTGCCTGGAAAGAGTATAAGAAGTCCAAGACCGTGCACGGGTTGGCTATTGCTCAAACAGACTTACAAGAGTCGGAAGAGTTCACCACTCCAATCTTCACTCCTTCTACTAAGGCTGAACAAGGAGAACACGACGAGAACATTTCGCCCGAAAAGGCGGCTGAGATTGTTGGCAAGGAATTGTGTGACAAAGTGGCTACTAAGGCCATTGAATTGTATTGTGTGGCCAAAGAATATGCTAAAACCCAAGGTATTATTATTGCAGACACCAAGTTCGAGTTTGGGTTGGATGAAGACGATAACTTGGTGTTGGTGGACGAGGTTTTGACGCCAGACTCGTCCCGTTTCTGGAATGCCGCCAATTTTGCCCTTGGAAAGTCTCAGGACTCTTATGACAAGCAGTTCTTGAGAGACTGGTTGACTACCAATGGTTTGGCGTACAAGGACGGTGTGGCCATGCCGGAGGATATTGTGACTAGAACCAAGGCTAAGTACGTAGAGGCGTACGAGGTGCTAACTAGAAGCAAGTGGGTAGAGTAGAAGTAAGTGGTGTAAAGATAATTAGAGAGTTCAATAACATATGCTCAAAATGGGAGGGTGAAACCCAAAGAGTGGATCTAGTATATATATATTATATATGGGCACAATTGATATATTAAAATTCAAATGCTTTTATTAAAGGTCCATGCAGTGATTAGTGTCGATAGTTTTTGTTTCTGAGGTAAAGCTCTTCGTACTCAGGAATGTTTCGCTTGTCGATGGTAAGTGGTTCCAACTCATCGGTGATTCGCTTGCGATAGTTGTTACCCTGGAGTCGGGTCGGGGACTGGGGATTTTTGTGGTTTTTATAGGAATCATAATCATCATAGTCGTTACGGATCTTCAAAGGGGTTCTTCGGGTGGGGCTTTCATCCATTAGTTCCTTGGGCCCCCGGGGTTTGTTTGGCAGCACAAGCTTATCACTCAGATAGTGATGGTTGTTCTGATAGAGGAAGTTTTTGGCCTGGGGAGTGGAAACGTCCTGGTTCTGTCGAGTGGGATCCGATTTCTTTCTTATAAGGTCGGAATTCTGGGTCATAAGAATCTCCTTCAACCGTTGTTGAACTTCTTGCTCTACCACCAACTTGAACTCCCGCTGATAATTGAGCCTTACTTCTTTGGCCTCTTGGTCCATGAGCTTCTTGCGAGCCTCAAACTCTTCGATGAGCTCGTTTTCGATCTGCTTCTTCTGCATGTCACATTTCTTCTGGATATTGGTATACTCTTCCTGAAGGTCGACCTTCAGATTGTAGATCTTCTGCTCAATGGTGTTCAAGTATGCCTCCTTCTTCTTCAACTCGTCATTTTTACTCACCAACTGTTTCTGGTATTCGTTCAACTCGGCTGACGCACCCTTCAACTCCATCTCCTTGCGCAAAAATCGTACTGGCAACGCCTGGAGCAAATCGAAGCATGAAGGCCTCAGCTCAGGATCCACTGTGATGCACTCCTTTATCATAGACGTCAATTGGAGCGAGTAACAAGAGGGGAGGTCGGGAATAATGCCCTTTTTGATCTTGGTTTGCAACAGCAAGTGAGTTTTTGCTTGGAACGGTGGCTGCAATGCACACAACTCAAACAACACGCACCCCAAGGACCAGATGTCGCAGACTGGACTATAGGGATTGTCCATAAGAACCTCAGGAGACATATAGTACGGGGTCCCCACGTAGGTTTTGGCAAAGTCGTTCTGAGACGTCAACATCTTGGCCAAGCCAAAGTCCCCGAGCTTGATGGTCTTTCCCGCGTTCAAAAGAAAGATGTTATCGGGTTTGATGTCTCTGTGAATAATGACAGTTTCGGAATTGATGGGAGGTTCCACCTCACTGGAGGCAAACAAATTGACCTTCTTGGCATCGATTCCATAGTGGCACTTGTGGAGTGCCAACAAGGTCTGGACCATGACCTGCCAGACGAACTCTTCTGGAACCGTTTCCTTATTCTTTTTGAAGTTAGCTACCACCTGCCCCAAATCTCCTCCATCGCAATATTCCATGTAAATGTGGATCGACTTCTTGCTCATGAGATGGTCATGTCGGCAGTACTTGACGACGTGGGGATGGTTGAGTTCTCGTAAGATTCTGAGTTCAGAGATCAATTGGTTTCGTTCCTGGGTGTTCATGGAGGTGTAGTCGATCTCTTTGCGAACAAACATATGATTATCCAGCTTCTGACGGACTTTACGCACAGTACCAAACGACCCCTTGCCGATGACTTCTAGTGCTTCATACTCATCACTGATGCTACTTGTCATTGAGGTGTTGCAATGGTGTTTGGAGAATTTCACCTTTGGGTCGTCTGGGGGTGCGTGGAAAACCCCAGTCCCGATTTGTTTACCATGTGCCCAAATCGGGAAATGCTCATCGAGCGAATTATTTGGCGCGAGGCGACCGTCAGGGGAGCAGCGGAGGTGTGGCCGGCCGAGGGCGTAGGATAGTCATAACTGGCTAGAACTTGGATTTGTGTTGGGGAGCACGGTTACTGCAAGCCAATTGTAGCAAGCCCGGCCACGGGTCATTCCCCAGATTTTGGCTTCGAAAGCGCAAGCGTCTCGGCTCTACTGTCCTCTTTTTATGGATGGTGGCACCCCAATTGGGACACCCGTAAGGTTTTACCTCCTGGTGAATTTTGCGCCCTTGGCACATCTGGAAAAGCATTCCCGTTCGATGTCATAAAAATACGGGCGCACCGGTGGCTATTTTGGTGCAAATCGCCGACAAAATAATGTAATATTTCAGGAACAATTGATTTTGAAATTTGAAACCGTGCACCAGCTGCTATGTTTGTTTACAATGGCCAATTGCAGTACAATGCCACAGAAGCATAAACAAAGACCACCATTGTCTGATGTATAAGAGGGGATGAACAGGTAGTTTTAGGTTTTGCAGTCATGAAGTCCAATGAGGTGCATGAATGTAAACACTAACACCGCTGCAGGGAAGCCAATTGGGCGGGGTCTACCACTTTCCAGAGGCCTATAAAAGGCCCGCAACTTGCTGTGAGTGCTCACCATCACCAGCTTCGACTCCAATGCTTAAATTTCTTGTTCAATTGATCTTGTTGGTGCAGTTGGTTGTATCACTTCCAACTACTTTGCTTCCTCCATCGCAAGACTCATTTTATTCTGCTCCAGACGGGTACGAGTCAGCCGAAGTTGGAACCATTTTGGCCTCGAGAGTGGCACCTGCTCAAATTAAAAGTGTCGTTTTCGATGTCCACGTCAAAGGTGTCTGGCAATTATTGGTGAGATCAACCGACTCATTTGGAAACCCCAACGTGATTGTCACCACTGTGTTTGAACCTTACAATGCCGACCCTTCCAAATTGGTGACGTACCAGGTGGCCCAGGATTCTGCTAATCTCGACTGCGCACCTTCCTATGGGTTTACGAATGGTGAACTCATCAGGAACATTGTGGGGGAGGCTGAAACGTTTTTAATCCAGCAGGCTTTGGATGAGGGATACTACGTGGTGTCGCCCGACTACGAAGGATTGAAGTCGGTGTTTACCGGAGGTCTCCAGGCTGGACATGCAGTGTTGGACTCGCTTAGAGCCACTTTGAAGAGTGGGAACATTACCGGGGTGAGCTCCAGTGCCAAAACGGTGGTCTGGGGTTATTCGGGAGGTTCTTTGGCCAGTGGATGGGCTGCTGCTTTGCAGCCCGAGTACGCTCCCGAATTGGCCTCCAACTTGATCGGAGTTGCTCTCGGGGGTTGGGTTACCAACATCACTGCCACCGTCACCTCTGTCAATGCCGGGATTTTCTCTGGTTTGGGTGCTAGTGGGATTGCTGGTTTGAGTAACGAATACTCTGAGTTGTATGACTTCTTGAAGACGGCTATGCCTGCTGACAAGTACGCTTTGTTCGCCAGGGCCTATGATAACTGTTTGGTGGAAGACGTTCTCGAGTTCCCATTCGATGACTTCTTCTATGGCTCTGACAGATACTTTACCAACGGGATCTCGGTGTTGAACACATCCCCCGTGGCGGAGATTATTCAGAACAACACCTTGGGATTAATTGCTTCCAACATGCCCCAGATCCCTGTGTTCGTGTACCATGGACAACTCGATGGAATTGTGCCCTTTGCCCAGGCTGAAAGAGTCTATGACATTTGGTGTGCTGCCGGAATCGAGTCGTTTGAATTTGCAGTCGATGAGACTGCCGGCCACATCACTGAAATTGTCCAGGGAAGTGGGGCAGGTTTCGCCTGGATCCAAAACAGATTCAACGGTAAGAAGGTTGTTTCTGGATGTCAGAGAACAAACCGACTCTCGAATCTTTTCTACCCTGGAACTTCTACGTCCATTGCTATATTCCTTGATGCGTTGGTCAAGAACGTTCTTGGACTTAACATTGGTCCTAACGGTGAAAACTTGGTTATTGACAATGGATCCTTGATTTCCAAGACCAACTCTACCCAGTCTTAGCTTATTTAGTATTGCAATATGATACCCTTTGATTTATTCACTCGACCAAAGTGAACCTCCACATAGATGTTTGTTGAACTTGCTAATCTCGCTACAGTGTCTTTGTTTCCTGGTTTTTCCAATATCTACAGTATATCTACCCAATCTGTAAATGGCATATTATAATAACGTGATATAAACTTCTAAAAAAACTGCTTCTCAGAGTTTATGCATATACTCTGATCATCGGCTGAGGTCAAAGTTTCAATCTCCGATGCAAGTTCCCACACCAGGTGGCCAATCAATGATTCTTTGTGAGGGAAAGCTATGTTCAATAAATAGTAAATCAAGACCGCACTCAACGAACCGTAGAAGTAAGCAAGCGTTGCAAAACGAGAAATGGCAACCGGTAAGTCGAGATTCGAATTCACGCTGAGAGCCAAACCGGGCAAGTTAGGGACTATTGAGGAGACAAGGGCCACAACTGCTCTCCAGTTTATCCCATGGTCGTATGCATAGATTCCATGAGGATTGTACAACTCTGGAACATTGATTTTCCTCTTCTTGACAATCCAGTAGTCACAAATCATAATACTGAATATTGGGGCCAAAAACAATGATATTCCCGACATAAAGTTGATCAAGGACCCTGCGCTGTAAACAATCTTCCATGGAACCATAATCCAAGATGCTGTGATGGTGACGATTATGGCACTACGACGAATGTTCAAGAACCGGGGAAAAAGAGACGTCAAGTCGTTAGCGGCAGAGATGACATTGGCACTTAGATTCGTACCTATTTGTGCCAAACACCACGAAAAACACATGAAAAACGAAGCAGCTCTACCTTTGGGGCCGGTGGAGATCCATATAGCTGCAAAGTCGGTAGGGTCCCAGATGTATTCACCATAAAGTACCTTAGCAGCCGAAGAACAAACAATGGCTATCATTGTCACAAACACTGCAAACACAGGGATGATTACCACCTGAAAATATTGGCTCTTGGACCCTTTGAGGTATCGAGTGAAATCGGAAATGTTCGTTGACATGGTGGCCCAGCCACCTATTGTACTATTTAATGTGTGAAGTGTAGCCCATATTTTGGCACTTCCCGACAAGCTGGCATCGAGTCTGAATATGTCTCCCGTCCCACCAGACATTTTTGTTATGCCAGAGACCATACCAATAAGACAAGCCACTACAATGACAATTTTGAGCATGAAAAACCATCCAAGTTTATGGGGAGGAATTGTCATTATGGGGAACTGGAGCACGAAAAACACAAAGTGGGCCACCATCTGAGCAGAGGTAATCCCCGAGGACGGAGATATCGAGTTTTCAAGATCCAAGAACCTGGGCCAAATAGAAGCTATCACATAGTACATGGAAATACTTCCCGAAAACGTCTGAATAGCATGCCAAAATAGAGCCGTACAAAAGCGAGTCACGATGGCGAATCTCGAGAACAAGTAACCAAACGACGCTCTGTTGGCCACCGCAAATGGCACATGCAAGTCTGAACCCATCACACCATTGAGGGTAATAGGAATTGCAATAAGAAAAAGCCCCAAAATCGAATTCATCATCGCTTGTCGCCAGGACAAACCGATGATCAAGGCGGACGAGGGATTCTCATAGCTCTGGATGGATAAGTAGTCGCTTGCCCAGAATCCTATTATCATGTAAATAGTCCAAGTTCTTCTTGACACAGGCGTAATGTCATTATCGATATTAGTCCAGATTCCGGGTGGTGCACAGGAACTTTTTTGCTTGGGTAGCTCCCATGACTTAAGGGATATCAAACTTCGACGAGCAGTGTTCATAGTGATGGCTCAGTCAACATTCGTCAAGGGTTTGGTTCGATAACGAGGAACTATTCTTTTTTTTTTGTGCTCGCGCCGCAAGCGTTGAAACGGCTGCAATATCGATGAGCAAGAGAAGTCTCGGAGTGAAGTCCACAAAAATCTTATTTGCAGCGTTATCAGGAATGTCGTCACACGCAACCAATAAATAGGTTGGTTATTGTTCTGTAGATATTTTCGAGAGGGTTTTGTGGAGAGTCTGTCCATGCCCAGGCGGTGGTCTCGTGGGGTGACGTGCTAGGGACTGTGGACGTATGGGCTGGGGAATTAGCCCAAACTACTTCAATCGTTGCATATTCTCCCTTTTGCATCACCTGTGGGAACGTGGCCAAAAAAGTACTGCTTCATTTTTAGAACTCGCAGAAAGTACCTCTGGCGCCCGCCCTATAGATGTTTTGTGATACCGACACTTCTGCATGTCTCTGTGCTCTCTTTAGGGATCCCAGGCAATTTTAACACGTGACCCTGGTAGTCGCTTTTGCTCTGGCCATCGCACTTTATAACCCCGCGACAATGTCAATCCGAAATTTGTATAGCTTACCATGAAGCTCATAGATTCACACATTCACCTTCTGGCACTAGCCAATCAGCAGAACATGAAATGGCAGGCCGACCATCCACTCCACAAACAGAATCGTTTGGACGAGTATGTTGCCCAGTTGCACGACGTTGATGTGCAAATCGACGGCGTGGTTGCAATCGAGTTTGACCCCAAAAACAAAGATCCCACCACCTTAGAAGGGTGTCAGCAGTCAGTGGAAGAGTACCTATACTTCGGGCGGGTGGCCAGAGGAGAATTACGTCCAGAAGAAGGTTCCAACCAGCATGCTCATTTGCTTAAAGCTGTTATTCCATGGGCTCCAATGCCTCTGGGACCCGAGCTCTTGGAACAATATGTGGATAGTCTCAGAGATTCGAGTTTCCACCTCGTGAAAGGATTCCGATATTTGCTTCAGGATAAGCCAAAACAGGTGATGCTCCAGCCGCAGTTTATCAAGTCGTTGAAGTGGCTTGAAAAGAACAACTTTGTGTTTGACTGGGGCATTGATTTGAGGTGCGGAGGCACTTGGCAGTTTGAAGAAACCATCGACCTCTTCAAACAAGTTTCGAACGTCAAATATATCATCAACCACATGACAAAGCCTACGTACAAGGATGAGGACATTGAGGTTTGGGGCAAATATATGGCGGAAATTTACCGGTTGAGTCCTAATTCGTATATGAAGTTGTCGGGAGGATTCAGCGAGTTACCGGTGGAAATAAACGATGATCTTGAAAAGTGTGCCGACCTTATCTTCCCATGGTTCAATGTGTGCTGGGATCTTTGGGGAGTGGACAGGACCATCTGGGCCAGTAATTGGCCCGTTTGTGAGCTTAAGAAGAAGAATGTGGTTGCAAATTGGGCCAAGGTGACGGAAATTCTCTTTGACAAAATCCACTTGCCACAGGAGGATAGATACAAGGTTTACAATACCAACTATAAGGCTGCGTATAATGTATAGACAAGAACGATATTGGCACTAATCGACCACTCTAACTCAACCACAATAATTAAACACAAAAGGCATAACATAGAATATAGACTTCTCTAACCCATCCACAACAAGCCAATGCCATCATACTTCCTTGACCTTGGCCATGCTCATTTCGTAGGCAAACCCAATGGTCAACTTGGTATGTTCTTTGACATGGTCAAAGTCGATTCTGTCGATAGTGTCCATCACCGAGTGAATGTACTTGCTGCTGTAGCGGAACTCGGACTCGATGACAAAACTGGCAGGGTACCCGTGTTCAAGGGCAGAAGCATGGTCAGAACAAGCATATCCACATTCGGTGGAGTGGTATGGAATAGCACAATATGTCTCAACAATCATCTTGATGAACTCGTTCAAGGAAGGAGAGGTATAGTCTTCAATCAAACCCATATGAATATCATTTGGATCCATGTTTCCAGTATAACCGGTCATATCTTGCTGCAACAAGCCAATGACAGTTACGTTTGCATAATAATATCTGTCAAAAACGTCGTAAGACCCCAATAATCCTCCTTCTTCAGCAGAGTAGAAGTGAAACTCCAACGTCTGGTGTGGCTTGAAATTTCCAGCCTTGTAATCTTGTATCAAGATTCTAAAGGCTTCCAAAATGGTGATGGTTCCGGACCCATCGTCATCAGCTCCTGGTGCTGGCAACAGGTTGGGCAAGATCAAATTGGCCGAGTCTTGGTGAGCTCCTACCACAACCTTAGTATCTACCGTTCCGGGAATAGATGCAATCAACGAGAATTGGTCCCAACCATCGTGCTTAACTCTCAGCACAGTGACATCGGTGTCAGCAGCAAGGTCCAATAAGCGCTTTTCCAACCATTCGGCACTTTCAACCCCAGTATTGGACTTGTAGTATCTTGTGTAGAATGACGAGAACTCAGCCAAATTATCATACATCAATTCGGAGTCTATTTGTGTAATATACTCATTCACCTTATCTTGGTGCACGGCCTTCTTAGGATAATCATACACTTTTGGAGTAATTACTTCACTGAGCTGCTTGGAGCCAAGGAGGGCAAACGATTTCAATAAAGAGCTGTCCTGACCAACTGAAACAAGCCCGAGATTTCTAGCTTCATCTATATCGATTTTGTTGGTGATATCGATGAAGTTGACCTTGTTTCTCTTATACATTAACTTTGTGTTTTCAGACACAAACTCAAAGTTTTCAGGACCCAATTTGATCAATCGAGTGGGCTCTTGGCCTTTACCGAACACATCGAGGAGTGGAAAGCTTGTAGCTACAACTACCAATGCAATAAATGAGAGCTTCATGGGGGTGACTGGTTTATCTTTGCGCATGCGCATTCGCATTCGCAGTCATTGTAGTACGGCTCCAGCCAGCTCCGATGTTCAAATAGCAAGCAGCAGGAGCACAAGTATACGTTTGTTACACCAAAGTTCAAGGAACCAATTGTATATTTACATACTAGAGCTCTAAGCTCGGTGGACATTTACCCAAGCTCTTTGATCTTTTGTTCGTACTCTTCTCGTCCCAACCTGCTAAATGCAAGTCTTTTATACACATAATCCCCAGCCTTGATTGGCTTGTACTTTGGACCTTCTGGACCAACACATGTAGCTAAAGGTTCGATGATCGTGGAATACTCAGTTCCCACGAACACTGGAATCGAGTATCGTTCTTTTCCTGTGACGTTAAGAACGCGATGCACGGTAGAGATAAACACATCATTAGACCACCGGGCCAACATATCCCCGATATTGATGACAAAGGTATTTTCCACAGGAGTAGCCTCTATCCATTCTCCGGAACTGTTCAACACCTGTAAAGCAGGAACATTTCCCTGGTATAAAATAGTGAAACACTCGATGTCTGTATGAGCTCCAAGGCCTAATGTGTCTTCAACAGCTGGGTTCTGTGGGAAATAATGTAAGATTCTCCCCATAGCGCCGGGACTCATGAACATGGGGTCAAAATAGGTTTCTGGCAAGCTTAAAGCCAAAGCGAAAAGCTTTATAAGCTTTCTAGCCAACATCAACACACTTCCATAGTAGTCCTTCACAGCCGGCTTCAACTCCGGAACCTGTGTGGGCCACACGTTATCACCAATCATGATATTCTTATCCTGTTTTGAATTATTGTCGAATCCTATTGAGGGTTTAATGGGGTCTAAAGTAGCATCATAGCCCCAACTAAACTGTTCATTCAAATCAGGGTTCTTGCCGGTTTCAGTATTGTTATCACCACATCTTTCGTAGCCCCGAAAGTGTTTGGACTTGGAAAAATGTATTTCCTCTCGAACATGTCCGGGAGCGTGAAAGAACTTCTCTGCTGCTGATAACAACTTATCAATATACTGTTGAGGAACTTCGTGGTCGGTAATATAGAAAAATCCTATTCGTGTGCATGCATCACGGATCTGCTGTACGACCTGATGTCGGGGCTGACTTAGTGAAATGATAGGTATATCCGAAACGTCTGACTTTCTAACGCTATCGTTGATAACGCTGCGTACATTTCCGCTGAAAGAAACAAACTCGGTGGTCTGGGCTGTTTCTTCTGTTTCCATGCCGATTCTTGACGCTTTTAGTTGCCAGAGAACTGCTTAGAACATATCTATATAGTGGAGGTACTGAGATAAAGGTTTCTTAGATGCAGCTTGCAAAGGGCATGATCCGCAGCCCGAGCGCTACACTCGGGCTCCTCCATTCATTGATGGTTTTTTTTGAGATATTGCACGATCCTGCTGCAGGCTCATGTGACTAGGTGCCCACGGCCCGTGATGAGGTGTCCATGGGCATTGCCGGTGGATGCAAGCTTCCTTTTGACTGTTTGGGTGAAATGTCCCTTTTCATCATCTTTTTCGCATATATGCGTTATCGTGTAGATCTGACCAGGCTCAGTTGTTATCATGTACAGCTCTGATATGACAGGGTTGTGCCTGTTTTGGGATTGGTATTTGCAGCCAGTGTGACGTATAAATGAACCAATCGTGAAAGTTCCTGACCCTTGACCCATACCCCGAAGTTCTGACCCATACACCCATAGAGATTTGACCCTTACACCCACAAATACCTGCTCCACACACCCATACAACTGGTCGAGAACACACATACTACAGAATCTGTTTGTCACACGCTAGTAATGCCAATGTTTTGGCTCCAGAAAGTTCTGGTAGTAAGTTGGCTCCTACCAAAATTTTCTATTAGGTACAATTCCCCCCAGAGATCCCCCGAAAATCCTGAACAAAAACTCATCATCACCCTCTTATCACATCAATTGCTACTCCGTCCACCGTAAGTACCCTGCTCTCTATTTCCCACCCTTATTTTTGAAGTCTGTATTCTTCAACACTCCCTCCTATTTCTCAGACCTGCAGGCTATTTCTATCGCGATAAACTAAAACCGCATAATCAATACACATCCATACCCATGTCTGAAGTTCAACTCGAAAGGCCCACTCGTCCTTGTGACCGGTGCAGAAAGAGGAAGACCAAATGTGTCTTTGAGAGTGGACAGGAAAAATGCTATCTATGCAAGATGAGCCATCAGATTTGTGAGTTTAATCTTCCACCATTGAAAAAGAAGCGGAAAGCAAAGTCTCCACTGGCAACCGATATTAGTGCCAATGGCATGTCCATAAAAAAAGACTCGCCGGGTCTGCCAATCCCAGACGATCCCAAACATGTCGAGCTTCCCAAATACTTCTTCCGGCTTGAAGGGAACAACGAGTTTGATCAATACATATTTGGGTCCCTTTTAGACAGCAACAGTATTGAACTCTATCCGGTTGAATCAATCAAAAGAACCATTCTCACCCTGAACGGCACCATCTTCCTTCAGGCCGAAGGCAACATGGAGGATGTAGAGGAAAGAAAAGTCGAAATCGAAAAGATTAACCAGATAATAGGTAATGTGGGCCCCAAGCTAGTTGCTCTCTACTTCAGAATCGTCCATACATCGTTTCCAATTCTTTCGAAAAACAAATTCCTCGAGGAGTATACGGAGGACCAGGGTCATATTAGTCCATGTCTCTTATCGTGTCTATACTTGTTTGCGTTAAATTGGTGGTCTTTTGACTCGGATCTCTCGATTGAGACTAAACCCTCTCAAAAGGAAATCGAGGTGCTTGCGGAAGCTAATTTCTACAGGGAAATCAAGAAGCCCATGATATCGACTGTGCAAGCAGGTCTTTTGCTCATCCAGCACCAGAGTTTTAGGGATAGGTATGATAACCCTTGCGACTGCTGGCCCCACCAGTCAGCCGTGTATGCGTGTGCGCAGAGTTTGGGATTGAACAAGGACTGTTCGTCATGGAATATTCCGGTTTGGGAGAAGTCTTTGAGACGAAGACTCTCGTGGGGGCTTTATGTGCAAGAGAAATGGCTCAGTTTCACTTCCGATAAGCGTTCTCATATCGACTCCAAGGACTGGACTGTAGGTGACCTTGACCCCATAAAGGACTTTGAAGACTTCAAGGAGACGGAAATGGAATCAGAGAATATAATAGATGGTAAAATCGACTTGGAAATTGGTAAGACGTTGTTTTTGCAAAAGGTGGAGCTTACGAAAATAGTGAACGAGATTCTATTACGGCTTCATTCTGAGGAGGCAAAGAGCGTATTAAACTGTTTACCGGTACAAGATCCGTTGTTGAGCTTGAAAAAGACCCTAGAGTACATCAAGCCGTTGCAAATACGGCTTACGGCCTGGGAATCGCGTTTGCCAACTAACTTGGTGATTGAGACTAATGTGCTGAGAGGCTTCATCTCTGGAGCTCCCAACATATACATTTCCAATTTCCTGGCCCAGGTGTCGGTTTTAAGGCCGGTGTTAAGAATTCTCAGCAGTATTAGAGAAAGTAAACTTTTGGTTGACAAGGAATTCATTGGGATCAGAGACATTGTGTACAATAAGTGTATGACGATTCTCGAAAAATTCATCAAGTTCTTGAGTGAATTAAGGGCAGAGCATCTTCAGACCTTCTGGTATACGAGTGCTAGAAATGGGCTAAGTAACATTGTTGTATTTGAGTTTTTGTTGGCCCTTGTATCTAAGAACAAGGCAGAACTAGATAACTGTTTGGACAAGATTGAGGAATCTGTTTGGAAACTTAAGCTTAATAATAAGAATGCCGAGTTCTTTCTGCATGCCATTTCTTGGTGGAACATATTAAAGAAGCACTTGACGTTCAAGCTTGAAAATTTTGTATTCTACAATGAAGGGAATATTGGAGAGAACCGGATCGAAAATGGGAAAATCAAAGATGAATTGATTTATGAAGATCCTAACATTGGTAACAGCCTAACCAATCCCATGGACAGAGCTCAAACCATAGGTAACGAGAGCTACTTACTGCCCGAGTACTTCAATATCGATAGTATGGACAATTTCATCTTCACATACCAGAATGGGGAGTAGAATAACCTTTAGTTTTAATACAACATATCTTAATTATACATATTTCTTACACAGAATCTATCATACTGAATATTCCAGATAAGTATTCTGCTTAGCATCCATCGAACCAGCGAATATCTCTGGGAACATCTTGACAAACTTGTGAAAAGCCCATTCTCGCTTGTCCCAGTTTTCATCACAAGCAGGCTCATGCTTCAACTTAGCCGCCATGAGCTCGTTATCTCTCCAGACTCTCATGACATTTCCCCCCATCATCTTAGCAAGATCTGCATTACTACCATTGGTTTTTGCAGCCACTTTCTTAATAAAATCAGGATACTTGGAAACATCTTCAAGCCCTTTAGGACCACTGGGAATCCCGTCAAAATCACTACCAAAGCCTACATGGTCCCAGCCAATAAGGTTGATTACATACACCATATGGTCGACTGCATCGTCAATAGTCACTTCTCCTTCTTTCTTTAAGAAAATAGGGAAAAAGTTGATACAAATAACTCCATTATTCTTTTTCAACTTCAACAACACGTCATCCGGAACATTTCTACCGTGTTCACACAAGGCGTAGGCTGATGAGTGGGAGAACATTACTGGTGATCGAGATATATCCAACGCATCATGCATGGTCTTCAAGCTCACATGGGCCAAGTCCACCATCATTCCTAATCTATTCATTTCTTTAACACACTCAGCCCCGAAACTTGTCAAGCCTTTGTCCTCTAAGCCACCTGCCACAGAAGAAGCGGCTGTTGCAAACGGGTTATCACAATTATGAGTTAAAGTGATGTACCTGACTCCTAATTGGAAGTATAGTCTCAACACACCCAATGACATATCAATCTGATGAAGACCTTCAACCCCCATGGTGACAACAAATTTTCCTTCTTTGAACCGTTTCCAAGCATCTTCCGAACTGTGCACCATCGCCAAATTGTACTGTTTGCAGAGTCTTTCTGTCACATCTATTTGCTCCATGGTGTCCCTCACCGCACTATTGGGAATATTGAAATCCTGGTAAAACTTGTCCGGATTCTTGCACTCAATGTAACAGCTGAAGAACTGAACACCCACCTTACCTTTTTTCAACCTTGTGAGGTCGGTATGAGCGGTTGTGTGATTGAAGTCAAATGTAGGATTATTTGATATCTCATTGTGAAGCTGGCTTCGCAAAAGGTATGGGAAGTCGTTATGTGTGTCAACAATAGGGTGAGATTTGCAGAGTGTGTCAAGATCCAATTCCTTTGGCTCTGGATTTTTATTTGAAAATAACCCCATTTAAGAAGATTTAGATAGAAAGATTTTGGAGCCGTTTGAGGATAGCGTATTATCTTGGGGTGCGCCACGACTACTCCAAATCTAATTGGAGAACTGGGGAAATTTTGCAGGAAGTCCTGGAATGGTTAGAGAAGCGATATCGAATCTTCTGTACTTTTGCCTCACAAGCATATTATCTACAATGTGGTTTATAATACAATGTGTCGATTAAGATACATAAAAGGTATATTCAAACCCTCCAATTTTAACAATGTTCTTGGCAATAAGCTAAAGCCATATCCATATTGATGAAAAGCAATTACAATTTTAAAACCACAATACGTTTACCTTCCTGTATTTCCTTGAACATCACTAGAAGGTAAAGTCCAAGCAGGATTTGTTAACTCGTCTTTTTGTTCTGTTATGACCCGATACGACGTTTTTATCGTTCCTTCACTAACCCCTGTTTTATCAGCAATCTTGGAAGGTTGTAAGTCGGCCCCAAATATCACATTGGCCATATAAATCACGGTGGCCGCAATCGTGGTTGGCGATCTTCCTGCCAAAACACCCAATTCTTTACATCTCCTAGCAATATACTCGGCTGCGTTTGTGATTTGAGTTCCCAACCCCAAATGAGAACAGTATCTTCTTATTAAATCTTCAGCCGAGGTTTGGGTGGTCTGAATGTTATCTTCGACCAAAGAGAATGCAGCTGGGTTTATAGCATTCTTCTCCCGGATGATTCTATCCATGATTTTGAATACCTTACCGATTTCTGTACGAGGCACATTAGTCAAAGCCCATATTTCTTTGAACGTACGAGGGACTTTGGCTTTCCGACATCCAATGAATATGGAAGCGGCCATGATGGACTCTTGTGATTTCCCTCTCAATGGCCGCTCTTCATACACCAATTTATAAACCTCTTTTGCGGCATCTTGAACAATCTTAGGCAACTGATAACCATCACACATCTGAGATATCTTCGCAAAGGCTGCAGCCAAAGCGTTATCTTTTTTATCCACCAAAGACTTTGACTGGGCTCTACTCAATTCCCGACCAATCCTTAAACTGTCAGGGGAATGCGATATCATCGTGGATAAGTTTTCATGATCCAAAAGTGGGTTCCCAGCATCACCCACACGGCTGGGATCATCACCATTTTGATCGTCGTTGCTAAAAGTTCTCCACTCAGATCTTGTATCAACAACTCTGTCACTTAAGACGAGCCCACAACTACCACACACGATATCCCCCTCACTAAATCTTTCAATAAGATCAGGAGGGTATATCTTACAGTCTGGACAAACAAGAGTGATGTTCAAGTTTGGTCCAGTGAAAGGTTCATCAACAGCTGTTGCAGTTTTAACACTCATATTGAAGGTGGAGTACAATTGTAAAAACAGGGATAGTCGCTTATTAAGTGGATTCTCAGCAGTAACTCACTGGTTAAAATGTTGAAAGGAACAAACACCCAAAGAAACTTCTCTGTAGCTATTGAATACAATTACACACACAAAATACCGATACAACCTGTTGAATCGGAAATAACCTTAAGCTGTAGGTAGTTGTTGATATAGAAGATAAAGAAGTTTTTTTCAAGTTCGCTGACCAGATAAAAAGTCGCGGTGAGTAGTGCGCCAACCCAGTACGTCAAACGGTAGAAGATCCAAGAACTATATGGTTTGTGCGTTAACTTCGGAAGAAGAGGTCGCACTATTTTGACGACTTTCAGTCTGCTGCGAACTGCAAAATTGCAAACATTATGTTCTACTGGGTTTTAGGAAAGAATAGGCTACTTCAAAATATGGTTCGAGCGAGTAGTATGTACAACGGTGTTACACTGCAACAACTTTGTGGGAGTTATGTTCGTGCAATTATGGGCAGCAATGTTGTTCTTCCAGAACGGTAAAATCGTATTCTTATCAAAAGAAGAAGTATTATTTTGCAGCTACTAACGACTTGAACCCGATATTCAAAACTAGAATGGGCACGGGAGATAAAACTATGAGGGTTACCACTGTATTAAACAAATTAGGCCTCTGAAAGAGTTGAGGTCACTGTCAGAAAACTGTTAGAAAACTACCAGAAACCCCTCTCAAAGACTTGACGCATAGATTGAGTTAGACTTTACGAGCTGTAGATCATTTTCCCACGTGAATATATTAGCGAGTGCTATTAGTGTAGGCCTTTCAGGTATATATCACCTATAAAATCCACCCATTGACGTTACCTTCTTCCAACGCAAAAATGTCGCGGTCATTCTTCCAGGACTTTCATCTTCATGCTCCATCTCACTGAACGCCAAATATCACATAATCTGGGTATCAGGACCTCACCTTCATCAACATGGAAATCAATGGTAAGCTAATGATGGTTATTTCCCCTTCTGTATCAATTATAACCCTTCACACCTTATGACGAATTTTTTCCCGATGTGGGAAACTGTGTAAAAGCCGCTTCGCGGCCCTGCATGAGCAAGCTTAACTTTTACCATCTTCCGTATTTATAGGTAACAATGCCCAATTTTGAGTTCATCTAGTTCCTTGCATAATGGCAACCGAGAAACCTGAATCCTTGAAATCCTTGGAGTCTCTGTCGAGTGTCACGTCGGGAAGGAAGAAGTTTGACCCGGTGACGGGTGTCAAACGAGGCCTCAAAACTCGCCATATTTCTATGATGGCATTGGCAGGAATAATTGGCCCTGGGGCTTTTTTAGGTCTTCTGAGAGCATTAAATAATGGAGGACCCGTTGGTCTTTTGGTGGGGTTTTCCATCGTCGGGATCTTGGTGGTGGTGATGATGTTTTCTATTGGAGAACTCAATTCCATGTTTGACTTCAACTTCAACTCCCATGCTGCAAGATGGGTGGATCCCGCTTTTGGTGCCGCTTTGGGTTGGAACTATGCATTTTTGTGGGTGTGTACTCTCATTTCAGAGTATGTGGCAGTGACTTCAACCCTTCAATTTTATAGTGAAAAAGTCCCAATTTACGGGTATTACTTGATTTTGTGGTTCTGCTTTTCCCTATACCAAATGTTGGGAGTCGACGTTTTTGGTGAGGTGGAATATATCTTAGCCCTTGTGAAAATTGTCTTCATATCTGGGTTCTACTTATTTGCCATAATATCTGCTGCTGGTGGAATTAAAGGTCATAGTCCCGGAAACCCATTTCGTGACTATCCTTTGGCTCATGGCTTCAAAGGAATTGCTAAGTCTTTTGTTTATGCTGCCCAATTTTACGTGGGGGTTGAGAGTCTTTCGGTGACGTTCACCGAGCTGAGAAATGTCAGAAAGGCCGTGAAAAGAGCGGTTCTGCAGTCGATTTTTAGGATCTTTTACATCTATTTTGGTCTTTCAATCGCCTATGGGATCACTGTTCCTTGGAACGACCCTGCGTTATCTGATGGAAGTGCTATCCTCAATTCGGTCATGACTATTGCTCTTGTGAAGGCTGGCTGGAAGAATGCCGGTTATTATGTTACCACCGTCATCCTTGTCACTTGCGTGTCGTCCATTAATAGTGCAGTCTACTTTTGTGCTCGGTGTATAATGAGACTTTCTGTTGAGGGTTATGCTCCTAAAGTGTTGGCCAAGGTTAATAAGAATGGGGTTCCCTGGGTTGCTTGTAATCTTGTCCATCTTTTTGGATTTATTTCCTTGTTGTCTATGGACAGTACGTCTTCAGTTGCATACGGTTATATTGTTGGGTTGTCTGGAGTAAGTGCCTTCATAGTATGGACAGGGATAATCTTCACCCATTTCAAATTCAGAAAGGGCTGGCTCCAACAAGGAAATAGTGCCTCCGATTTACCGTTTAAGGCCCCTTTCTATCCATATTCGAACTATTTGGGGATATTTGTTGGAATCTTTTTATGTTTGGTTCAGGGATGGACGGTGTTTGTTCCTTTCCAAGCAGGCCAATTTGTGGACTTATATATAATGTTGCCATTATTTCCCATTTTTTACTTGATATTCAAGTTTTGGAAGAAAACCAAGTGGATACGGTCTGAAGATATGGACTTTGAGACCAACAGAATTGACCATGAAGTAGAGGTTGGAGAGAAGAATGAAGACGCAACAGAAACGGTGGTAGAAGTTCCTTCCAAAAAACAGAAGATTCTGAAGCTTATTTGGAATTACTTTTAGTAGTGTGTAGATCAATGTACCTTTCAGCAAGATATAACACGCTCCCTGTTATGTGGAAGGGCTAGACTAGAGACATACAAGAAACTGGGTTTGTCATCAGCCGGAATTGTCGTAATGTCTCCGGAACACGCTGCTTGCTTAGTTATGTCAGTCCGCTCACCTCATCAGCCCATCCGTTCGCACAGTAGCATTTACTAGCCGATTTGTACTCGCCGACTTTTTTCGGCCGCCTTTTTGTCATAGCCATTTATTTGATACAGGAAAGTGTCTAGTGCAGCCAAAATTTAACCTGATGGTAGGTACCAAGTACTAAACTACAGTACCAACTAACTTACCTATAGTACCACGAAACTAAACTACAGTATCCAGTAAGTATATTACAGTACCAAGTAATGAAACTACGGTACCAGCGTACCCCAAAAATCCTGCTAAAAAATTCCTCTTGGCTCCTTGCTCGGTTGTGGATACCTGCTTACAAATATTTTGAGACTATAAAACAGCTGAGCATTCACCTACACTGTATATCACTTTGAAAATGACTGTTAGAATTCCCTTAGAATTGCCCGCAGCCTCCACAGGCCACTCAGCTCCCTATCCGCTAGTCAAGGGTTTGGACTATGAGTACCCAATTCCCGAAGGTGTTGTCGGATCTGCAAAAGAGTTGACAGACAAAACGCCCAAGATGTTTCAACCTCTCAAAGTTGGAAACATGGTGCTTCCCAACCGAGTGGGAGTCTCCCCCATGTGTCAATATACTGCCAGTAACAATGAGGCCACCGAATATCATAAAGTTCACTACGGTGCTTTGAGTAGCAGAGGTCCAGGGCTAGTGATGCTTGAAGTCAACCTGGTAGCACCGCATACCGGTGTTTCGGTGGTTGATTTAGGTCTCTGGAACGACGTCCAGGCTGTCAAGCTCAAACCGATTGTGGACTTTGCCCATGCCAATACCAGTAAGATTGGTCTTCAAATTGGCCATGGTGGTAGAAAGGCCCAGGGTAATCCGCCGTTTGAATACTTGGAAAACTGGAACGACCCTAGAGCCATTAAAGAGGAAGTGGTGGGTCCTTCTGCTGTTCCTTTCAGACCCAAAGGAAGGCTCCCTACTCCAACGCCCTTGACAGTGGAAGAAATCAACACCATTATCAAACAGTTTGGAGCTGCTGCGAAGAGAGCTGTTGAGATCTCGGGGTTCGACTTTGTTGAGATCCATGGAGCCCACGGATACTTACTTGGTCTGTTCTTATCTGCGCATTCGAACAAGAGAACCGACAAGTATGGTGGGTCTTTTGAGAATAGAATTAGATTTTTGTTGGAAGTCATTGACGAAGTCAGAGCCAATGTTCCTAAGGGTTTCCCGGTGTTGTTGAGAATTAGTGGTTCTGACCTTCACGACTCCAATCCCGATGCTTGGACTACGGCCGACTCGGTGAAGTTGGCACCAATTGTCGCTGATAGAGGTATTGACTTGATAGATGTGTCTGCTGGTGCTAACGATAGTGACGCCGATAGACCCAAGGATAAGTTCGGAAAGTTTTTGCCCATTGCTGCTGCCGTGAAGAAGGCCGTTGGTGATAAGTGTTTGGTCAGTAGTGTGGGTACTTTGCACGATGCTAAGAAGGTCAATCAATTGCTTGAAGACGGCGTTATTGACTTCGCGTTCGTGGGATCTCCATTTTTGATTAACCCGGGTTTGGTGCTTAGTTGGGCTCAAGAATTGGATGTGAGCGTGTATCAAATTGCTTCTCACTGGCCATTCCATGCTAAATATGCTGAAATGATCGAGTACATCAAATCTACAAAGCTTTAGAATTGGTAGGGATTTATAGAATTATAGAGTCAAATAAGTTGTTTTATTGGCGTTAGTCACCAGCGGTTCCTAACTGGAAGCATGTCTGTGAGTTTTTGCTTTTTCGTCCTGTTGGAGGCTTAATGCGCTTTTAGAATTTGCAACCACAGTTGCGACATGAATTATGGTGAAATTATATAAATTAGAGTTTGCAACCACAATTGCGACATGAATTATCGTGAAGTTATATAAATTAAACATCCACTTAAAGTAAAACTCAACTAAGAATTATGACCCAATCAAAGAAACCGAACTTTATAATCATTGTAGCCGACGACTTGGGGTTCACCGACACATCTCCTTTTGGGGGGGAAATAGATACTCCAAACTTGAAACAATTGGCTGATAATGGCTTAAGATTTACCGATTTCCATACCGCTTCTGCTTGTTCTCCTACACGGTCAATGTTATTGTCTGGAACAGACAACCACATCGCTGGGTTGGGTCAGATGGCTGAGTATACCAGAATTTACCCCGAAAAATTTGAAGGAAAACCAGGATATGAAGGGTACTTGAACTTTAGAGTGGCTGCGCTCTCGGAAATATTGCAGGACAACGGTTACTACAACTTCCAATCTGGAAAATGGCACTTAGGATTGACTCCCGAGTACTGGCCTTCCAAAAGAGGGTTTGAAAAAACCTTCACGTTGCTTCCAGGTGCTGGTAACCACTATAAGTATTTCCCCAGGGATGAAAATGGTGATTATATCAAGTTCTTGCCGCCTATATTCCAAAAAGATGACGAGCACTTCGATCCAGAAGATCTTCCTGAAGATTACTACAGTAGTGACTACTTTACGGACAGATTCATCGAGTACTTGAATAACGATGATATCCGTGGCGATCGGCCTTTCTTTGGGTTTTTGACATACACAGCGCCTCATTGGCCTTTTCAAGCTCCACCAGAAGTTATTCAAAAATATGCTGGAGTGTACGATGATGGTCCTGCTGAGTTGAGAATTCAACGGTTAAAGAGTGCAATTAAGCTCGGGTTAGTCCCTGAAGGGGTTGAAGCTCACCAGGTTGAAACACAACGTCAAAAAGCATGGAAGGACTTGTCTGACGAAGAGAAAAAGATCGAGTCGCAGATCATGGAAGTGTTTGCTGCCATGGTGGATAACTTGGACAGTAATGTTGGCAGGGTCATTAAAGAATTGGAAGCCAAGGATGAGTTGGAAAATACCTTCATCTTGTTCATGTCGGATAATGGAGCTGAAGGAATGTTGTTGGAAGCATTGCCAATGTCTTATCAGAATTTCCAAGCCACTGTAAGTGAATACTACAATAATTCTCCAGACAACATTGGAGGCAAAGATTCTTTCTTCCACTATTCTGACCAATGGGCCCAAGCTGCCACTGCCCCTTCTTATATGTACAAAATGTGGGCTACTGAAGGAGGCATCAGATGTCCTTTAATTATTCATCACCCTGAGCTTATCAAAAAGCCTGCCATCAAAAATGGATTTACCACTGTTATGGATATTCTCCCTACCGTTTTGGAGGTAGCAGGTATACCACATCCTGGAAGTCAGTTCCGTGGTAGAGAAGTTGTGCCTGTCAGAGGAAAATCATGGTTGTCTTACTTGAAAGGAAACCAGGACTTTGTCCATTCTGAGGACACAGTTACCGGATGGGAGTTATTTGCTCAGCAAGCCATTCGGAAAGGTGCCTTTAAAGCGTTATATATTCCCAAACCATTGGGACCTGATAAATGGCAGCTATTCAACCTTAGAGATGACCCTGGAGAAACAAAGGATCTTGCAGAACAAAACCCCGACAAGTTGCAAGAGCTCTTGGAGCATTGGGCGGAATATGTGGCCGAAACTGGGCTTATTGAAATTGGCGGCGACTTTAAAGCTCACTACAAGACCCTCGCCATCTAAACTCAATTTTGCGTAATACTAATCGAAATTTGTTTATACAGAAAGGGAATATATAATAAGGTAAAGTGTCCTTGGGCCTTAAATGGCTAAGCTAGAAAGTTTGGGAAATTGTCATAGGGAATCATTAAAAATTAAAAGCAAACATTGGTTGAAGTCCAATGGCGAAAAACAGGGTGTCATAAAGGGGAACACTCAAACTAAAATAAATGAAAACAATCCAATAACAACCATTATCCATGATTTGGAGATACTAGAAGCTCCAGAGTTACTGGATTCAGCACTGGGGACGGCGGTTCCTGTCGCTGACACAGATCCAGTAGCAAGGGTTCCTGTGGCACCCCCAGCAGCACCAATGCTTTCTCCAGTAATAGTAGCAGCAACGCTTTCACCAGCTTCAGTAGGGGCAATACTTCCACCAGCAACTGTAACACTTGTGTCGAGGATGGTGGTACTATAAACTTGACCAGCAGAGTTTTTAGTGACGCTAACCGCACAGGGAACGGTAACTGTGACACTGTCGATTTCAGTTACAATGGTGGTCAGGTATCCCTTGCACACGTCACATTCCCCGGAGGTATGGGTATAGGTAACAGTTTCCCCCGCGGTGTTTGTCGTAACTTCCACATCACAAGGGACCGTCAACGTAACACTGTCAATTTCAGTGACCACGGTAGTCTCGTAATGGGAACACACTGGACAAGCTTCAGTCGCGGTAACGGCTTGCGAGTTGGTAACTGTTACACAAGCACCTTTAACACAGATAGTAGAAACAGTGGCTTCGTTAATAATTGAAGATTCGGTTATAAGGTTACCTTCAGAGTCGGTAGTAACG